CGTATGTAATAGGGAACTAGCTACTCTACAAAGACCACCAGCATCCTGAGGAGGAGAAGGGGAAGAGCAGATCGTCTGTGTTCATCATACCATATGCTAAGTAATCTTCTCCGCGATGACCGCACGCACAGTTTCGCTTGTAAGGCTGAAAGTTGCACCTGCGCTCTGTTTGCGGGGGATGGGGGGGAGGGGGGATCTAGAACCGGGAGCACGCGGAGGAGGCATATCGTTTTCAGCATGTAGGGAGTGGTGGTTGTGGTCATGATTGTGGTGGAGGTGGAGGTAAAGGTGGAGGAAGTGGTGGAGGTGGTGGAGGATAGAAGTGGGGGAAGGGGAGGATGACATTTCGTTCTCAGCCCATCCATCCATCCCACTGCCCAAATGCCCACGACCAAAGCGGTGCGGAACACAGTAGAGCAACTAGAGTTGAGAGAGAGAAGATGTCGATTTCAATTGTTCTCACCATTTCTGGCCGCGCTGCACGCACCACCCGCACCGCACACACATTCCCCCATGATGTTTCAGCTGCAAGACGCTTCGCCAAATTAGAGTCGAAGGTAGGTCCTCTATGATGTCTCTCGTTCACCAGAGGGCTGGGTGGTTTTTATGTATAGTAGTACGTAGAGGGCATGGCCTCGAGTGCGGTCCAACTAAAGTTTTTGGGGTAACTCTTACGCCGGAAGCTGTCTAGACTGGTTGCGAGTAGTTACCGACATCTGACGGGCAGGGAGGGCCACGCACGCAGAGACAAGACTTGTCGGGGAAGGGGGGGGGGGGGGGGGGGGGGGGGGGGGGGGGGGGGGGGGGGGGGGGGGGGGGGGGGGGGGGGGGGGGGGGGGGGGGGGGGGGGGGGGGGGGGGGGGGGGGGGGGGGGGGGGGGGGGGGGGGGGGGGGGGGGGGGGGGAGGGAGAGGGAGCGTGTGGAAGGATGGATGGGCTGAGGACAGAATAGCGAGAGAGCGACTGGCCAACGACAGCGAGGGAGGCGCAACTTGTGGGACTTCCGCACTGACTGGCTGGCTGGCCGCTGGCGGGGCTGGTTGGGCTGGGCTGGCTGGCTGCAGGTAGCGCGGGGGAGCTTGGAATTGTGCTCGATTGTGCTTGGAAAGTGTGCTTGGAACTGTGCTTGGAGGGGACGAGCCAATTGGAATGGCAGCAGTCCCGGTTCGTGCGAAGTTGTCCAGTTTCGAGTTATATTCGAGTGAATACACAATAAGCCCGATGCCGAGAGCCCCAATGCAGTGTGGTCGGCGTGCTGCCCAGCGTCCCGGGTTGGCTGCACTAAAGTAACTCGAGCAACCTTACTGTCGCTCGTCTTCGTCGTCGCGCGCTTTAAAGGGAGCCGGTCTGGCCAGCCGTGCGAATCTGATCTTCAACTCAAAATCAAAATCAAATCAATATCAAAAATCAGAAATCAAAAATCACGCTGCCCAAAACACGGCAACTGTGGTAACTACGGCAACTACGGTACTATACACTCGATACGCAGACTCTCGTCTGCTCTGCCAGTTCAGCACACATCTCCACCGCCAGCTCCCCCGTCATTGGCGTTCGCTCCGACCACTCGCCATACTCTGGCCCTACACCGCCACCCGTCCGCCCCCAACACTCGCCCGCCGACACCCACAACAAAACACGGGATGGCCTCATACCAGCACCAGCAGCCGCCATTCTATGGCCAGCACGGCGGCGGCCCACAGTTCCCGCCCACGCCGAACCCGCAGGACGACTTTCGCGATGGTTGGCACCCCAGCGCAGCCCCTGCTCCCGCCCCGCTTCACCACCACACCCCTTGCTAACCCCTCTCCGTCGCTCTATGTAGCCGTACTATGACGCCTCCTTCGCCGCCTCCTTCGGCCACCCCTTCGACCTCACGGGCGCCACCGGCACGCACGCCTCCGGAGGCATCCCGGCCATGGCGCGCGGGCCCTCGCCCACCCACGAGGGCAGCGCGAGCAGCACCGGCAGCGGCCACAACTCGCGGGGCGGCCGCGGGTCGAGCGAGTAGAAAAGAACTGACGCCCGGGCAGAAGCGACGGAAGGAGCAGAAACCGCGCCGCGTACGTCCCCCCTGCCTCCCCCTCTCCCCACCCCCCCCCCCCCCCCCCCCCGCCGCACTAGACAGCTAACACACCCCCAGACAACGCGCGTTCCGCGAGCGCAAAGAGCGCCACGTCAAAGAGCTCGAGCAGCGGCTGGCGTCGCTGGAGCAAGCGAACACGCGGGCCGCCGTGGAGAACGACAAGCTCAAGGCGGCGCTGGAGAAGACACGGCTCGAGAACCGTTTGCTGCACGAGAACACGATTCGCGGCAGCGGCAGCAGCGGGAGCTTGGGCGGCGGCAGTGGCGGGGCGGGCACTCCCCGCCGCCTGAAGTCGGCCCCATGGCGTTCAAACCGCTGGACCCAGAATCGCTGCGCTCCAACCCGCCAGCGAAGTTTACCTCGCCGATATTTGGGCAGCACCCGAACCGCGGGCCGATCCATCGCATCACCACCTCACCGAGCACGGGCGAGAAGCTGCTCGGCGCGGGCGCCGCCTGGGACCTTATCATGTGCCACCCGCTTTATGAACAAGGCCTCGTCGATATTGGTGATATCAGCGAGAGGCTAAAGACCTCGCTCGATGTGATGGGCAGGGCCCGTCTTCGAGGAGAGTATCATCCTCGATGTTATACAGGCTAGTCGTGGCAGTGGGAGGGACGAGCTGCTCGTCGATAGTGGGGCACGCGATTATTAGGCGGGCCGGCGGGCGGGATTGTGCGGACTTGGAACTTGGAACTTGGAACTTGGAACTTGGAACTTGGGACTTGGGACCGGGTGTTGGATAGGTTGGGATGGGATGGAGATTGGCGCCACTTCGTTTTTTTTCTTCTTTTTTCTTCTTTTTTTCTTCTTTTTTTGTTTCTGCTTTTCTTGACCTTTCTGTCGTGTTTTCTGATTCTTTCGTTATGGATACCTTGCTTCATATGCTTACTTTTTCATCTGATCTGATCTGATTCACTTTTCTCTCTCGAGTCTGAGGAAAACAGTCAACAGTCAAAACGTCAACACTTCAACAGTCGTCAAATCGACAAATCGTTCTGACACTTCTGGCACTTCTGGCACTTCTGGCACTTCTGGCACTTCTGGCACTTCTGGCACTTCTGGCACTTCTGGCACTTCTGGCACTTCTGGCACTTCTAGCACTTCTGGCACTTCTGGCACTTCTGGCACTTCTGGCACTTCTGGCACTTCTGGCACTTCTGGCACTTCTGGCACTTCTGGCACTTCTGGCACTTCTGGCACTTCTAGCACTTCTGGCACTTCTGGCACTTCTGGCACTTCTGGCACTTCTGGCACTTCTGGCACTTCTGGCACTTCTACTCTACATACGGTACTCCTCACTCACTGTGTATCTACCTCCACCAAGAGTAGCTGTGGATATATCCCCCTCCCCTGCAATGGGTGGTGAGCCGGGGTAACCACATATTCATCTTTTCTTCTTGCACTGCCTCACTCGTTTAACTTTAGAGTCTTAGAGTCGGTACATAACGACAACTCTAAGTATGGTTGGGGACGCCTATAACCGGAGTGAATTGCGACATTCATTTTGGCTGACAAATCACGAGTGATTATAGTGTGTCTACGCCAAAAATGGGGGGTTAATAAGTGCGCCGCAGGTAATTTTTCGAATACAGAGCAAGTAATTTTCGTAATTATGAAGATTTTTGGGCCGTATGGCCCCATTTTTGACCTATTTGGATGTGTTCTGAAGAGGTCCAAGTCGAATAGCACTCATGCGCGAGCTCAGTTTGGATGAGCAAGGATCAATCCGCGCCAAGGCTCGAATAAGGCTCACTATATGTCACTCCTATCACCGCTGTGGGAAATTAAAAGAGTGCCAGAGCCTTAGTGCATGCTATTATTTGCGACGTTCCAAAATCCTGCCCATACAAATCAATTCTTTTCAACCCGCTTAAATTAATTCATCACGCTTTATATTTTTATTTCGCTTCTATGGCGACCTACTTTAATCCTTCCTCTATCATGCTATAGAGCTCTTTTAATTTTACTGGGTGTTGAGGTTGAGTTAAACCGGGGGTGGAGTTGGGCATTTTTTCACTCCTATTTTAGGTGTCCCCAACCATATAACCTCCCTACATAATCTACCGCATCTTCGAAATTGCTTCGTGCGAGTACATAGTGCATTGATGGGGGGGGAGGGAGGGGCGACGATGATGATGACGGGCGGCATCGTGCACGGGGAATCACTCGTCTGCGCTCTCGGTCTGCTCTGCGGTCTCGGTCTCGATAGGTGTAGTAAGGGTGAATGTTCTGGTCTTTTATAGCAGAGGAGGTACATAGCAGTAGTAAACAGACATGCATATCGGTCTAGACAACTCCCACCATATAAACAACTCAAGGAAAATGGTAATCAGAAGATGAACCTGAAGCGAAAAACAAAACAAACAGAAGCATGTTCTATCAATACAATACGCGTCCGCCTCTCATCCACGGTACATACATGGTATCTATCTCCAAGATCCAGATACAAGCACCACCATCCCCGGGCCCCCTGTACTATATCATATTCTATCATACTCCCTCCAGCTCTTCAACGGCAGAGCGCTCAGCCTCGTCGCGGCGGGCTTGATATATCCCCAGAAGGTAACAACACCGATGAGTATACACAACACGTTCGTGACATAGTACCCGTCCTGCTGGATGACACATTTGCCGCCCTGGTCTATGCAGCGGTGCTTATCGAGTTCGAGGGCGCAGCTGAACTCCGCAAACGGGCTGGGGAAGGTGGAGGTCGGCTTCTCTGGCGGGAAACACGTCGCCGTCGTGAAGTAGTCGACTAGCTTCAGCACGAAGATCCGCGGGAAGGTCCCGCCGAGGTTGGAGACGCTGTGGTGGGTGGGGGGTTAGTAAGCGATGATGGGGAGGGCGGGGGGAAGGGGGACGTACGTGGCTAGGAGCGTCATGTACGTTCCGCCGATCTCGGGGTCGGCAATCTTTGCGTGGAACGCAGAGATGGCGACGAACATGACGGTGCCGGCGAAGGTGGAGAAAATGTGCTCTGCGATGACGACGAGGAGGTACCAGCTCTCGACCACGCCGTCTTTGGGGAAGATGTACACCGTGATCTGGGCGAGTACGGCGGCGATGAGGCGGCCGACGAAGCCCCACATCCACAGCTTCATCGGCGGGAAGTACGCACACCATTTACCAGCGTAGTAGCCGAGGGCGATCTCGAACGGGAAGTCGATCAGCACCGTCAGTGCCATGTCTTCCTGCGTGAAACCCTTGTCGAGCAGCTTGAGGTTGGTCACGGCGTCGTTCGCCTGGAAGCCGATCTTGGAGATCAGATGGATGATCACGAACGTCTGGATGTCTGTTGTCATGTGTCAGCATTGTGCCATGTATTTTCATAATAGCCTGGGAGGGTCGGGTACGCTTGAGCTTGAGGACGCTCCACATGGTCTTGTAGACGCTAGCGATGCCATCACGGTTGCTGGTTTTCTCTTCCTTCTTGAGGACCGCGAGACCAATCGTAACAAGCAGGTAGGCCCATCCCCAGAACTGGAGGTAGCCTCCAAGCGTGAAGAGGCCGTTCTTGAGGGGTGTCGAGCGGAAGTAGTGGTTCGAAAAGTCGGCCGAATTGAAGGCGAGGAACACGGTGTTCGACAAGAATTGGCCGGCGGTAAGTCCGACGGTCTGAGCGGTCGACGCATACGAGAGGTTCTCGGGGGATATCAGAGTTAACGCCCAGCCTGTCAAAGCACGTTAGTCATACGATCTCGAGCCAGATGGCGCCATGAAACCCGGGGTGCATATATGGGCTGCAGGCGATAGATGGCGCGGGTAATAGCCTCACGCTCGGAGGGAGAGGAAGGAAACATGCATACCGTCCACCGCAACGTCCTGCGTCGCGCAGAGCATCACCAAGCAAAAGAACACCCATGTGAAGAAGTAGAGCCTCGTGTTCGCCTCTTCCATCATCTTCTCCGCCTGCCCGCCCAACCAGAGCAACATGATGGCGCTGACCGCCTGCACCGGAACGATCCAACTCTTGCGCCGGCCCATCCGCGGGCTCCAGATTGCGTCGACGATCGGCGACCATAACAACTTCATCGAGTACGGATACGACGCCAGTGTGAACACGCCAATCTCGCCGTACGAGAGCTTCGACTTGAGTAGGAACGGCACTGAGCCCATCGCCAGCCCCATCGGCACGCCCTGCAGGAAGTAGAGCAGCACCAGCAGGAAGAAGTTGCGCCTATCCTTTGGCGACAGGTCCATCAGCGACGCGGCCGCGGGCTTCGACACATCGTGATCGTGATCGAGCGAGAAGGATTCCCGAGCGATGAGGTGTTCCGTCTGCGCGGCCGAGGATTCCCCACCTTCCACCCCTACCTTCCCGCGCCGGAACTCGACCGACGACGAGGAATTCATGCCCTTGCGCTTGCCGGATGATGAGCCACCCCCTCGTCTGCTACGATTCATTCTCTCTCCCGATCGGACCGAAGCGGTGGTGGTGCTGCTGCTGGAGTCGGTGTCGTCAGTGTCTTCTACGTCTGGGTCGTACAGGGGCTGAAGTTCAAAGTCCTGAGTGCTGGTCCTGTTCGTCCGGAAGTAATTGTGGTCGGTGCTGGTAACGTGGAGAGGAGAGAAAGACATGCACAGCACTGAGTCTAGAGTAGATGTGGATCTCCTTTGCTTCTAAGCTGCTCCCAAGCAACTAGGTAGGTGGAGATATCTAGGCCCTTCGAGAGGTAGTTGGGCGAGCGCGTCAAGACAGGGATTCGTTTAATGCTCCACCGTGTTCAGATGATGTGGTAGCAGGGACTAGTTTGGAGTAAGTAGTCAGAGTTTAGCAGAGGATTTCGACGAGGGTCCGGATCGGAAACGACGGGTGAGACAGATAAGATAAGATTTGATCGGAGATTTGAATGAGAACGACGCCGGGACCACGGTACTAGGTATACGCACGATTGGCGATTGGGCAAGGACGATCTTGGTCGGGTCCCAGAAGCATGTCTATACTCTGCAGAGGCGTGGCAATCGCAGCTATGTTTACGCCTTACTCCCTTCCGGTGGTTCACATGCATACAGTGGCTATCATCGGCCCTGCCACTCCATTGACTCTGCTAGGCGGTACATACAGCTGTTACAGACCGTCTTGGGTTCCCAGCTATCCGTCTGGTGGGTCGCTCCTTATACTCGCGATCATTGCAGCGCAAACTCGGTACAGTGTGCGGTCTCGTGCGATAGGTTGTGGGCACCTCCCTTTTCCGGAAGCGGAAGCAAAGGAAGCTCACGGTGGAGGCGGGCGTGCGTCTGATACGAACCATGTACAGCTCAGCAGCACTATTGGTGAGTGATCTTTGATGAATGATATCAATGGGAACGTGTATCTATGCTCTAGGTAGTACCAGCTTATACTTTCCAACCATGTTGGTGGATCTCAAGATGGTCAACGAACGGGCTTCCATCCTCTTGCGCACCCGCCTCACGGAATATCACTTCGATTTGACCGCCGGAGCACGCCAAGGACCCTGCCAATCCCGCGTCTCCAGGATGTGCACATCCACGACCGCACATCCACCCGCAATGTCTCCATCGGCAGCATCATCACCGCAGAAATGGCCGTCACCGACACCGCCACATCCGACGCGCTCCCCTTCCACGAGCCGCCCATAACGCAAATCCTCGTGCACGTCTCCTTCCTCCTGCTCCTCAACATCGTCAACCACCTTCTCGATGCGCTTACCTATTGCGGGCTGGTCGGGCAAGTGCTCCTCGGCGTATTCTGGGGCACACCACTCGGCGGCCTCCTCCCACGCACAACCGAGAGCACCGTCGTAACACTCGGCTACCTGGGGCTGATCCTGATCGTGTACGAGGGCGGGCTGAACACCGCTCTGCGGCCGTTGATGCAGAATCTCGTGCTCTCGAGCATCGTCGCGGCCACTGGCATCGCGCTTCCGATCGCACTGTCGTTTCTACTGGGACCCCTGGCGGGCGCGACGAGCTTGCAGTGCTTTGCGGCCGGCGCTGCCCTCTCCGCAACGAGTCTGGGTACCACGTTTACCATCCTGGCCAGCGCGGGCATGGCGGATACGCGTTTGGGCACTGTGCTCACCAGCGCGGCTATGATGGATGATGTTATCGGGCTGGTGATGATTCAGGTTGTGGCGTCGCTTGGTGGGAGTGGGGGTAATGTCAGCGGGGAGGCGGTGGCAAGGCCGGTGGGTGCTAGTGTTGGGCTGTTGATTGCGGTTGTGATTGGGGGGTGGGGCCTGAAACGGACGCTGGGGACAGTCGAAGTGAAGGGGTGGGGGGAAACGCTGAAGGCGAAGGTGGTAATGCAGACGGCGATGCTACTCGCCGTGGTGACGGCGGCGAGTTACGCTGGTGCTTCGGTGCTTTTTGCGGCCTTTTTGGCGGGTGCTGCGGTGGGCTGGTGGGATGATGTCCGCACGAGAGGGAAAACGGGTGATAGAGTCTCTGGGGTACATGTCTTCGAGACCTATTACTCCCCCATCAACAGGCGGCTTTTGGCACCGTTCTTCTTCGTAAGTACCACCCACGCAGCAGTTTCTGAGGATGCCTTCTGATCAGCGACAGGCATCAATTGGCTTTTCGATCCCAATCCGCCAGATGTTCGCCGCCACAACCGTCTGGAAGGGGCTGGTCTACTCCCTCCTGATGGTGCTCGGAAAACTAGCTACAGGCGTCTGGCTCCTCCCCGTATCGCCGGTGCTGACAACGGTATCGCAACGGCTCCGCGAATTGCGGAAGCTGGGCGTCACACCCGCACCTCCAATTCCCCATACTCCCCAAAGCACTCCCACTACTACTACCACCGAACCCAAATCGTCGGAGGCCGCTTCCCCCGCAATCGCCGCCGCAGAAGACGCTAAACCCCCGAAATCCCTCTACCCAGCCTCGATTCTTGGGCTAGCCATGGTGGCGCGCGGAGAAGTTGCATTCCTTATCGCATCCGTGGCCCAGTCCTCGGGGATATTTGATTCCTCCGAGGGATTGTATCTCATTGTCGTCTGGGCCGCCATGGTGTGCACCATTGCCGGCCCGCTGGGCGTGGGCAGTCTTGTGCGCCGGGTGAAGGCGCTGGAGAAGACGCGCGCTGATACACGAGGCAATGGAGGTGTCAGTGTGTTGGGTGTTTGGGGGGTTAGTTGATGCATGTACACAAGAGAGAGAGAACATCAATTTATTGTCGCATGCGGCCTTACGAGACTATGGCGACCAACCGATGTATGTAAACGGAGATCATATGCGAGGAATATATAGAGTCCGAGTGTTTATCCGTGATCCCGGGTCGAGAGCCAAACGCCCAATTTCGATCCCGACCATCCGGTAAAATATCCCGACGTTAAGCCATAGTTAACCTCACCCTCGTTTTACATACCTACCACGGCCCCCCTCCCTCTCGTAGATCGTTCGCCGGAACCCATTCCGTCCGTCTCACAGTCCTACATATGTACTTACTTTCTTACTTGCACGCACGCATAGAAGGTCGTATTCGCTTCTTCAGCCGGGATGTTTTGCCTATGTAATCTACCGGAAAATACGAAGATATGCTTGAACGGCTCGTTAAACTGAAACGCGGCACCGTGACCCCGTGGTCCGACAGAACCGTTGCGCCGTCCATGCGCCTCTCACACAGCGCCGGAGTCCGGCGGATCAGCAGGATCTGTGCCACGGAAGGGCGGGCGGGCGGCACCTGAGGGGGATCAAAGGGATGAAAGGGAGGGAAGAATGATGGAAGGGATGGAAGGAGGGAGGGAAATATATAGCCTACACATGCCCACCTCCTCGAAAGCAAGCAAGCAAGACGGAAATAAAATAAAATAAGAAACTATGTTGGCTGACAGCGAAATCGCGCTCCTCCTCGTGATCGGAAACTTCTTGTCGGCGTGCTGGAGCTACTTCTGCATCGTGTCCTCACTGAACCAGTACCGGTTCATGCGGCGTGAAGAGGTGGTCTGGGTATGTATCTCCTCTCCCCCCTCTCCCCCCAAAACCCTCCCCTCTGTGTTGTCTTGTTTGCTCACGATGGATACATAGTATGCGCTGTGGTACAGCTGCACCACCTACGCCTTCCTCGTGTCGGTCACGAATCTGGGCGTGGCGGCGTACGTAGCGGTGCGCCTCGGGTGGCGGGGAAAGGTCTTTGGGCGGGGGAGGGTGGCGCTACGGATTCTCGGGGCGGCGGTGGCAGCGGTACTGGGGGCTATGCTGTGTTTCGTGCCGTTACGGATGACCATGATGCAGGCTGAGCGGGCGGGGGTGGGGCATTTGGGATGAGATGAGATGGGATGGGATGGGATTTGTTTTTGCTCGGGCGTTTGGGTGTACTTAACCAAGGAGTATTTATATTATACGGTTCAATTCATTGACTGGCGGTTTACAAAGGACGTATCCGCGCACTAACCGCCTCCTTCACGCCGAGCGTCAACACGGCGGCCTTCTGCGCCTCACCCACCGCCTCCTCCAGCGGCAGACCACGGACCATAGCGGCCACCAGAACGCCGAGGAACGTATCCCCCGCGCCATTAACGCTTTGCACGCCGTCCACTCCCAGCTTCTCAGCGGCAAAATACCTCACCTCGACACCACCCACCTCCTCTCCCTCCCGTGCCTCCACAACAACACTCTCCCTAGACCTCCGCGGCTTCTCGCCCACCTCCAGCAGGCGCACAACAATGACGCCCTGCTCGCCCAGCTTAACGAACAGCCGTGGGATGTACGGCAGCAGCGACACCGCCTTCTGGACGATTCCGCTCTCGGAGAGGTCGACGCCGGTGCGCGCCGCCAGTTGGTCCACGCGGTCGCGGAACCCGCTGTCGATCGTGAGTGCATCGATCGTGGGCCACCACGGCAGCGACGTAGAGAATAGCTCCGCCGCTGTCGCCGCAGAGTACATGCTGTCTAGCTCGTGGATGTTGGGCGCCGCAAGGTACAGCGCACATGAAGGGTGCGAGGGAAGCGTGGCGTGGAAGATGTGTGCTGATTTTGCGGTGGAGGTGGGTTCGAAGATGGCTGGTGGGCACTCACTCGTTAGCTGTATGCACACGGTATCACTCGGGTTAGGAGGGACCTTTGATCCCGGATTTGAGACAGTATTCGAGCACTCCCTTTGTCGTCTGCTGTGATAGATTCCCGTCGAGAACCACCCACTCCGCATTCGCAGCTTTAATCACCTCGGTGACATCTGCTGTCCCCAGGTGCTCGATGACCCTCATGTCCGCACTAGCAACGAACAGCCCGCCGTTGGCATCGTTGACGGCAACATACCTCGCTGTAGCGCGGGCCGGGTCGGTGAAGATTCCCTCGGTATCCATCCCGCGCTCCTGTACGCGCTCGCGCACCCATGAGCCGGCAAGGTCTGCGCCGACGGAGGATACTAAGCGGGTCCGCACGCCGGAGAGGTGCAGGGCGTAGGCAACGTTATTGCCGACGCCGCCGAGGGACTCGGTGATGGTAGACGGGTTGGAGGTGTGCAGACTTGGAGTCGGCGAGGAAGTGTCGCAGTTTACGTCTACGGCTACACCGCCGACTACGACCACCTCTGGGGGCGGCGATGGAACTACGGGGTTTGCCTCCTCCTTCGGGCGTATCTGCGAGGGTGGGATGTGCGGCATATGTGTCTGCCTACGCTCGCTAAATACAAAACAATCAGGACCCATCGGTTACAGTGGACGAAACTAAAAGCCAGCAGAATTCCCAGACCCAGTGCCCTCAAGCCTTGCCAGTTCTACGGCGACCTTTGCTCCCATCGCAGCGTTGTTCAGTATCAGCCCACGATTGGCCTCGATGCTGCGACCACCGGTGCGCTTGAGTATGTCGTTGAGGATGAACGGCGTGACGTCTTTCCCGCTGGACTTCCCTTCCGCCACTTTCACCGACTCGGCAATGATGGACTGTATCTCCTCGTTCGGGATCTCGTATGCCGCCGGAATGGGATTGGTGAAGAGGTGGCCCGAGGTGAGGCCAAGGGAATGGCTTGCGTCTGGGGGGCACAGCACTCATGAGCACCCCTCACCATGGACAGTCACTCATTCATCGAACTCACAGATAATCCTGGCGGCCTCGTTCGCATCTTCCACCACGCTCGGCGCCTTGATACCACACCCTCTACTCCAAAACGCCGGAAACTCGACCACCTCCCCGGCATCCCTCCCATCCCTGAACGTGCCGACATAGACCCCCTCGGTCTCCAGATACTCCAGTGTCCGTGGCAGATCCAGGAACGCTTTGGAGCCCGCACATACAACAGCGACAGGCGTGCGTCCCAACTCCGTCAGATCCGCAGAAACATCCATGGTATTCTGAACACCCCTGTGGACGCCGCCCAGGCCACCAGTCGCGAATACCTTAATCCCGGCGAGGTGCGCAAGGACACTCGTGCCCGCGATCGTCGTGCCACCGATCTTCGTCGCGCCCGCGCCAGCAAGGAGATATCCCAGGTCTCGTCTACTCACCTTAGCGGTACCGCTCTTCCCCGCTGCGTCAGCGAGCTGCTCGAGCTCCTTCGCCTCGAGCCCGATCCGCGCCTTGCCGTTGAGGATGCAGATGGTGGCGGGGACTGCGCCGTTCGCGCGGATGACGGCCTCGATCTCGCGCGCGAGCGAGAGGTTCGCCGGGTGCGGGAAGCCGTGCGTGTAGATTGCGGATTCGAGCGCGACGACGGGATGTCCGGCCGACAGCGCCGATTGCACTTCCGGCGTGATCGACAGGTATTGCGATAATCGCGAGGAGGCGCGGAGGGTAGAGTAGTAACGCGGAGGGGCGCGGAGGCCGCGGCGGAAGAGGAGGGAGCGCATTGGGGTGGTTGGTGGTGGGTGGGGTGGTGTGGAGTGGATCAAGAGTCGTGGGACCCTGGAGGGCCCGTTTGTCGGCAGTCTCCGATGTCACGAGTGCGGAGACTAACGAGCTTCGACACCAGCTTCTAGAAGCTCAGATGATAGGCTTTGAAGATTACACCGGGACTTTTCCATAAAGCTACAGAGCAAAAAACCCAAACACGAAAAGGCAAAAGAAAAAGGAAAACCCGACCCTGCGAACCCCTAAAAACTAACAGCGGCCCTCTATTTTCCGATCCTCACATCGATCTTGCTGACTATCCACGAAAACACGAATACCGTCGACAGCGCAGTGAAGATGACGAATGGCTTCCGGAAGCCAGCGGTCTTGGGCAGATGGTAGGTCACGATCAGCTCCTTGTGGTGCTGCTCGTCAACTACGTTGGAAAAGCGCAACTTGAAGGCGGTGCGGCCAATAGTGTCCATGAACGTCTTGTGGAGGAAGTGCTCCTCTCCAATGATGGGGATGGGGGATGAGTATTTGACGTCGCTGGAACGGTGTTAGATATGGGTTGGGGGTTGATAGGTGTGGGTTGGTGACTTACGTGGCACCTTCGGGCAAGATCACCCTAATCTCGACATCGCCGTAGACGACGGGCTCCTTAGGCCCCTCCAACAGCGGAACCCTGAGCACGAAATCCTCGCCATTGGGCTTCGCCCGGACGAACTCCCTCAGATCGTGGTTCCACCCAAGGGTGAAGGTGTAGTTCCAACCACCAAACACCGGATACCTCGGCTTGATCTCCAGATGCGACTCGCGCATGTTGCTGCGGAAGCGGGAAGTCGAAACATTTCCAATCTCATCGGTGAAGTAAGGGCCGATCGAGCCCACCTTCAAGTTGTAAGTGAGGGCCTTGATCGCAGACGTCGGGGGACCGTAGTAGCTGGCCGCCGCCCACTTGACACGCGAGAACTGGTTCTTAAGCTTCGCCGCGGCATTGGTCATGACGTATTTCTCCTCGAAAGCGATGTTGCCGCCCCAATGGGAGACCTCGATATCGCGCGTGAGCTTCTCCATCACGATGACGGGATGCGTGTACTCGTATCTGATCTTAACGGTCTTTCCGGCGCCGCTCGACGGCTTCACGTCCTCGTAGGGACCGTACGTGAACGCTGAGCCGACCTTGGTGGGATCGGAGGTGCCGTCGGATTTCGCGGTGAGCTTGGTGAACTCGGGCGCTTCATTGTTGGGCAGCTTCAGCTTCGTCTTTTGCTTGTCGGTGACGTACGCGCTCGCCACGTATTGCGTGCCGGTCCACTGGAGGAACTGCTTCTCGACCTGCTCGATCTCGGCGGGAATGGGCTCGACGACGGTAGTCTTGCCGATAGCCACTTGGAGGGTGATCTGGTTTCCGGGCGCGAGAGGTTCGGTCAAGAGAATGCGGTAGTATTGTGTCGGACTGTGCAGGTCTCCACATCAGTTCCAACTCCACACCCACAAACCCCCCAAAAAGAAAGGGCAAACTCCAGTCCGTAGCGCACCTTTGAGGATCGAACTCCACCTCATCGACCTTAAACTCTCCGAAGGGGGCCTTCTTGTCCCCGGCCTCGAAGAAGCTGACTTTCGTCACCTCGTCGGCCGCAAACGGCATATAATACTCGGTCTGCCCCTCTTTCGAGACATTCTCGACGATAACGGAAATGACTTCCTTCGAGTACGGTTTCGTCAGATCTATCGAGCGCAGTAGATTGATATTTCTGAAGACGGGCGCGGGCGCGAACGAGGGCGGCAGGATGAGCTTCGCATTGACGGTGGTGAGGACCGAGGAGAGGAGGAGCAGGGCTCCCGTGAAGGAACGCATTTTCGCAGGCCGGGTGGGGGATGTGCTGTGGCCGAGCGGAAGAATTGAGGTAGGATCTTTGGTTTGGAGAAGGCGGTCACGCAGCAACAGCTCGAAGTTCACGAAACTACCCTGGGAACTGCTTTGGGTTACGTGTTGTCTTGACGAACCCTGGCGGGGCCGCGAATGACTTGCATGCTGGCGCTAGCGAGTCTCCGAGCCGCGAGAGCATGGTATGTCACTCGGCGAGCCAGCCTGGGTGTTAAGCTTGAGCTTGAGCTTGAGCTTGACCCACGAGTGAGGTTGGTATTGGGTGGATAAACTCCGCAAGAAAGTCCTCTAGAAATAGCTTGATATAAATGGATAGCTATTACCTCCAGGCCACATCGATCCAGGTCTTCCACTGGCATGCTAGGGCCAACAGTCAGGCTTGTAGCTGCGGTTGGTGTCGGAATAGAGGGATTGAAAAGGGTCCAGTGGGCACCTATGTACTCGGTGAAAAGGACCGAATGGATTGCATGAGCAGCCAGGTCGTATACACAGAGCAGGACTCCCGTGGACCACCAAGCAGAGGGACGGGAGTTGACGGGGAAGTCTAGGTATTGGAATCCTATGGATCTCCCCGGTGCAAGATGTGAAGTATCCAACGCAATTCGAACTCGACCCACCCAACGGCGAGTACTAGGAAACATCCGTGTGGTGACCACACGGTGTGTGGTCATTAGGCCAGCGCCACTTAATGTAAAGTCATAAGTATGGCAGGTTCTGCAATACGCGGTATCATCGCTAGAGTGAGCTGGAGCAGGTACAGTAGGTTCAATCTGTAGATCTAGCGGCATCGTAACTTCTGCGGCATCATTCGAAATACGATCTTGAAACAGAGGCTGAGTATCTGCTTCCACGCCTTGTAGTGTTCTGACTCTTCGTCGTTGCCGTGGCAGTCGTTGAACTTCCATCTAAAGAACAGTATTAGGGCCCGTTTGGATGGCCTCAGTTTTCAGTTCCAGTTTTAGAGCGAAATTCAGTTCCCCGCCGGGACATCGAATACTGCCCAGTTTCAGTTTCCGGAGAACTGTGAGGTGAACAGAGTGTTGGGCAGTTCTCAGATTACTCAGCCATAAGTCTAAATAATAGGCTTCACCACAACTTTAATAGTGGACACATTGTGGCCCCGCTTTTTTGTCTTCCCCGTAAACCGTAAAGGGAGTTGAAGTTAAAATGCGATACTGAGTGGCGGTAAAGAAATGAATAAATTCCATTCTATTAGAGTCCACGGAGATCTACAAATCTAGCAGTGTAACGGCAGCGCAGTCTCTCCGCAGTATCGTCGCTAAAGCTCCTCCACGGCTCTGCTCCAAAATATTAGGGCTGGGCAGTCGCTTCGCTCCAAAATCCGACGGTCGGAAACTTAGGGTTGAGCCACGGAAATCGCCACACCACTGCCCTTTATAGGAATAGATACGGGTTAACCCTATCGACCCCGGGTAATACATCCACTGCCCTCCCTCCCATCTACTTCAACCCCCCCACGCCTTCCCCCCCCTCACCACGACCAACACGACAACCATGGCGACCAACCCGGCCATGGCCCCTCCTCCGACGACGACCAAGCCCGCGAAGACGACGATGCGGCACGCCGGCGACTACAAGCGGCGGCTCCCGTTCTCTCGTCGCCTGCGGCACCACATGCGGAACACCGCGAACCTGACCGGCGAGCTCGTCCCCTTCGTTATGGAGAAAGCGTCCTTCTCCGCTTTGCCCAACGTTGGGCGCACAGGTTTGATCGGGGTTCGGCGCACGCTCCCATTCCATGAGTTTATTGACCGCAACTTTAGGGGCATGATGGAAGACGTGCACGGTGCGGGGGCGGCGGCGGAGCGCCGCGGCCTCGTCATCCGCATCGGCAAAACGCTCGACGCTATCCCCCTCGACAGCTTGGCCGGCGATACTCACACCGTCGAACAGGTCTGGATGACTTTTAAGGACGTGGATCAGGCGTGCTACATCGTCTACTACGAACAGGGAGGAGGAGATGGCTGGAAGAAATTCTTCAAGATCATGCCAGACGAGGATATGACTGGAATGGTTAACACGCCCCGTCAGGCTCGTCGCATCGAGAGACAGGCGCGCATTCAAGTTCAGGCCCGCGCCGCTCGGCGTCAGGCTCTTCAAGCTGAGCTCCAGGCCCGCGCTGTGCGCCGTCACGCTCGTCAGGTTGCGATCCAGGGCGTCGCTCAGCGTCAGGCTCAAGTTCAGGCTCGTCAGCTTAAGACCCAGGCCCAGGTTAAAGTTCAACCCCTGGCCCAGGTTAAAGTTCAGACCCAGGTTCCAGTTCCAGTTCAGGCTCGGGTTCATGTTCTGCTCCAAGCCCGCGCCGCTCGGCGTGAGGCTAAAGTTCAGGCCCGCGCCGCTCGGTGTCAGACCCGGCAGGACTTGAAGGCGTATATACTGCGTTAATACAATATACCTAGTCGGCAAGGACACAACGACGGATAACCTCTACTGGACTGGACTGGCATGTCGGCTTCTTCGTAGCTTTTTTCTAGAAAAAAAAGGACGAAAAAAGGGTTCACTTTCACTTTCACTATTTCTAGTTCGTCTATTTCTGGTTCGTCTGTTTTGCTCTATTTGCTCCGTGATTAGACCGGTTCCCGGTAATATGTAACACCACCCAGTGCACGCACCAGCACGCCCTCTAGGCTCCAGGCTCCGAGAACCGGAGACGAAAGTCGGTGGCGGATCGGTACATAGACAATCGCTTATATACACGCAAAAGGTTAACCAATCCCACCACATCATCCGTAATCCGAGTGCTTTCCATGGTCCACGCGCTGCAGGTAGGTAGCTCAAGTTCATCGAGCAAAGCTCGAACAGGTATTATCAATTACGTTTATACCGTCTACATCGTCATCATGACCATCACCATCATCTTCCCATCACCTTCCAATCACCTTCCCCTTCCCCTACCCTTCTCCCTCCCCGCATCCACATCCATCGTCCCACCAGCACTCTTCCACACGCCCTCCTCGACCCTAACGGGGACCTTCCCGCCCCTGAGCGCGGTATCGATGATCCACAGGCCGACCACCCACTCCTCCCTGCTGAGCCGTCCCTTCGCGCCTCGATCCACAAGCTGCCACACCTCGGCGAGCACACGGTTCTCGAGGCGACTTCGCTGCCACAGTTCACGGACGACATAGTTCTCGATATACTTGTACCCCGGGGAGTTAGATGCGAACAAGCCCTCGTAGCGGCGTCTAGCAGCCGCGGGGATGGTGCGTGCCCACGTGTGGTTGAGCACTTCGTTGTGGCGGTGGCGGCGCGGCGGAGGCTTCGGTGGTGGGGGGGTGGGACTACGCGGTGGGCGCAGGGTCCGCGGGAGGGCGGGGAGGGAGCGGCGCCGTTGCGGTGAAGGTTTGTGCGGCGGGACGGGGGCGGGTGGTTTACGTGGCCCTGGGGGGATGGAGCGCGAGGGCGCAAGGGAGGCGGCGATTGTGGCGGCAGGGCGGGAAGGGATGGGTGGTGGGATGGTGGGGAGGGAGCGACGACGACGGGGGAGGGGGGCCGGTGGTTTGCGGGTGCTGGTCGGGAGGAAGGGTTTTTTCTGGGGTGGTGGGGGTGGTCGGAGGACGACGGTTGTTGCGATGGAGGCGCCAGAGGCGGAGGTTTCGGAGGTTGCCCGCGCAAACGAAGGCGGGTCAATGATCTTCCGTCGCGGCGGAGGAGTTTGGCCGTCCGACTTGCGTGGAGACGAAATGTGGGCCCTTGCTGCCGCCGTGGGCGCGCTGGAGCCTGAAGACGCTGAGGCCGTTGATGATGTGCGCGCGGGTAGGGTGGGTCGTAAGTTACTGGTGGAGGGAAGTTTCCGTGGTGGTGGGCGCGCTTTCCGCGGTAGTGGAGGCATCGGAGCCCCTCCTCCTCCGGTATTCTGCGGCCTCGAAGCGTGAGCTATCGTTGCCGCCGTCAAGGCGCTGGGCCGTCCCGAGTTGTGCGACACCACCGATTCGGTGTGTCTTACTGGGGAAGCGTCTCCTGTCGCCTTCTTCCTCGTCGGGGGAGGCAGCGGTGATCTTCCGCCCGTCGTTTGTGGAGACGGGAGTGCCGATGTGGGCCTCGATGATGCATGGGCTACCGTTGCTGCCGCCAGTGCGTCGTTCCGCGCTCCTACACCCGAGATTCCCGAGTCCAGTGATTCCGTCCGCGCGATCGGCGGCTTCTTTGGCGGCGGAGGCTTGGACTTGATCCGTTCCAAGTCATGCGAAGCGGCCGATTCCGTCCGTGCGATGGGAGACATGTCCACTTTCTTCTTCTTCGGTGGTAGAGGCGCCGGACTCGACACACCCGCCCCCACCGTGGCTGTCACGGGGGTTGTGCGCGCGGGGTGGGATGGTCGCACGTTGGTGGTTGTCGTGGGGGGTTTACGCCGCGGTCCACGAGCCTTCCGTGGTAGTGGAGGCATCGGAGCTCCCCTTGCACCCCCACCGGTAGTCTGCGGGCTCGAAGCATGGGTCCTCGTTGCCGCCGACTCCCTGGACTCCGTCCTTGCGATTGTAGGTCGGTCCAGATCTACCCTCTTCCACGGCGCCGGTCCTCCCGCTCCACCGGTAGTCCGCGGACTCGAAGCATGCGCGCGGGACGCCGCCGTTATCGCGCTGGAACTCTCCGAGTTCCTCGAAGCCACCGAGACCGAGGACGGTTTGGGCGCAACCGGGGGTTTCGGGCTCATGCTCGGGCTCGGGCTCTGACCAGCACTGGTTGCGACGATTGCGGCAGCCAGGGACGGGCTCTTTGCGGTAGTCTGCTGTTCGAACATCGATTTGAGAGAGGAGATGTCGTCGAGCGATGAAGAGTCGACTTTTTCCGGACTGCCGGGGCGCTTCCGCGCATGACTCGTCGTTGTCGAGGGTGATAGGGGGGTTTCGTCCGCTTCTCCGAATAGCTTCAGGCGCTGCCGCACCGCGAGCGCTTCTCCTTCCCCTGCCATGGCCGATGAAGAGGAGCCAGAACGAGAGTGTCGCGATGACCTGGTGTTGGAGCGCGATGTCCGCTGTTGTTGGCGTTGGTGTTGTTGTTGCTGTTGTTGTGGTGGTGGTGGTTGTCTCCTATCCCCCCGTTCGCGTATAGCTGGTGCTGGTGGTGGTGCAGGTGCTGGTTGCTTTTTGGCAAAGCTCAGCACTGCCGCGCGGAGAGCTGCAGAGTCCGGGGCCGGCGATGCCGTTGCATTTGCGGCTGGCTTTGGGGCCGCCCGCTTGTACATGTCATTAAAATAGGTATCTAGTGCCGAAGCCGAGGAGCGAGAGATCGTGAATCACAAACACAGGAACGAAAGAGAGAGAAGGAGAGAGAGAGAAAGATAAACGACAGGAAGAGATATGGATGGATGACTGGATGGGGGGCTGGGAAGGGAATGTCAATAATGCCTGTTGCTTGTACAAAGTGCATAAGCTGTCCACGATGCAGCTGAAACGGCGTTCGAGCAGCCGGGCCGTAGGGAACTGGTAGGCTCTGCAGCTGATCCTCGTTTGGGAGCCTCTCGGGCAAAAAAGGTCTTTGATTTTGCGGACGGTCGGTAGTGGTAGCAACAAGTATTTCTTTGTGTGCGGCCGTGGATGAAGTTCCATCACCACTACAATAACAACAACACAACACCGCCGTTTGGGCTCGACGCCAGTTCCCTCCAAGACCGCCTCGTATCAGTTTTCTAGAATTGTACAACTCGTTCCAAAGCCCAAAGCGACGAGCGTTGCCAGTAGCTAGAGTACTAGGCACATAAGCAACACATACATCCGTTGAGTGCCGGCTTTGATGGGTTCGCGGAAGTACCATGGACGGTACCCATGCATGTGCGGTGCTTGACCGGACCGGACCATACGGAATAGGTATCGAATGGACTTGGAGGCTTTTGTACGGTCATCGTGAAGACCCGGCTTAGTACGTCCGTCCGGCAGGCGTGGTGCATCACTCCCCTGTGAGGCCGATGGCCCATGTATATATGCAGAAAACACGCTTCAAATTCCACTTCCAATTCCAGTACAAGTAGGTATCATATCATATCACATCACACACTCTCCAGCCCCTACTACACACCAAACCTCTCCTCATCCAGCAGCGTCCTCTCCCCGATCGACTCGCTCACCCACTCCCTCCCCACCACTCTCGGGGCCTTCCCGCTCCACTTTGCAATCTCGCTTCTGATCTCTCGTAACTTTTCGGGCGATGTCTTAGCGTCCACCACCACGTGTGTGATCCCCCTCCCGGCGGCGGCGGGGAGTGTTCCGGCAACGACCTTCCCGCCCGCGAACAGGATCGGTGTCGCCGCGAGCGTGTAGCTGCTGGATTGTGGTGGGGCGGCGATGTACACTACGCAGGAGGTGAAGAGCCAGCCGGGCAGTTCTGCGTCGTCGGAGTCCTGGGTTGATAGGGAGGCGTGGAAGGAGGCGTGGAGGGCGGGGTCGGTGTCGGTGTCGGTGGAAGCCGGCATACCCTCGAGCAGCGCGCGCAGCTCGGCCGCGTCGATGTCGCGGGCGTAGCTATCGCCGTATTTGTCGACGCGGTTGGCGGCTTTGTGTGCGGTGAGCGGGGTGGCGAAGAATAGGTGGCGCGGCTCGAGGGGGAGGAGGTGGTGCTCGCCCGTTCTCTCGTGCTGCGCGATGCAGTCGAAGAGCCACTGCGGGTGGATGATATCGTGGGTGCCCCGCTTCTTCAGCGCCGAGATCTTGACGGTGTTGCGGTCGCCGATGACGTGGATGGAAGGGTGGTTCTCATTCTGCAGGAAGTGGCCGCCGTGGGATTTGATGAGTGCTTCGATCTCGGGCTTGGAGACTTTGTTGCGCCGCGAGGAGGAGTCGGTCAGGACATAGAATGTGTGGTTGGCGAAGAGCGTGTCCGGGATGGCCGCGAAGCGCGGGACCGAGTGCTCGTCCGCGCCTGCGACAGTGAACTCCTTCTTTACGCGCTTGTTGCGCTGGCGGCGCCGCTCGACGTCGAGCTTCTTTGTTTGCGCGGAGTGCAGGGCGTCGGCCTGAAGCTTCATGAAGCCCTGGATGCTGAGGGCGGTTTTCCAGTCGCGATCTGGGCGCAGCCGCTTGAACCGCGGGAAGCGCAGTGTCTGGTTCATGCGGAACTGGTCCGTGGCTGCGATGGAGGCGGCCTTGACCTCGACTACGAATGAGTTCTCCGGGTGGATCCACATGTGCGGCTTCTCGAAGTGGCGGTCGCCACCTGCTAGCTCGAGCCAGTCCGGCGGTGGGTGCGCATTCCACTTCCGCCACAGCCCGTCGGTGTTGTGCGCAATCGTCGCATAGTCGTTCGCCGTGAAGCCCCCGCCCACTTTGAAGAAGCTGTAGAACTTCATCGGGTTCGCCCCGGGCGGCAGCGCGTTGCCGTCGACGCGCAGCGCACATAGGTACGACGAGAGGATGCTCCCCCGCTTGCCGGTGCCCCAGTACCCGCCGACCACGAGGCAGTCCAGGGACTCGCCGTATTCGGTCATGTACTCGGGCTTAACCTTGACCCAGTCGTCGTTGCGGTCGTTGAGGCGGTAGACTGAGCGCGGGTTCTTGATCACGAGGCCTTCGAAGGCACTGGCGATGACCTGCCGGAGCTCGGCCTCGATCTCCTCCGTGGTTGTGGCTGAGTTGTACTGGTGGATTTCGATGCGGCCGGGCTCCGAGGTCATAACGCCGGTCAAAGCTTTCCGGCGGTCTTCGAGCGAGTAGTCGAGGAGACTCTGGCCGTTCAGGAAGAGGATGTCAAAGACGCGGAATAACGGACGGTGCTGCATCCCCTCCGGATTGTTGCTCGTTTCGATCGCCGCGGTTTTCAGTGTTCCGAAGCCGACGATGCAGTCCACCGTTGGATCCCAGGTGATCATCTCGCCGTCAAGGATGATGCTGCCGACACGCTTGTCGAATATCCCTTCGGCGAAGCGCGAGACACTGCCGTTCTTGAAGCTCGAGCCGTAGAGATGCGTATACTCCTTCGCCTTCCTGCTCCACCATCTGAACTCGCCATTATCAAAATGCATCTGCATGCGCTCGCCATCCAGTTTCTCCTCGATCCAGAACTCTTGTCCGCCCATAGCCTTGATCACCGTAGCCAGCGACTTCTTCTGGAACTGTGCCAGCTGCGGTTGAAAGCACGACATGAGAGTAACGCCCTTCTCGTCCGCGCCCACGCGGAAGTCGGGATCGTACAGTTCCCAGCAGACGCGGCGCAGAGAGGATGAGACATTGAACATGGTATCGGCATCGGGGTGCCAGGCGTCAAAGAAGGTCTTCTCTGTGGCTCCGACTTTCATCTGCTTCAGGATTATGCGGATCAGCCACATGAGCTCTTCTGCGCACATGTTGTTGTAGAATTCCTCCATGATCGGTAGTTGGTTTTCACTACGGCCGGTCAGTCGTCTTCGCTGGATAAGGCCAACCAAGAGATATGCACTTACTCTCCGGTTACTTGTGAGAGGCGATCCAGCATCTCATTGACCTGCGCAATCGTCAGGGGCCCTGGCGTGGTCCGCATCGGACGCTTCTTGATGATCTCGTAGCATCGCAGCGCAAAATCACCAGCGCTCCTGGACCATGCACCAGGCAACTTCCAGTGGAGCAAGCCGTATCCATCGTCACTGTCCTTCCTAATCTTCATCACCTTGACGAGGAGCTTTCCTATGCGCTGCTCCTTCATGTGATACCTTTCCGCACAAAATCAGCATCATTCCCACCCCCCCTTCACACACCAATCCCTCAGGCTCCAGCACTCACACATTCCTCTCACGATCCTTATCGCACAAGATCAACCTGAACGCGGGGAAGATATCCGGGCCGACCTCGCTCCTCCACCTCTTGACGAAAGTCTCGATGATATTCCGCCTAACCTCATGCGGCTTCAACTCGCGGTTCCCTCGCAGTCCCACCCCGGTCCGCTTCGTCTTGTTCTGCAGCAGCGGCACGAATAGCTTCGTGTATAAAACATGGAACGGGAACGTCGCGTGCGTGTTAAGTGGTCGGTGAGGGTATTTCGCCTCGATCTCGGCTTCGGTGAGGGATGAGAGGCTGCTGGCTAGGTCGTCGTCGTCATGGTCGGCGTCGCGGTCGGGGTCAAGGTCGTGGTCAAGGTCGTGGTCAAGGTCGTGGTCGTGGTCGGGCGCGGCGTCGGTGGAGGGCGGGTGGTCCATGGTCGCTGGTCGCTGGCGTCGCGTGGGAATACTGTCCGTCTGGTGGGGGGCGGGGGAGACGCGTCAAAGAGTGGACGCGACGGGCTGGCGGCCTGGATCACGTTACGTCATCCTCACCCGTGTCAAGTCTAGCCTCTTTAAAATGGCGAATCCATTGCGCACCACATGTAGATACCCAAGCCAAGTATATGATCATGTAGGTACTCCCTATCGTTTCAGCGTGTCTGTGTGCTATCTATCTCCATACTTCTCTCGAGTCTCGGAAAAACTAAGACCACATTCTCGTCCATTTCCTGCACTTCCCGGCCCGTTTCCGAGCCCGCCGCTCGGCCTCAGGCGATCGTTGCCTGGCCTGGGACCGCATCTCGCGAAGAGCTACATACGTACCAAGTAGAGTACGTAGTATCTCCAAGTCAACACGAAGAGGGAGCCCAAAAAGAAAGGGGAACACCTGGGCCAGAAACGAACCCCGGATGCCCCGCGGCCCGTCTGCCATCCGAGCTGGCTAATCACCCGTTGCAGTTCGACATCTTCTACATACGTCCGCTACCGTGGTAGATCGGAGAATCGGTACCAAGGTAAGGGAAGGTAACGAGCATCAGTCGGCGCTCGGTATATGCATGGTGTGAGATAGGGAACCATATGCACCCACCATCTCTGGTGGTGTGAGCGAGTGGACGAGTGATGATGACGATGACCCACTCGACTCCGCCAGCCCCGCCGACATCAACGATAATCCCCTCGAGGATGCGCCGCACACCGCCCCTCAGCTCTCGGCAGAAGGGATCTGTTGTACATGGAGTACTGGCTGTGATTACGGGCGTCGTTGATGGCAGGAGTGCTCAGTGGACGAGAGGTCCAGCTCGAAGTTCCGAGTGCACATTGCGATAATCTAATCTAATCTGATGTGCTATAACCGCTTATCCATCTGATCGCATCTGCAGCAAACAAAGAACCGCACCCGATTCTGGGACGGAAACATTCGACGCGACACTCCACAGCTCATCACACACTGCCCCCACACATCTCATACATCTCTGAACTGTACTCTAATTTGCCGAAAGCACGTACATACTTTAGATCTAGATGGCGGGGACAACACCTAGATCGCACTTATGTGAGGGGTGAGGGGGGCCGGGGCGGGATAGTTACCGCCCGCACTGGGCCGTCAGCATCTAGCAAGCTCTCGGGTCTCGCGTCTCGTTTCAACCACGACAGGTGCGAGGCGGATTGTTGATGATTACACACTACATGCACCGCGGTCCGCGGAGGAGTCGAATCAACGGCGACCTTGTCAAACGAAGGGTTCCGATGCGGTCCACGCACAACCATTTCATCGCATCGCCCAAGCCACCACACCAAGCGTGCGTGGAGAAGACCAAGCCTACCTGCCACGAAACGTTGCGGACAAACAGAAAAATCAAATCGACGGCCGCAGTGAAGGGCAGTGAAGGGAAGTGCGTGGAGAAGAGTACGGGTGCCACTTGGAAGGGATAGTTATCGATCTGGAGGCGTCCGTTTGTTGGTTTATCGGTGGCGGAACGTACAGTACGGGTGAGTACCGGTACTCTAGGTGGTACTTGGGTTACAAAGTCCCGTTGGCGTCGGAGTGTACTACGGTAGAGTATGTACTCGTGCTCGCCGTGATGTCGACAGAGTTGCTGCTTGCTGCTGCTGCTGCTGCTATTACTCCATGCATTTCGTGATTTCGCGATTTCGTGATAGCCATCGGAGCCAAAGAACATTCTGCATGATTGTAGTAGTCTCACCTCCGACCCACTTCCCCATCCACGCCCCCCGCGCCGCCTATCTGCCGTCGTCTCCCGCTTCTGCCGCCACGGCCGCCTATCACCTCAGAGCTGTGGGTCGATGCTCTGGGAAGCAGTTATCTGTGTGATCTGAGGAATGCAATCCAGGCGGCAACCTGCAAGTCGTCTTCGTGCCTCCGCTCCGCTGCTCCATGTATGTCGAGTACTCTACACCGCAATAACCATGCTGCCACTGCTCGAGTTTAGCTCGAACCGAGTAACAGTTACCAGCCTCTGCTCACTAGTCTCCAAGCACTCTGGGAGCCTTCTCGGCGGGTTGCCCCTACTTCATCCCCTGCTGCCAATTCCTCGGAGCTTGACATCCCTCCCTGGCCTGCCTGCCAGCATCCCCCTACCCGCCCTCCTCGTCCTTGTTCTCGACCTCTTCCGCCTCCCACTCCAAGCCGGTGCTATCGGTACTCTACATTCCCACTCCGAAAGAGAGACAGAGGCGAGACTCGGAAGACAGAGACTGAAAGAGACTGAGACACAGACAGAGACAGAGCAAGAAGAAGAGAGAAGTCTCCCCACCGCGCTCGTCCTCACCTTCGAATCCTCCCACCGGCCTAAACCACCCCCCACTCCTCTTTGCCACTCGAAGTCGCCATTGCCATCTATCTCCATAATTACATACTCTACATACCTCCTACTCTGCGCGCTTCGCTCACCAGCCAACCAGCCTCTCTGGCGAATTTGCCTGTCCCGGTTGAAGTCGAGGTAGAGTACCGACTCTCACATACTGCCGTATACATCGGTCCCCTACGCGCACAAACACAGCGGTCGTCTTACATAGTGCTCACATAGCCCCCCCTTGCCTTTCTTTTGGGCATATTGAACATTTTGAAGGGTGGGTTGCTGCTGCTCGCGCATTTTTTTACATATTACAATGTTGCCTTCTGGGATTGCCACCACCTCTCACATTGTGTCACACGCTTCTTCCTCTAACAGCAACAATAACTCCTCTTCCGCCACTACAACTTCGTCAGCAAACTCGGGCTCGCGAACCGGCCGACTACGCGGACTCTCGTACCTACGCTCCTACGCTCACGGCCACTCTCACTCCCACAACAACAACAACAACAACAACCACAACACTGGCAACCACAACACTGGCAACCACAACAACGGCAACGGCCAACCTGCAAACGCTACCATCGTAACCACCACTACCACTACCACTACCATCACTTCCTCCTCCTCCGCCTCCCCCTCCTTCGCAAACTCCTGGAATCCATCCTCCCCCCCGGCTTCTTCTCGTCCTCCGCGCCAACGCCGCGCCACTTCGCCTCTGAACAACACCGCCTTGAATTCATGGATACCGACCGTTAGTGGTGTGAGCGGTCTATCACGTGTCGTGTCGCTACCGGCTGCTGAACTTTCTACGCCAACCGTGCATGCTACAAACGTCCCACCCCCTCCAAACGACGGCTCCGACCCCAGCTCCGCCGTCCGTTCGATCGACCAGACCATATCTTCCCACGGCCCCTCCTTTTCGTCGCAACAGCAGTCATCCGCCATGGTCACTGCCAACAGCAATGGTGCCCGCGCGGGGCTTCATCCCGACAACCAGCCTCTGCCGTCGATACGCTTCACGCCCTACATAGACCTCCGCTCGAACCGCGAGTCCCTGCACTTTGCTCCGATCGAACGCTGCCTGCGACAGAAGGACGAACACATTCGAGTCGGCCGTGCCAGCGAACGCGACGCCAACAACCCTCACGCTCCCGTCGGCTTCAGTTCGAAGGTGGTGTCGAGGCGGCACTGCGAGTTCTGGTGCGACAACGGTCAGTGGTTCGTTAAGGATGTTAAGAGCTCCAGCGGCACGTTCCTGAACCACATTCGACTGTCGGCACCTGGCATGGAGAGCAAGGCCTATCCCCTCAACGACGGCGACATACTGCAGTTGGGAATAGATTTCAAGGGCGGTGAGGAGCAGATCTTCAGATGCGTCAAGATACGGGTCGAGTTGAACCGGGCATGGCAGAAGGCTCTGAATAACTTCAAGTATGCAAACCCAACTCACCCCCACTTCTGCGGAATGGCAAACTTACTCGGCTCCAGCATGTCCGCGCACCGCCGGTTACGAAATCTTGCAACGGCCGGGAAGGACCCAGATACCAGCTCATTGAACACTTCGGAATGCGCGATATGTCTCCTCCCTGTGGCAGTAAGTTGCTCATGTGCTACCGGAAATGAGGCGCTCAATATCGGTCTTGTGATGTGTGCTAATCCCACATCCTAGCCCTGTCAATCTTTGTTCGTTGCGCCCTGTTCCCATGTTTGGCACTACAAGTGTATCCGACCTCTGGTTGAGAAGGAATACCCGACCTTCCTCTGCCCGAACTGTCGCGCCATCGCGGATCTCGAGCGCGAGATCGAAGAGGACGAGTTCAGAGAGGAGCTCTGGGAGGCGCCGCCGCCCGAAATCCTGGAACCATACGCCAAAAACCAGTCGCATTCCGAGTCGCCGACTGGCGCAGTGGGCACCGCCGAAGCCACCACGGCCACCGCTGCAATCACCTCGAGCGACGCTGTGATTTCCGGTCCCTCCGGCAATGGCACCGCCACCAACGCACCCCCGGCGGCGCCCCCGCAGACCATCGCCGTCGCAGTCCCGAGCCCTTCACAGTCACCCCCGGCCGAGACGGCGCCTCCATTCGGCCCCCAAACTCCGCCACTACAAATCAACTGCCCATGGCGCAACCGGCGTAGCGTCGACGAGGGAGGCTCAAGCGATAGCAGCGGCGGCGAGACGGGCCACGAGGGCCCATTGACGCCCATGAACGACGTCGGCCCCTTCGTTCTCGACGGGAGTCAGCCGCGCGGAGACAGGGGACGTAGGGAAACTCTGTTCCTGCCACTGGGAATGGGCGCCCTTTAGTTCAGTAGTCGGATACATTTACGGGAGGCTACTGCCTCTTTCAGAGTTCTTTTTCATTTGATACGGTTTTTTTTCTTTTCTTATTCTCTGCTTTGACTTTGACGATGCCATTGCTTGCTTGTGGTACATAATTCGATCCCATTACGCCGCCTCTCACTTTCTTTCCTTTTTCGTTTTCCTGTTTCTTTCGTTCTCCTCCACTTCTTCTTCTTCTTCTTCTTCTTTTTCTGTGTTGAATTGCGTGCTTAGCTAGCAAAGCATAGCGTGCGGTTTGTTGTTGCTGTTGCTGTTGGTGTCGGCGGTTTGGTGATGCTTGGTGTTGCTCGATGGGATGGGATGGGAGGTTGAACGAACTAGTACACAATGTGGGCAATGACGAGTGCTTTGTGGATGGGCGATTTCCTTTTTCACTTGCGAGAATGATGCTGGTGAAATGGATGAATGCGAGGAGTAGATGGATAGGGAATTGGGAATTGATACTCGAGAGAGTGAGAGTTATATACTAGTACACTGGGCCCATGGCGGCTCGTGAGTGTGAACTCGGCAGACACCAAAAGAGACGAGAGTGCTATCAAACGAGAGCAGCGTACCCACCTACATGCGTCTGTCAGGACTCGAGCAACGGGCGGCCAACCACACACGATCACTCGCCCTTGGAACCCGTTGTTGCCGAATTTGGAATACCTAGATCTCCGTGCCGCGAATCTCTGCGGACGAGGAGGAGGAGATTCCAAGGCTGCGTACGAAGAGTTGTGCGTACTCTACGCTGATGCTGCTGCCTGCTGCCTGAAGCCTGAAGCCGTACATACATAAGGCTCCAAGCCAACGTCATCCCTATCTATCCCTATCCCGAGCTATCCCTGTTAGGTGCGGCGGCAATCCCCGTCCGCCGCGCTGTCGCGGCCGAGCCCCACCAGGCCACCATACCATAGCTCCTGGATACATCATACCGTACACCCATCAACATCAACTCTCAACCCCCTCACTACCCCCCTCCCCCCCATCACTACCCCCCTCACCGCCCGCCCGCTCGCCCGCCCCGCCCCCTCCCACCCGCCCCGCCCCCTCCCACCTACCACCACGATGAACCCCTCCCTCCCGGACATGCCGATCCAAGTACCGATCGACGACCCGAATGCGGACACGGAATGGAACGACATCCTGCGGAAGCACAAGATCATCCCGGAGCGGGCGCCGTCGCCAACGCCGCTGATCGAGGAGGCGTTCCACGAGGCGCGGCGCCTCGCGCACGAGAACCGCCTGGAGGGCCTCGATCTCGACGAGCTCGACGAGCTCGAGGATATTGAGGACGAACAGTTTTTGGAGGGGTACAGGTACGTCTCTCTGTCTCTGTGCCCAAGCCGCGGGGGATGGGGGAGGGGCGGGGGCGAGGGGTTAGGGGGTGAGAAGGCTGATGGTGGTGGGGTAGGCAGAAGCGAATGCAAGAGATCTCCGCGCTCGCCGCGGCCGCGCTGCACGGAAAGGTCTACCCTATCACGAAGCCGGAGTACGCGCGGTCTGTGACGGAAGCGTCGGTTTCGTATCCGGTGCTGCTGCACCTGTCGTCGTCGACGCATGGGAACACCGCGTCGCGCCTGCTGTCGGAGCTGTTCCGGCAGGCGGCCCAGAAGTACCCCGAAATCAAGTTCTGCGAGATCCCAGGGAACATGTGCATCGAGGGTTATCCCGACAAGAACTGTCCGACGATTCTGGTCTACAAAGGGGGCGAGCTGACTAAGAACTTGATTGGCCTGGGCGAGATGCGCGGGACTGATACGAAGCTGCATGATTTTGAGAGGTGGCTCGTCGAGCAGGGTGTGCTGATGCAGGGCGATATGAGGCTCAGGAGGAGGCAGGAGGAGGAGGACGACAGGGAGAAGAGCGCCGCCGTGGGGATTAAGAGTGCCAGTAATAAGGCCCGCGTTGATGATGATGAGGATAGTGATTGGGAGTAGATGTGGCGCGGGCGGGGGCGGGGACTTTGTACATACCATACGATACCTACCAGGAAGGTCTGATTTCGGTGAGGCCTCATGATGTATCATACCTGCATTCCCCTCGACATGGCATACAAAACGAAAGCAAGCAAGCAAGAGCTCCTCCAACAGTGCAAATGTCCCACCGTCCCACCGTCCCACCGTCCCACCGTCCCCCACTCCCACTTCCCCGTTTTATGGACGAATACCTACCTATCATCTATCTGGCGTATACCTAAGTGTAGCAGCAGCATCCCCCCAGCGTTCCAACCAGGGATGCGGTCCCGGACGAGGACCGCACGGCTTGAAGGGTGGGCGGTTACTGATCCGTGACAACTTTCCGCGAAGGACACTCCGTGATGTAGGTGGCGAGAAGTAAGGCGTGTGATCGTGTGTGATGCAGTGTGAAGCGCCGTCGAGACGACCACCACCATCACCACCACCACCGGTAAACCCGTTTCATCATTTACTCGCATGCACCCTATCCGAATATGCTATCCGGGTATCCTATATGTGTGAGAGGTCAGGCTCGTTTTTTATTTTTATTTTGAGTAGCGAGGAGACGTTCCGAGTGCAGACGTGTGATTCCGTTCAACCCGTTCGGACCATCACCACTTCCACTCCACCTCCACTCCACTCCACCTCCACTCCACTCCACCTCCACTCAACTCAACTCAACTCAACTCAACTTCACCGTGAAATCCAGCCAGCAGGTAATCCACGCAAATGGACAGCAGAAACCAACGCAGTGAAGTGTCCGAATTGTTTGGTTGGTTGAAACTTGATGGCGAGGTTACAAGGTAAGGCATTATAATGTAGTAATCGTCCATTTCCATTTCCATTTCCATCCCCAATGCAACTGCCACTGCCACCGTCTATAACTCCCAATCCAATCCAATCCAATACATCGCCCCATATCCCATCAATCATCTTCATCCCGCCGTCCCCCTCGCCCCCTCGCCCCCTCCCCCTCCTCCAACTCCATTACCCCACCCATCTATCCCCATTGCAAAATTCACAAACCCCCCCAAAAGACAAAAACAGTACACAACAAAAGTTCTGAATCAAAAGCAAACGCCCCCATAACATCGTATCATATCTTACACATACACAACACACGTACCCGCACCCGCACCAGCAATGCCCTACATAACACAAAACACTTTTTATCTAAAAAAGGAAATAAGGAAAGAAAAAAGGGTAGTTGGGAGAAGAAAATACCACACCGCCGTTTATGGGGCCGCGGAGTACTGTTCTAGCCACCACAAAAAAACAGCCTGGTCGAATAGTATCAATCATCGAAACTATACCCGAACGTGGTCCGTCCCATTCCGCCTAGTGTCAAATCCGGACTTTTCCCTCCCTGCGCCTCATTTACAGGCGCCGGGGAGGCGGTGCGACTGATGGGCGCGGACTTCGACGCGCCGCCAAACGCAGGCGAAGCCGTGCGGCTGATGGGCGCGGACGCGGGGAAGTACCCGAAATTGGGCTCGCCGGGACTGTGTGGTGGCGAGGAGCCGCCCTGGCTGTTGGGGCGGCTGTTGCCCAGCGGCGGGCCCGACGTGTGGAATGTGTAGCCGAAGGTGCCGCGCGGAGGACCCGAACGCCGACCGTTGCCGAAGGTGAGCTTCGTGGGCGAGGGGAGGGGCGCGCTGTGGTCGTGGGTTAGTACGTGGGGGTGGAGAAGGGGAGAAGGCCGGGGGACTTACTCTTCGGAGATGGTGGCCATGCTGCCGCGGGCTGGTGGAGGTGTGGGCGGCATTGGGGGCGGGGTTGGGGCCTGCGGCGGTGGGGTGGGTGCCGGTGGCGGCGGAGTCACGGCGCTGCTTCGGTCTGCGGGAGTGATCTTGCGTTCGAGGTTTAGGCTGCCGACCGGAGATGCTGTTCGTCGTTCGGCGAGGGTTTCGATCCTGAGGACTGGTATGGCGGAGGGTGCAACGACTGCTGCTTTCGTTCCCACGACGGGTGTGGTCTTGAGCTCAACGGGTGTAGTCTTGCGCTCGACGGGTGTGGTTTTGCGCTCGACGGGTGTCGACTTGTGTTCCAAAGATGCGTCGAGCATTGACATTTGAGCCGTCACCGTTGCGGAAGCGGGTCGCTTTTCGACGCTGTTGCCATTCGTTTTTGGCGACGCCGCATTGCCGTTCGTCTTCGTAGGAGGAGGAGGAGGAGGAGGAGGAGGCGGAGGAGGCGGAGGAGGAGGAGGAGGAGGAGGAGGAGGAGGAGGAGTAGCAGCAGTTTTCCGACTCGGAGCCGCCGCTACGGGAATCTGCGTTGGAGGGGTGATCGCATCGGCCCGTCGGTCGACTGCAGCGGGACCGACACTCGCGACCGGCGACGAATTGAGTTGCGATGGGCTCGCCGGGGACAACGGCCGTGCAACAGGCGTAGGCGAGAGCGATCGGACAGGAGCAGACCCACTTTCGTTGGAGCCTCTTGCGGCCGTGGTCGTGGTCGTGGTCGTGGTTGTGATCGCGGTCGCGGTCGCGGTTGTGGTCGCAGCTGCCGCACTGGGCACAAACGAAGTCGCAATCGCAGGCGCGGAGGTCTGAGCGTCGCCGGTAGAAACATTCAGCCGCCGCTGCTGCTGCTGCTGCGGTTGGGTCTGGATCGCCGCCGGCTTTGGCGAGGGCGTCCTCGACGCTTTGATCTGCGCCATGTTTGGCAGCGCCGCCGTTCCGTTCGGTTTCGTTTCGACTGGTGGCTGGGCTGTTCTTCTGACCGCCCTCTCGTCCGCGTCCGACGAGTTCGCTTCCGACACCGTGCTCTTTGTCCTCTTCTTCCCCCCGCCGGCACCGTCCTTTCCTTTGCTCATACAGCTCCCCATCGTGGTCGTTGTCGTTGTCGTCGGTAGGTGATGATTTGTTGTTGTTATCGTTGTTGTTATCGTTCTTCTTTTTCTTTCTTCCTTTCTTTCTTTCTTTTCCTCCTCGTTCGTCTGGGGTGGGTGGACCCGTCTTGTTATACCAACCCCGGCTCCAAGACCAATATCACAGGCGCAGTCAGACCGAGAGCGCGAGCCTGAGGATCCAATCCAGCAAACGGGTGGGACGTGTCGTAGCCACGACTCGCTGTTCCCGGAAAACGCGGCTTACCTATTCTCCCTTCCAGCCAGATGGGGGACGAATGGGGTTCACGAATTGCAGTCGGCCAAGGTTACTCGAGCGGTAGATTTCTTCCTTTCGCGTTCGAAAGGGGGGGATGAGGGTGGACTTTAAATGTCACCAGTCCATGCCACCACCACCACTGCCATGGACGATTGTGTGTGGTGACGGTATGTATGCTTCCAAAAAATTCTTCTCTTCCGAAAGGCATGGCGGGTATGTAGAACACTGCAGAGCACTGTACGGTACATGGGCATAGGTAAAGTAACCATTCTGCCTCGACCCCAGCAGGCAAAGCAGATAACTAGACGGAAGTCGTCAAGCTATGATCCTGGCTCGAGCTGTACCTCCGTTCCTAGCACCTGCTGCTTGCCGCACACCAAGACCTGGAAGAGCAAAAGCAAAGAAAACGGATCAGAGCCGGTTGCGCCGCAGCCTCTCGGCTGAGTTGAGTCAGTTGAGTCCGTCGAGTTGTCAGTGGGTACATTGGGTAGGCAGTTACTGGTATGTACGATACCGGTATCACTGCTGGGCAGTCTGCTACTGGTATGTAGAGAATCTGCCAATCAGCCAGCGACGGGGCGGGGAATGGGGGTGGGTGGTGCGGTGTGTTTGGAGCGGTGGGAGGTGGTGGGATGGTGGGATGGTGGGACGGTGGGAACTGGCGCTGGCGACGGTGCGAACGCCAGGCAGAATTGGTGCTGGGTTCTGGGGAATGCACACTGCACAGCATGGAATGGTACAGAAGTCCGTCCATGCTTTGCTTGCGAACCAATCCGGATCACGCCTCTTTTTCTGCAGCAGCAGCAGCACGGATGCGAATGGGGAACCACCCACAGCCTTGAAGAAGCAGAAATCCAATCCCCTCCGCCTGTTTCCGTCCCATCATCCCACGTCTGTCGCCACGGAAGAAGGAAGGACGAAATGGTATTATCATCATTATCATCGCTATTATTATTGTTATTATTATTGTTATTATTATTTCCGGACACTCATTTCGCGCGCCTGGCTTGCCAGCTACAGACTAGTACACGATCGGTAACCACTCTACACCAGTGCTTAGAGCAGACTGGCTAACGACCTCCGTAAGCGGTGGGGGGAGGGGGGGTGGGCGGCGGAAAGCCGTTGCGAATCGCAATCTCGTTCCTTTTTCTCGCACGCACTCTCCACAAGGTGAATCTAGCACCGAAGCTTTCAGACTTCCAGTTCCTGGAGCCAAGAGGCCAAGAGGCCAAGAGACCGCGAATACCAACGGATTTACCGAGCTGGAACGCGCGAGCCGATTGGCTGGCTGGATGACTGGCTGGCCGTCGAGCGGAGGGAGATCCTCACGCTGCGACTCTGCGTCAAGAAATGCGCTCTTTCCTCCCTTCCCTTCCCTTCCTTTACATACCGCACTTTCCTTCCTTCCTAGCACGGCCACCGGCCGGCAGTCCGGGGATGGGCAGTCATGGTCATGGTCATGGTCAGCGCAAACAGAATTGTACCGAATCGAGGACATATCATACAACCCTACACATCACGTATCTCCCTACCGTATCCACGGAGCAGCACGGACACGGCTCCTCCCGTTCGTTTGGTTGCGTTTCGTTTCGTCAAACAACGCTTGGAAAGTTGCGGCCTGTCTTCCAAGTTCCAAGTTCCCCCCGCTCCCCACTCCCCTATCCCCCTCCCCCATCCATCCAACCATCCACCCATCCACCCATCCACCCATCGTCTTCGCTTCGGAGACGAGGCCGCTATGTACATAGAGTACACACTCTAAACATCCCCCTCCTTCCCGCATCTCGATGTGTCAATCTTTCAATCTTTCAATCTCAATGATTAATCTCACGCTCCAATTCAATTTGCCAGCGCACTTCACCTGTACCTCCACCTGAACCTTCAACTCCTCACTTTTCCCTCCTCACACCTCGCACCCGCAGGCGCAGCGAAAGAAAAGAGAGAAAAAAACCGAGCATCTGTCTACCCCTCCCGCCCACCCCCATCCCCCTCCCCCGGTTAAAATTGCTTCCCCCCATCCTCCATCCCAGACATGCGCAGGAAACATGGAAAAGAAAAGAGAGAGAAAAAGATAAAGGAAAGGAAAGGAAAGGGATCGGCAATTGTAATATCCAGGCGCGCATCACTCTCAGCGCCCAGTGGCCGCTGTCATCATCGGGAAGGAGGATGGGGGAAAACGATGGGGAGGATCGAGGGGGGATCGAGAGTAAACCGTTTACTCCCTCAGTCTCAAGGCTGGAACGATGGATGGATGGATGAAAAGCCTTCCTGGCTCCAACGACTTTTGTTTTTGTTTGATGATCGTTGCATTCGACCTTCGGTAGATCATGGCTGGCTCGTGCTGCGATCCCGCCCCGTGATGACCGGGCGGCGAGTGATATCCCATGCCATCACACGCCCGTGGTTTTCCCACGCCTCAGCCTCCCCCACCCCTTTGCTACACAAGTACTAGTAAGTAAAAGAAACTTTCAACAAAACGGCCTTACGCCCGCCGCCACCGCCGCCGCCGCCATCGTCGTGCTCGCCATCGTCGTCGCTGTGGTCGTGCTCGCCTCTTTCTGCGACTAACCTCCATACTACCTCCATACTACTGCTAGTACTGCTAGTACGATACCGACTCTATATAACGCTCGCGATCCTGCCGACTGCTTCCTAGGCCGTGCGTTAGTTAGCCACCCCCAGCCTCCTGCAAGCGACAATTCGCACTCCCGCTCCGGAGTCGAGTTTCCGCCCCCTCTCGCAAGTTAGAGTACAAGTTGCAACCCGTTGCTTCAGCCCCAAGGTAAAAAATGAAACGTCAAAAGTGCAAGTTGAACTGAAGCGGAGCGCTGTGAGCTCGACTCTCGAGTACCTACCTACCCTGCCTAGATGGAGAATCGCCAACTGCTACTCAACTACAGCTAGAGTACCCAACTTCCAAGTCCTCAACCCAGGCGTGTATCTAGGGTATCCAGTTGGCCCCTCGTGCCTTCTCCTCTCCCATCCTCTTCTCTCCTCTCCTCTCCTCTCCTCTACCCTAGGTACCTAGGAAGGGGGATCATGCGGTCATATGCACTCACTCGCCCGCACTCACTCGCCTCTTCGGTACATTTCCAGGCAGAGATGCGGTCATCGTACTTGCGCAAGCAAGCAAGCCCGTGGTTACCCACAGACCTCCTTTGTATCGAGTCCACCGGTTACCTACATACCTGCCTACCTGCAGCGTCGGTACTCATTTGCCGACAGCTATGTACCTAACTGTAGGTAGTACATACGGTACATACATACCACTAAAGACCACCTGCTCCGTGAGATTCATATTTAGGTGGTTATGTATGTGGGCAGCCACCCAGTGCTCCGTATGTACCTGTGTATCTCGCGTCATTCTATTCCCCGTATCTAACCTATGCTAGGTACCTATCCTATGTACAAGTAGATACAACCCACAGAGCTCCGAAGGCCGAAGGGCCGTGAGCACTGCTCTAGCATAGGTGCGGAGCACCAAAGCTCCGGCGCACTATTTACACTACCCTACACTACGAGATGTTCCTCGACCTTCTGGAACCTTTCCATAGCCCTCACGCGTCCGAGCACCGCCATAGTCTCCGCGACCGACGGACCTGGCTCTCCGCCGGTGAGCGCCAGGCGGACAGCGCGCATTGTAGCAGTCCAGCGGGAGCGGTCCTCATCAGGCTTGAACTCGACGATTTCGTGGAGGTGCTCGGTGGTCCACTGGTCATCTGGGACGGCGGCGAGGCGCGCGAGGAACTCCGACATCAGCGCACTGTACGTGAGCGCGTTGTCCGTGAGGTATTTCGACACTTGTCGGACGAGCTTGGCGTTGAAGGTAAGGGGGGTCACGAAGAAGTAGGAGGAGCTCGTGACGAATGGGCTCGGGAGAAGGTAGTTCTGGAGGTTCGCGTGGAAGACTCGTGAGATGTAGTCGCGCGTTATGGCCGCGCCGCTTTCGAGCCTGCGATGGGGGGGTTAGACCGGTGGCTGGATGACGGGGGGAAGGACGCTTCTCACTTGTCTCCGTAGGTTTCGGATACCTGCTTCACTACCACCTCGAATATCTCCTCCGCTGCTGCGCCGCCAGCCCCGACTGTCTCCCTAACATGATGTTTCTGCAGAAAATCCAATTTCTCAAAGTTGACCACCGTATTCCCCGGCGTCAGTCTCTCGGTATTGAACCTTTCGACCATATCCTTCAAACTCATGACATCGCTCGTCTGCTCGTGGCTCCACCCCAACAGCGCGACGAAATTATTCAGCGCCGAAGCAAGATACCCCTTCTCGCGGTACTCGGACACAAACACGTCGCCATTGCGCTTACTGAGTTTTCCGCGCTGAGCATTCTGGAGCAGGCCGACATGAACGAACTCTGGCGGGGTCCACCCAAAGCAGTTGTAGAGGTGCACGTGCTTCGGCGTCGACGGCATCCACTCAGTCGCGCGACACACGTGCGTGATCTGCATGTGGTGATCGTCGACGACATTGGCGAGGTGGTAAGTCGGCAGCCCATCGGACTTGAGCAGGATCGGGTCTTCGAACGATCCCAGCGAGTGTGCCCGCGCATTCTCGGTAAATGTGATGTGGCCGTACACGACGTCGTGGAAGCCCGGGTATTGATCCGGCGCCTTGAGGCGGACGACGTGGGATTCTCCCGCTGCGGCGCGGGAGGCGGACTCGGAGGCGGCAATCGAATGGCACGTTCGGTCGTAGTCGGTGGGAAGGTTTGCCCGTTTCCGGGCTACCGCGAGGGCTTGTAGACGCTCGGGTTTGCAGAAACACCGGTAGGCGTGCCCCGTGGTGATGAGTTGCCGTGCGTGTTCTTGGTGCAGTGCTGATCGCTCCGATTGGCGGTAGGGACCGTATGGACCGCCGACTTCGGGGCCTGGAGGACGTGAGCTTTCCGTATCCCCCCCCCCCCATGATTACTCCTCCACTGACTCCTCCTCCCCCGACTCCTCCTTCTCCCCCGACTCCTCCTTCTCCCCCGACTCCTCCAATGTCCGTGGCTAGAGACGTACCTTCATCCCATTGTAATCCCGCCCACCTCAGCGTCTCAAACAAGCTCTTTTCCGCGCCTTCAACGGTCCTTTTCTTTCACCATCGCAGTCAGCCCGTCTACCCAGCCCGTACTCCGCAACCTCCGCCTCCGCTACCTTATCCGTATCCTCAATCCTCAGCAGGAATTGGCCTCCGGTGCGCTTCGCAAGGAGGTAGTTGAACAACGCCGTTCGCAGCGAGCCCAGATGCAGATACCCCGTGGGCGACGGCGCAAACCGAGTCCTTGCCGGTTTCAGGGTGCTGAGCGCATCCGTGGATGAAAATCTCGCCCATGGAGCCGCCGATCGTAAGAGTCGTGGTGGTAACCGGAACATCGTTGTAATCATTCCTCGCTCCCCGAGAGTGAGTAGAGTCCCTACTCCATTGCTCCCGCCAGCTAGAACCCATCCTCCCGCACGCCAAGCAACGCAAAACCCCACCACACCACCCTCACCACCCCTGGCTGCGTCATCCCGCAAACGCGTAGATACCGTACCGTACAATCAACCACATCACCGCAATGCCGTTCAACCTCTCCGCCACCGTCAGCGTCCTCCGCTGCCTAAAAAACCCCGCACTGCTATACCCGCAATGCACGATCGCCACATTCGACCAGCTGCCGTACCCGCTGTCCTCCGCATTCCCCGGTAAACCCGATATCCGCGCCGTCGTGCTGGACAAGGACAACTGCTTCGCGACGCCGTACTCGCTGGAGGTGTATCCAGCCTACACAGTTCCGCCCCTCGCCGCTCACCCCTCACCCCACCATCTAACTCTGCGTCCCGGTAGTAGAAAACCTTTACTCGCCTCCGCGCCGAGTTCCCGGGCGACCGGCTCCTGATCGTGTCTAACTCGTCGGGCACATCCGACGACGCCTCGCACGCGGAGGCGGCACATCTCGAGAGCGCCTTAGGCGTGCGAGTCCTACGGCACAGTACGAAGAAGCCCGGATGCCACGGCGAGATCCTAGAGTTTTTCCGGACGTCGCCCGACGGCATCGGGATCACCCGCGCGGACCAGATTGCCGTCGTCGGTGATCGTCTGTGCACCGACGTGCTCATGGCGAATCTCATGGGCAGCTATGCTGTGTGGGTGAGGGATGGCGTTAGGCCCGCGAGGGAGAAATTCGTGAGTGGTTCCTGGGAGTGCCCGCGGCAAAGGAGGCAAGGCGCCGCTGATACGTGGTGGTGGTGCGCAGTACGGAAAGGTCGAGAGTCGGATTATGCAAATGCTCAAGCGGAGGGGGTGGGCGGCGCCGACGCCCTCGTCCAGTCCTTTGTGATCATGCGGCCAGCCAACCTGCCAACATTTATACCACCGATGTACCGTAGTTTAGATATCCCCACGAGTCACGAGTCACGACCAGTCACTCACTCACTCACTCACTCACTCACTCACTCACCATATAAGTTCAAAGATCTTCCATTCCATTCCGTACCTATCCCTCACACACTCCTTATGAAAATCAAAGCACAAAGCAAAGCAGAGCGCACGCACGCATCAAGGAACGGAATCAAGCTCGATATCACTATGGCAAGATGAAAAAAAAAGATGAAGGGTTCGAAATAGGTAACTCCTAACCGAAAAGAAAGAAACAAAAAAAAATGTTACCACTGCTTCTTCTTCTTCTCCTCGGCCTTCTTCAGCTCCTTATTCTTGTTCTGGTTCTTGTTCTGGTTCTTCTTCAGCTCTTCAGATCAATTTTTCTCAACGGCACGGCAAAACACCCCACACATGAATGAAAGGAAAGGAAAGAAAGGATATGAAGGTAAAAAAAGAGTAAAAAAGGTAAAAGGTAAAGGTAAAGGTAAAGGTAAAAAATCGAATCCCAGCCAGCCAGAAAAAAAAACATGAAAAAGAGAAGGAGAAAATGAAATGAAATGAAGAAAGAAGCAAAAAAAAAAGATATCCCCACGCCAGCTTCCAAGTACTACATCCACAGACAGACCCAAGAACGTAAAAAAAAGTCAGAAGAAACCAAACAAAAGAAAAGAAAAGAAAAGAAAAAGAAGCGTGTGAGAGTGTGAATCAAAAGAGCATATTCAAGATCAAGAGCGCATATGGCGGGGAAAAGGACCATAGAAAGGAAAAGGAACGAAAGGACTCTCTCTCGTAAGGATACACGGTAAAACTTCCCCCCACCCTTCACCGATCGACTGAGTTGGTCGGTCGATGGCCGGGTGATTCATGTAATGAAAGGGAAAGGAATCGGTAACACTCCCTCCTCTTCATCTTCGCCTCCGTTTCCCCCAAAGACAACAGCCCCCAGAAGCTCGACGGAAATATGGAATATATCCCCAATCAAAGCTTTTGGTAAATCCCAACGAAACTCTCACTCGCAGCTGACATGAAAAGAAGAAAAAAAAAGTAGGAAAAAGATGCGTATTACGGGCCGTCGATTTATGCCCAAACCTTGAGCTGTTGGGGGAGATGCGTGTAAGTAAAACCATATCTCGAATCGTGGAGAGGATTGATCGACTTACAAGAGAATCCCACGAGCCAGTACACAGACTGATGCCGTCATTAGAGACACCGAGACAGCTGACCCTATTGTCGTGACCGCTAAGGGTGCCGACACGCTCGCCACGGAGGACATCCCAGACCTAGAATCCTCCAATCAGCCCTGCAAACGCGGTGATATCATGTGCGAGGCGAAGGGCAAAGACACAGCGTGTTTCACAACCATGCCTCTCTACCCAACACCAACATCTGCACATCGGATCCAACTCACTTTGCACTCGAAGTCGTCGTATCCTGCGAACAGTAGCCGTCCGGACACCGAGAAGGCGACTGATGTGATACCGCACAGAATCTGGTCGGACTGTACGGAAGAAGAAAAAGCAAAACGTTAGCAAAACAAAAACCACCAAACACAGACATTCGACCCTAGTGCATTCCATACCGAGTAATTGTTGAGTTCCCTGTCAGCACGGATGTCGAACAGACGGCAAGTGGCATCGTCGGATCCGGTACCGAACGCGTTTCCGTCCGGGAAGAACTGAACTGCGTTGATGTCGGACTCGTGGCCAGCAAAAGTCTGCACAGCCTTGCCGGTGCGAACATCCCAAAGCTTGGCGAAGGCATCACAGGCACCCGACACGAAGATGTTCTGATTCGTCGGGTTAATGCTCAAACTCATCACGTCACCGAGATGGTCAGAAAACTCGGTAATCTTGGCGCCCGTGTCGATATCCCACAGCATACAGGTCATGTCACCGGACGACGTCAGGATGCGCCTATCATTAATAAAGCGGCAGCAGGACAGGTAGCCCGAGTGGCCCGAGAGTTCGCGGGCGACGCGAGTGGGTCCGTCACGGGTGGACAGGTTGTAGACGGAGCAGATGTTGTCGAGACCTCCACAAGCGACAAAGTTTCCGCTGGGGGCGTAGGCGCAGGTCATAACCCACGACGAGCGCAGCGGAATCGCGTGGACCTTGTTCGTGGTGTAGGCATCCCAGATGATGAGCTTGCCGTCCTGCGAGGCCGACACGAGATGGCGCCTGTCGGTCGACCAGTGCATGGCGTAGATCTTGGCGAGATGGCCCTTGAGGTTCTTTCGGACCTTCATGTTGGTGCGAGGAAGAGGCTCCAGCGTGTCTCTCGCGACCTGTCGCACTGTAGAACGAAAGCGGGTCACATCAGTATTCCGTTAAACCACTTGATAGAACGGATGACGAGTATCATCACGCCGCGTAACGTTGTGCGACCGCGGCGTTACGCGGCGTGAAGAAGGATCTAGCGCATGGGGATATGCTTACAGTCTGCATCTGCCAGTTCCTCCTTCTTAGACTTTATTCTGGCCTTGAGGTTCTCAGCCTCTCGCCGGGCAGCAGCAATGCGATCCTGGATGTCGGACATTATGGTTGTAGTTTTCGCTGTTGGGAGACTACGAGGGGGTGGAGGGGAGGAGAGGAGGAGTGAAGTGTTGAAAGGTGTCGAGTGTGCGATTGGACGAGGCAAGTTGCGTGTCGCGAGACTACTTGAGTGTGTTGTTGGGAAGTTTGAGTATGTGCTTAGACCAAGGAGGCGAGAGTGCGGTTAATGGGGGGTGGGTGGGTTGCCAGGCTGGGGGGATGGATGGATGGGTTAGGTGTCGGTCGAGAGCGAGTTGGAGCCGCTGTCAAACACACGACGAAAGCGGACGAATAACTTGCTGGACCGGGGGTGGATGGGCTGAAGTCGGAGAGGGGGGACGAGAGCGGTGATGGTGGCAGTGGTGACGGGAGATGGCCGGCGGAGGAGGAGGAGAGAGAGAGTGAGGGAACGGTGTGGTGTGGTTGGTGGTTTGGTTGGCTGGGGGGAAAGGGGGATTGGGTTGGTGGGCGATCGAGCATCACAGCGCGAGTACATGGTGGCAGCAGCAAGCCCCCGGTCCATTATTTACTGCCGACTCCACGCTCTAGCTGGCATTAACTAGCACAAGAAACCCAGCATTCAGCACAAGCAACCCGGCATTCAGAAATAATGGCCTGGCCGAGACACACCAACCCACAAAGGCTTTGGCGGCAAATAGGTACCATCCATCAGTACTTTGATAGTGGTTGTTCACCTGGTGCTGGCCTCTATGTTTGCAGACTACCCAGCGGCACGGATTTTGCAGGCTTCGCGGACTATCCTGAACGGGAAGAACAAACTCTCGACGAACAGATTCGGGTTTTTAGAGTAGCAACCTCATCTCGTTCTGCTCCATGCAAGAAGAAGAAGAGAAAGAAGCCACGCAAAAAAGAGCCACGGAAAGAGCCGGGAAGGGCGAGTGCGCGAGAAGAACGAGAACTGGTGGAAGGAAGGAATCGACCCTCGGATCTGAAGCTAGCAGTTGCTGACCGTCTTCGTCGCATCGATGGGATGTGCCGAACCGCCATGTAGTTACTCCACCTACCTAGCCGTCGGTTCCACTCCTGCACCGCACCTCCACACAGCTCGTACCGCGGTAACGAGAGCAACTCATCCTCAGCTTTTCACCGGAGCGAGAACGGCGGCTGCGATCCCGCAGTGAAAAGTCGGGAACCGATAACGGAACCGGCATCGCCACTTCGAAAAGAAAGGAAAAAAAGAAAAAAAGAGAAAGAAAAAAGAAACAAAGCCTCGCAACGAAATACTTGTTCACTAGAATACGGTATGGCTGCGTCGTGTTTCTTGCTTCCCCGGGATGGAACTCCGATGACCTCGTCTCCACGGGCTGGGAACAAAATGCCGCTTTCAGGGTCCCGCAAATGATGTCGATTTCGGATAATTCGCAGCGCGTCGCACCCGCGTCGCACCCCATATCCACTGGCCAGTAGCGGATACCGGTACATAGCACGTACGGATGTCTGGACAGTGGAGTAGGTGGGTAGTAGTGTGGCCCATGTGACGGCGTCCCAGCAACAACCGGTGTGTGGTGGAACAGGAACACTGAGGATGAACACTGGTTATATAGAATGTATAGTACTGGTAGCCCAGTAATCATCTGCCTTTTGCGGGTCTGTTGGCGGTACTATGATAGTAATATACACAAGTAAAGACTTGGATACCCTAGAAGTGGTTCAATGAGTCTAGGCATTCACAGCTGTGAACGTGCGAATGGCTCCAAAGTCTTCAAAGTCCAACGTGCAACTGTCAAGCCCATCACTCGTCCCGTCGGAGAAGTGCAACCGCCACCGGCCGAGCCACGATTCGATGTGCGGGGACGGGTGACATACGCCTCAGGAATGCATATTTGCAGGTGCATATGGATACCGTATGCACAATCGCGAATGTTTGTTTGTCATCCGCCCCACATTTTATCCATCGTTCATGGTGAGACATTACACGATGTCCAGCGAATCGGAGGCGGCCGATGCGGAACACGACATGGGGAGGGCCTTCGAGCTTATGTCAGTCATTGCTTCCTATCGTCGTGCTCCGCATCCACGCAACACCAGAGACTGAGACTGAGAGAGAGAGTCATGGCCGAGTTTAAGTCCTTTTGCGAGCAACTCTCGAAGATTGTGAGTTTACCTCTAATTACCAGTTAGTTAGTAGCGGTGGGTGGGTGGATGATCAGAGCTGACAGACCACAGGAGCTGCACGCGCATCTCACAGGCAGTATCCGTCGCGGATGCCTTCACGAGATATGGCTCGACAGGAAGGAGAAGGACCCTGCGTTCGAGCTGCAGGACCCGTTGGAAGTCATCCCGGCCGACGGGGTGACCGATATCATGGCCTTTGTCCGTTCCGCTTCTCTGGCAGAGCAACAAGTGCTGATGCACTAGGTATTGGTACGATAGTTCCCGCTGTTCTCGAAATACATCTACCACCTCTGCAACGACGTGGCCACGGTAGGGCGGTCTACCACCTCCGTCCTGCACGATTTCCATAATGACGGCGTGGTGTACCTGGAGCTGCGGACCACCCCACGGCACAACGCCGCGACGGGCCTGACGAAGACGGCCTATGTCGAGACCGTCCTGCGAACCATCGCCGAGTTTCCGGGCGCCATGAAGACCAACCTGATCCTCTCCGTCGACCGCCGCGACAGCCTCGAGACGGCGACGGAAACAGTCGATCTCGCCATCCGCTATCGCAACGCGGGAGTAGTCGGCGTCGACCTCTGCGGCGACCCAACTGTGATTTCCCCGCCTCCCATTCCCGCCCGCAACACCTACCATATCGCCGTACTGACCCCCCGTTGACAGAAAGGCGAACCGCACGTCTTCCGCACGATCTTCGCACGCGCCAAGTCAGCCGGTCTGGGGCTGACACTGCACTTCGCGGAGATCGCGGCGACGTCGAGCGACGCCGAGCTGGAAACGCTGCTGTCGTTCGGCCCCGACCGGATCGGCCATGTGATCCACGTGTCAGACCACATAAAGCGCAGGATCGCAACCATGGACCCAAAGCCGACGCTCGAACTGTGCATCTCTTGCAACGTCCAGGTCGGCCTGGATCCGAGGGTGCAGGAACATCGCGATCACCATTTCGGTGAGTGGTGGAGGGAGGGGACGAATCCGATCGTTGTCTGTGTAAGTTTTTCCATTCCGTTTCGTTTCGTTGCTTCCGAGAAGCAACTGATAATAGGACATGCACTGTAGACGGACGACGTGGGAATCTTCAGTACGTCATGCTCGAACGAGTATTTGCTGGTGGCGACGCACTTTGGGCTGTCAGAGCAGCAGCTCTGGGAGCTGGCATTCGGCGCGGTCAATTCAATTTTTGCCGACGATGTAACGAAGACGCGACTGTGTGAGATTTTCCTGTCGTGGAGGGAAAATAACATGTAATTCATGCATGTACTTGTACACACCATTTATTTATCAGTCATCGTGGTATTGATGGTGTTGGTGTTGTTGTGTAGTAGTAGCGTCGTTAGTGTTGTTACGCATATATGTACTGAGTGGGTCATCTCTCATAAAGCAAGTCAAGTTTTCACCAGTCGGCCTCGGCGTAACAGAACCCACATCTTGCCTTTTACCAGATATGGCCGTGTGCTGGGCACTTTCGACTGGAAATACTCTTTGGAAAAACTTGTCACTCGCAGCACCTTGTGTTCGAATCTTCTTTTTGACTTTTACTTTTTTTTTGGAGGGGGGCGGAGGGTGGGGGAGCTAGGCTAGCGGCGGCGATCCTGGCGGAGATGGAGCTTGAGCAACAGAAGTGGACAACATTTTTTACAGTAGCAGACATGAACGAAAGGAGAGCAGCATTTCAGTTCTACACGCCCGCTTTTCCGTCCCTACTCACTCTGCACTTACCACGACGGACGGACGAAAAACATCAGCATCATCATCGAGAAGCTCGACATCCGCGAGTGCTGCGCTGTGAAGCACGCGTGCGTGGAGACGAACCACTGACCGAGTTGCAGATCGGGGGGAGGGGGAGACATGGGAACTTCACTTCATAGCTTCCGTGTGGCTGCGGCGATCCCAGATCCCGAGTGTGAGCGCGAAGAGACCACGGGTGCAATCTTCGGAGCCGCCTCACACTTGCGATCACTCGGGCGCCGCTCGCCACGAGCTGGTTTTATGTGATATTTGTCTGACTGTCTGCTGGGCTGGTACGGGTGGACGGGTTGCTTGGATACTACTACTTGTATACACCGAGGATCGTGATCATCTCCTCCGTCGCTGCCTCTGTGCGGTTGGTGGGAGCACGGCTTCTCCGCTGTCAATATTTACACGTACACCTGCTATCTATCATCTGCCACCTGTCACCTGCCTACCCGTCCGCCTTCCCGCCGCTCCGCTGTTCCGCCGGTATATGGTGTGCGGTGTGTGTTGCAGATACCGCCACATCCAGCCAGCCAGCCAGCCAGCCAGCCAGCCACATGCGATCACTCGGGTACTGCTCGCCACGGGCTGGTTTTATGTGATATTTGTCTGCTGGGCTGGTACGGCGTGGGATGGTCGCCTGGTTGCTTGGATACTTGGATACTTGGGTAGAGGTGCTTGGCTACTTGGGTACTATATACCGAAGGGCGCGATCATCTCCTCCGTCGTAGTCTCTGCGCGGTTGGTGCGGGCGTGGGCTTCTCCGCTGGTAATACTTGTACATACCTGCCACCCTGCCTGCCTGCCCACAGCCGTGTGCATGCTGTCTGCTGTGATGATGCATGCTGATGAAATTTTTCACCTGCGTACATAACTATGGGGAGGTGAACAGTGGGACTGCGATAGAGGGCCACCGTGTGGATAGTGTGGATGGTGAAAGAACGGTTACTCTACTGCCGATTCCGTATCATGGATGTTTCCAATGTATTCATGAAAGCATTGCCTACTTACAAACTCGTCCACCCAAATGGAGTGAGTGAGTGATACAACCCCATACTACCTACATAATACACACGACTCTCCAGTCCAAACCCAAACACAAACAGAAACAGAAACAGAAACAGAAACGCCACACTCCAAAAAAAGCCCCAGCCCAAATCGTCAATATCCTAACTCCGACTTCCCCCGCTTGCTACTCCTTCTGCCCAAACGAAATCATGAACCCAAACATCGTTCCCTCCTTCTCACACTCCTGTCGTATAGTCTTATTATTCCACCACCAGGGCACGCCACTCCTCAAAAACTCCGCGTAGAGCTCTGAATAGTAGTGTCGTCCCGCCTGCACCATGACCTTGACGGCATCCATCTGCTCGGCTGAAACACTGCTCTTCGCCACCACCGGCAGCGCGATCCGACACGACTTGATGTCGCCGAACCCGGCGATGTCCAGGTAGTCCAGCAGCTTCTTTGACGGGCGTGCGACGAGGCCGCATTCGTCGATGGAATTGAGGAGTCGCGCCTCGGCCCACGCGGTGAGGAGCTCGCCGGGCCGGCTCGGCAGCGCGTCGAGTGATTGGATCTCGAGCCAGCCGCCGGGCTTCAGGCAGCGGTGGCATTCTTGCAGAACGGAGAGCCAGGATTTGGATTTTACGGTGGTCGAGAAGGCGCGTGATGTGATCACGTCGAAGTAATTGTCGGGGAAGGGGAAGAAATCGTCGCCGGCGGGGATGTGAGATGTGCAGTGGTTTGTTGGCGCCGGCCAGCTGTAGCTTTGATGGGTGGTCTGGGAGTTCCGATTGGTATTGGTCGTGCTGAGGGTGTAGACTGTACTGGTGGGGTATTTGGCGGCGAGAACCCATCCGTCCGCTATTGCCACGTTAGTCGACGTTAAGGGAGAGAGTGAAGAGGGTTCATGATCTAACCGATGGAATCGTGAAGATTCAGGATCGTCCTTGAGTCCTCCAACCTCGAGGCCACGAGCATCTCGTGCGCAGGACACTGCAGCTGCTTTCCCTGCGTCAACCACTGCCTGGCCATCAGCGCCCACAGCTTCTGCTCGAACAGCGCCTCCTCCAGACCCTCGGCGTTATTGCCAAAGTCCTCGCTCCAATCCTCGCTTAACCGCTTCAACATGATCTTCAACCCCCCCTTCTCCATCCTTGCCAGTGCCATCTGGAACGGCGAGTTCGGCTGCGGGGAAGACGGCAGCGCCGGAAGAGGACCGTGACCGCAGTCCCCATCTTCGGAGTCGATGATAGTTGCTAAACCGCCGGGACGGAATCGGTCGTCGGCTGGGAAATTGCCTGTGCTGCTGTCTGGCGAAAGGGGACCGGTATCCTTCGGTGGTGCTTTCGGCCGCGATTGTTTACTGCTGTTGCGCTCGGTCCAGGGGGTTTTGTTTGATGGGGCCCCGAAGGTGGAGGAGTCGGGAGTTAACGGGAAGAGGTCCAATATGCTGTCCTCGCAGTAGTCTTCCTCGTAATTTTTGTCGTTCCATTCCGCTGGTACCCGTGGGGATCGAGGTTGCAAGCTGTGTACGTGTGTGGTCAGTTGCTGACAATCGTAGGGAGTACCATCATGTGGCTTGCGACTCACCTGCTTAAGCTCTCGTATGAGGTCTCTCTTACGCTTAATCTCTCGAAGTTCTTGGTGATGGATGCTGTCGTCGTCGTCGGCGTCGGCGGCATGCTACCACCTCGATATCGATTCGAGTGCACATCGTCATGAACGGCCCGTGCAGACTCGGACTCGGGCGGTGTGAACGTCAAAGGAGAGGCCCTTCCATTCCTGCTACCACCGATCACCGCTGGCCCACTATCGTCCGTCGCGATACTAGGGCTCCTCGACGGAGTAGGAGGCGTAGGAATGCTCAGTTTCGCGGCGGCGGCGGCATCCTTCTTGGCCGATTTCCTATGGAAGAAGCCGCCGAACGCCGAGCTGCTCCGTTCGGACGTCGACGTCGAAGATCTAGTCGCAGAACTCTGCGATGCCGGGCGCGACGATGAGGTGCGTTCGCTCGAGCTTTGGGAACTTATGGAGCCTTCCCGTTCCTTAGCCTTGCGTTCCCGTCGGCTGCCGACCGTTTCCACCGGGTATGGGCCCGTGAACGAAGTGTCGTACGCGAAGAACATGGTCTACTGATCTACCTATACGGATTCCCCGATTACACATCAGCCCAGTTTCCCACGTGTATCCGATCTGCGGGAGGGGGGGTAGGTTGTTCTTACCAATAGTCGAGGGGCAAAAGCCAGCGGCGGGAAACAACCACAGAAAATCAACAGGCTCGGAAGGAATCTTGCGGTGTATGGATGGATGGCACACTGCTGGGCCGGCAAGGTTAGTTACTGCGTCGTAGAGAGAGCAGAGTAGAGCAGAGTAGAGTAGAGCAGAACAGAGTAGAGTAGGTCTACCGCGATCATAGTGGGAGATCGGCAATATCTACCCTTAGTACCAGCGATGAGAAGGCAGAAGAAGTTCTTGTTTTAGCCGCTGAACCCAATCCACGCACGCCGAAGCACCTGCATCCTGCAAACCGTTCCGGCGTTGGGGTCCACTAGGTAGGTAGGTACTCTCCACCAGGGACCGGGGCCCCTTCTTTGGCGGACAGACAGACGGACAGCCAAGCAGACAGACAGGACCCCATTATTGGCGGACAGGCGGACGGACAGCCAGGCGGACAGCCAGACAGCCCATCATCTCCTCACGGTCGGGCCAATGACAATAACTCATGGTAGATACCGCGTGCAGGCCGGCGAGCACGCGGGGTCACCCTTTCCTTCGACCAGAGCCAGTAGGTAGGTACGCCACTCCATGCTTGGCAAGCCACCGAAGCCATTGCGCCTCCACCGAAAGCTCGTGAGAGCGAGGAAAAGCCGGTGCCGAATGTGGGCGCGCGCCGTCCAGCTCCGCTCGCTCGCTGCCTCGCGTGGAGAAACATGCGATGTCTCCGCTGTGTGTGGGAGTGGGTGTGGGTGACATCTGATGGAGCCTGTTAGTTTACCGATGGTCCGGTAGATGCGCCAATTCCCTCAGCTACAAGGTATAGAGTACCTAGTTTCGGATGTCGTACACCGCCTTGCCGGAGCGGACAACGTATGTACATAAGGGAAGGTGCTCGTGCGAAAAACTTCAATCGCAATCGACGGAGAAGCGAGGATATGGCGAAGCAAGGCGACAGTGGGTATGTATGCACCGTAGAATAGAGTAGAATATGCACCGTATGTGAAGTAAAGTAGAGTGTAAAGATGAGGGGTTTATGTTGGCACGGTATGCATGTATGTAGAGTGCATCCATAGTCCATGGAGATATCTACTAGTGGGAGGAGAGCAGCGGAAGCGGGAAGCTACGGGGGATCTAGTGGCAGTCATCCCTCCAGAGTCCATGTGGGCGGCCATCGCAGACCACGGTTGTTGTGTGGATTCCTAATTCGGCAACACAAGGAGAAGCTAGAGTAGAGCAGTTCACCGAACCACAGCACCGGCGTGACGCCACACTATGATAGTACACAAGTATTATCTTGTAAACACACAGAGAAACTGCGTCCTCTCACATTCGTTCCGGTCAATAAAAAATGTCAGATATGGCCGAGTCACCTCCGATTCAGCGCATTTTTGTTTTCTCTGTTTAATCGTTGATTTGCAGCCGATTCAGCGTAGGTAGCACGCTCCGGTGGAGCTGGGTGTTGGAATTGAGAGAAGAATTTGACTTGATTGATGAAAGGAATGAGAAAGACGAGTAAAAGAGACTGTTTTTGCAGGGAAACAACGAGCTCGTGTAGAAAAGGGATGAAGCTTCAGACAGAGGATGCTACGATAGACAATGCCGGAGTGGGCCAAAGAGGCTGATTCTGATGAGAAGCCAGGAACAATTCTGAGAAGCCGCAATGGCTGCTTATGGCGACGATATGCAAGTACATAGAACAGTGCAAAGAACCAGTGACAGTAAGAGGTAAGTAGATGTGTAATAACCGACATTGGGGGGTGGCCTGACGATCGAGTGATATCATGTGATACCGCCGCGGGGTTGCTGCCGGTGTTGCGGCCGCTCGGTGGGATTCTCTAGGATCGGAAAATATCCTTCGAGAAGCATTACCGTTCTGTAGTTGGACATGGTGGCCTGGCGGCCGGGGACATCGAAAGACCACCTATTACTAAAGTAGTACTCCTACATACCGTTTGCTGGATGCTGGAAACGACAGCGGGTATCCATACACAAGTACATACTACCTAGATAGATGGGGATCATGCTGCAAGTATGTTCGACAAGCGTTTTTATCTCTGCGGCACGGCGTAACCACCTAATGCCCGAAGTCGACACAGGTGACAGGCTACCTAGGTATCAAGAAATGATAGAAAAAGGGGATTGGTTCGCCAGCGGTCACATCTTATTGGGGGCTTCCCTGAGATACCTACCGATTTTTCCATCGACACTGCACCACCGGCGTTTCGGCGAGATGGAGCGTGGAGGCCTGCGGCAGGTATCTGTCTATCTCCTGGGAGATGGCGGGGAACGCGCCAGTTCCTGTCGCACTGCAGCTTGTGGTTCGCCGAAGGGGTTGCGGAAGTATCCACACTGTTGATGTCACTCACCCCAGGGGGCTATGTATCATACCAGTACTAGTAGGCCGTGGGTGGTGGATGCTTCTTCCTTCCATGTGACGGCGGTGCGCATGTGGGGAGATATGTACTAGGTACTGCTATGTAGTATGTAGAGTAGTAGGTAGAGTACACACCAGGGTGAAACCCGAACGCCTCACAGCCCTGGTACATGTGTAGAGCGCAATGCGAAGAAAAAAATGTCAAACTCCCACCATCCCTCCTTCCGTGTCTCCTTGTTATCCATCGCCCTATACTCTAGTTGGTTCCCCGTAGATGCGGTACTACCTGTAGGTATGCATACTCTATCTAAAACCCATACTTCCTTCCTTCGGGAAACGCTCAGGAAACGTCCGGGGGAAGGCAAACGCAAGATGGGATGAACTCAAACTGCATACTTATGCGTAGTGCAGTGGCTTTCAGGTTTTCAGGCCTTCAGCTTACAGTCTTTGCGTTCCAGTGTGTATATAGCCATCCACTCGTGCCGCCGCTCGGCACCGCCCGCGTACCTATTCGGCCTATGTCGAACCGGGCCCTTTATCGAGTACCATCAGCCGGTGGGGGAAGCAAAAAAAGGAAGCAAAAAAAGGAAGCAAACCCCGATACGACTCGGAGTCGGCCGGCGAGTTCGCCGTTGTTACTCAGTAGGTGGGGAATACCTAGATCACCACGCCCACGGGGCCGTAGGTTCCCACCGCAAGGGCTTCTCCGGTATGCACCCCCCGATACCGGTATTCGGCCGCACGTAAGCAGCGAATCTATGTAGAAGCTGGTGAAATGGCAGGATCAATTATCTGTGTATGCACGCATATAAGCCTTAAGTGTCGGAATGATCCTCCCTCTTCCCCCACCCCAATGATATCGATACCAACTCCCGTGTGGCGGCCGGCGCTAACTACCGCCGGTACCGTGCAAACTACCGCCAGTACCGTGCAAACGACCGCTCCTGCGGGGCCATTGACTAGATAGATACTATAATACCTGCTCGCCTCCGCCGTGCAGGATGGGGAGATAGTGGAGTACTGCGGATGCAAGGGTTGGATGCCGGGTTTACATTCATATATAGAGTACAGACTACAGAGGGAGACGTGGGGTTTGAACTTTGTGTGGACGTATTTACGGGATGATCTCCCGCGCACATGCACACACGTGATGTCACTGGCGAAACGTAGGTATTTGAGCACAGTCATGCCCTCGCAGCAGCACCCGTCGGATGTCTATGTAGTTCTGTGGTGGTTGCTTTCCGCGGGTGCTTTACCGATTCCCGTCCGGGTCGGAGGGGTGTACCGGTAGGCCGCGAAATCCGTCGAGAGTACGGTGGCTGGTGGACAGGTAGAGCTTCTCGTACGTTTATTTATTAGGTTGTGAGTCCCGCCTTCTACTAGTAGCATGTACATAGGGAGGTATCTACCAAGATATTGAGCCAGCCAGCCATCGGGACGGGCAGTGACCGGCGACCATAGACGTCCTCCGCGGACCACGAGCGTTCCCGACGGGCGAGTACGCAGTCCCGCACGCTCTCCCAGCTACTGTTCACGGAAATCCAAAGCCAGCCGTTTTCCAGCCGTCTTCCCGTAGCGAGTCCTGGCCGGCGTCGAGGGCGATCACGCCTCCGCACTCGACCGTCCCGCTGCTACCCATCACTCGCTCGCTGCAGCCTGGTTGGCGAGGGATCTAGGTACTTCTTTGCGCCTCGCGGGTCCGGATATGTACTGCCACACCCCCCTAGGTACTCGGGCCGGATGCCTGCCAGCCATGACCCAAGGGATTAATGTAGACCCGGACCTGGACCCAGACCACGACGTCCGGTGGATGAATCGGGGTATGTAGATGTAGATGTATCAGTCGTCCTCCGTGATGTATATATAGTTGACGTAAATCTTGGTGGATAAGATACCTCTACTTCTACCTGTCTTGCAGGGCCCGCACTCGTCCGCACTCGTCCGCCCTAGGTAATCATCTGTGAGGAAGCACACGCTCTCACTCATCGTATGTCTTTAGAACCGGACATGGCGCGGTTTTTCTAAAGTACATACGGAAGGAGACGGTGAGGGGCGAGGGGTAAGCATCGCTCCAAGATACATGACCTCTTCACGGACGAGCCGTGCAGCTAGGCCATCCTACATTTTCTCGCCACCACTAATCAAGAGGCAGGGGCTGAGGCCGAGTGAGGAGCGGGCCTTTTCTTTCCTAGCTTTATTTCCTAGGTGTGCTCTACTCTACATGTATCTTCGTGAAAGGGCCAGGGCGGAGGGTATGGGAAGTCCATCGTGCCGCATGACCTCGGTCTGGCTGGGCAGTAGACATTGAAATGGTGTGCATCGGCATCATCTAGATGAGGCGCAAACCGCGGTTTTTTTTAAAAAAGTATCCAATTACTTCCAAGCAGGTAACGATGATAGCCATCGTCTCATTTACCTTTCCATCCTCATCCACACATTCCTTCACCCATAACAAAGGCATCAAGAGAAGAGAAGTCAAAGCAAACTGACAGCGCCCAAAACAGAGATTACAACCACAATCATAAAAAGAATAAGCAAATGGCCCTCGGAAAGAAATGAAAATGAAAGAAAACACTCAGAATGAAGAATGGAAAATGGAAAGTAGAGTAAGCACTAAACTGCAGCGTCATGGGTATCAGGGGTTACCGGGCCCGCCTCGATCTTGTCACCAGCAGCCCCGATCCTGTCACTAGCAGCCGCAGTCTCGTCACCGGCAGCCCCGGTCTTCTCGGTCTTGTCAACAGCAGCCTCGGTCTTATCACCAGTGGCGTCGGTCTTGTCAACAGCAGCCTCGGTCTTATCACCAGTGGCGTCGGTCTTGTCGCCGGCAGCGTCGTTCTCGTCACCGGCAGCCTCGAACTTCTCGAACTTCTCACTAGCAGTCTCGAACTTCTCACTAGCAGCCTCGGTCTCCTCACTAGCAGCCTCATCAACCCGGATGCTAACGGATTCTTCTACTGACAGCTGGTCAGAGTCTAGCTCTTTCGGCAGGGCTTCGTCGTCATCAATTTCCTCTATGGGGACTTCGACGTCCTCTCCGGAGATTTCGCCTTCTCCGTCGAACTGCTCTGGGGCGTCGTCGTATTCCTCTCCCTGCTCCAGGTCCTCGTCCTCGTCCTCGCTATCACCGCTCACTTCGATGATATCACCAGCCTCCGCTTCATCTTCGTCGTCGTCTAGATCCTGAATCTCAACATCGTCGTCATTAACAGGCGATACATCACAGTGGTCTGGCCCCGAGTAATCCTGTGCGACGGAAGTGCGTCCACGAGTGACATCTACCAGCAGCTCGGGGAAGAGCCAAGGAAACGAGACGAGCGGCAACGTTTCAAGTTCCTTCTTCGAGAGTGTAGCAACCGACAGGCGAGTGGACTTTGCGCGGGGAGTGGCACGATTGCGATCCTGCTCGATCTTCTCGAGTGTCTCTGCGAGCTCGCGCTGGGTAACGACGTACATTGCGACGACCTTCCTCAGCAGCTGCGTAGTGCGGTTGGTACAGCTGTGGATGATCTGTTTACGGAAGCGGTCCTTGAGCGAGAATGAGATCTCGCCGATTTCCTCGTGGAACTTGTAGTCGTTGCCGTTGCTGTGTAACATGACGAAGGTGCTCCATACTTCGAACTCGGTTTGGATCTCATGCTGCGCCATGATTCTGCGCATCGCTCGGTCATATTCGTTTTTGAAGTGCTTGGCTTCGTCGAGTTCGGCATCGGTCAGGTTGAACGCCGTCATGAGATACTCGTTCGGCGGTAGATCGTAGCAAGGCTTGAACTCGACGCGCTCGACCATGTCGTAGAGCTGGCCGAGGATCTTGGTGCTGTGATAGGAGCTTTCCTCGACGGGCTTCTCAAAGAAGTGAGGCCACTGTCGGATTCGGAACTTACTGCCCATCACCGCCTTGATACCCGTCTTGGGGTAGTCTACAGCATCGGAATGGAGAGTCGCAAGGTCAAGGCCTGGAAGCACCAAAGTTAGTCGGCAGATACGCAACATGAAAGGACGGAAACAAACGTACAGATTGTACTCTTCACTCCCTGGTCCGACTTGTCCGCCCACGCAAGATGCGCATTGGCGATCGCTCCCAATCGGTCATTCTTCATGTAATTGACGAAGAAACCGGTGATGTCTTGGATAGTGACGTCGCGATCTAGTGGGGACGGGACATGTGGCTTGTACGAGGCTGGCGGTTCATTGATCAAGATGCCGGGAGCGGTGAGATCCTTATCCCAGATCACCACGTAATCATCGCCATCAAGATCGCCACCGGACAACATGCTGGGGATGTCACGATCCCCAGTCTGCGGGAAAACAACGACATCTATGAGGTGGTGTAGCTCCGGAACATCGACTGCCTCGACGAGCCGTACATCTCCGGGATGCAAGCTTGGGTTGCGAGCGACGATGACCGGGCCGGTGATGATCCTGGGACGGCAAGTCGCGAGGTCGGTGACCTGACAAAAGACCTCCGGGAGGACATCTTCGGTATCGTGGTAGTACCCCTTCAGGATCCCCGTTTCGTCGACTACACCCAGCAGGAAGGCGCCGTCGTCGATGGTAATCTTTGCCTTTTCCTTGAGGTACTTGATCGTCCAGGCGCGCCAGAGGCACATCAGCGAGATTACGAATGGCTCCATCGATGTCATGAGCCCACCACGGACCATATTGGCGATTTCCAAAGTCATATGATTCGGATCGATGTGTTTGGTGAGGAGTTCTAAAGCCTTCGCCGGATTGCTTATGGCAGTTGAATAGTCGCTGAGTATCTGCATCAACCTCTCCCGGAAGAATTCGTCGGGGACACCTAATGTCGACATGACTTGGATCAACTGCCGGTTCAGCGACGCCGAGGCAAACTGAGAACAGCGGATAATCTCGAGGTCCTTGTGGGGCGACCAAAATTTCATCTGACTCTCACGCAGCTGGATCTCGCAGTTCGTGAGTTCGGGGTTCACCACAAGCACACCCTTGTGACCTCCTAGACGGAACTGGAAGCAAGAAGACCGGTAGTTTAGTGGAGTCGTGCGTCGGGAGCCGATCAACTGTGCCGTTATTAGGACGGCTAGAATCGGGGACATCTTGCCGACACCATCCGAGAAGCAGTAGCCATGCCGCTCGATATCCGGTATCTTGGAGGGCTCCACTTTGAATTGCTTGAACGCTTTCGTGGTCGAGAAACATTGACCGAGGCGTGAAGCGTTTTTCGCAATGATTCGGATATTGGAGAAATGACCCATCCAGTCACGGATATCGGAAGCCTTTAAAAGTATTAGTAACGCACAGTATCAAAAACCCAAGAAATACCTTACAGTGAGATCATCAGCACGGGCGAAAAAGTACGCTCCATGCTCCCGCAACTGCGAATTACCAAACGCAAGGAACTCATATCGCCTATCGCCGAGGACGATACCGTTGTTTAGGGTTCTGAAAACACGGCTGAACAGCTCATTGGAAACGACCTTGTCGGTGAACCTGATTCTGCCGGACGACTTTTCATCTGTGAAGGACACACGAATGAATCGATCCGCATACTTCTCATAGTACCGAACGACCCTGTTTGAGATCTCGACGGACGGACTGTGGAACTGGATCCCCGTAGGAGAGACTGTCGCTCGCCGCATGTACACACAAAACTCTGGAATCGCCTTCATCAAGTCCGCCTTTTTGCTACGGGGGATGCTGAACACCTCCATCGGATTAAAGAAACGGATTTTCCTTTCTTGAACCAATTCGAGTAGAGATATGGCGTCATGCTGGGACATATTCTCCAACCTGTCGATGAACGGAGGTGCGAGGTTATACTCGTTGAGGAGTCCATGAGAAATGCACACTTCCAGCTGATATCGTACTGGGAACTCAAGATGACTCTTCAGTAGCTCACTGTTGCTAGTGGTGGCAGGAGGATCGAGGTAACTCCAGATGGGGTTGAGTGTAGATTTGTCCTTATTAACACGGAATGTCTCCAGCGGCTTTTTGCGCACATTGAAGTCTTGCAAGGCCTCCATCATGAGCTTGAAGGTGGTGAGCAATTTTTCATCCTGCAAGTCAAACGACAATCGGTACGTTGTCCACCGGCCTATCACAGAAGCTTAGCATGCGTGACGAGTAGCTGTGGAAGTGGAACCAAAGGGAAAATATACCAATATCAATTATGGGGTTTTTATGTCGTAAGCTTACCGGGCGCTCCTGTCTGGCCCTCATGTCGTACTCGATATCTGTCTGACGCATCCATGCATCGTATATGCTCCAGCGAGTAAGGCTGGCTTCATTCATACTCTTGGTGAGGTCTTGAAGTAACCTTGAGATCTTTGGGGGATCCGGCAATGGAATTATGAAGGTCCGCTTAGAGCTACTCTCATCCTCATCGACAGGAATGAAGATGTCTTGTAGTTGCGTGAATGGTATCTCGATCATGTACTTTTCGACACGATCGTAGTCTGTTTCTACCGTTATACCCTCGCTGGTTTTTGCGTCGGTCCGATCGATCTCTAGTCTGAAGGTCATTTCTATTCTCTTCTTCTGCAGGTTGACTTCCCAGCTGATATTAGCATCCGGCTTCGTCTTGTACATAGGCATGAACTCTTCCGGCTGGAACATGAACCCAAACTCGATCGACTCCACAGGAAACATCTGGCGGACATGTGTTAGCTGCTGTCCATCCGCCAACAACAACGGAATACGGAGATGGATGTATTTACTAGCTTCATAGGGTAATATTTCGATGGATTGACACGACTCTGAACGAAAAAGCCTCCACGCGGCTTCTCAAGCCTGACCTGGACGAGTCCTGCCCCGAAATCTAACTTCATGTTTTCCCAGAAAGGCTCATAGACCTTGCGAAATCGCACTTTGGCAGTTCCTTGCTTGTTTCCGCTTATATCGACATCTAGAAAGATCGAATCGACATCTCCGAAATCCTTAACGGTGATATAGATATGCTTGATCGTTACATGCTTCGCTAAATTCGGGCCGATACGAACGTCCACCTCCGGGTATTTCTTCCACTTATCATTCTTCACTAACGGCAGGTGAGTTGGCCGGTACACAACGGGCGTCCTCGGACCCGTGTCGCCTGGGCTGTTACCCCCTGTTTCTAGCGGTAAAGACATTGGCCATGGAGACGTTGGCGGTGGGAAAGCCGGCAGCGGAGGGGCTGTGTTCTGTGAGGAATCGGCGATGGGCAGAGATGGACCAGGAGAAGGACGTAAGCCCGGACCAGTTGGGAGGGCGAAGGAAGGACCAGCCACGAAAGAGAGATCCGGGCCAGCATGGGTGCCAATTCCAACGTAAGGGGTTCGGGAAGGTGGGAGATTTCCATTTGAAGGGAGATCTATTGAAGCAGCCCCAACCGGCAAGGCGTTCGCTTGGCGGGTATTGTCTGGAGATCGCAAATGTGGAGGTGTAGGTACTGGTCGCGAAGGGCCAGAAGGAATCTCTTGCACCTGTGCTGTGACCGGAGATCGCAGATTTGGAGGTGCAGGTACTGGTCGCGAAGGACCATAAGGAATCTCTTGCGCCTGTGCTGTGACCGGAGATCGCATATTTGAAGGTGCAGGTACTGGTCGCGAAGGGCCATAAGGAATCTCTTGCACCTGTGCTGTCACCGGACGGGAAGCGGAGCTAATAGATGGTTCGGGCGCCCGTTGTTTGCCACGTAAAGGAGTCTTGCGAGGAGGAGGAGGAGGAGGAGCGGCGGCAAGGTTCTTTAGGATTGGGACCTGATGAGCGAACTGTTGACTCTGACCTTGACGTCGAGCCTGCTGCTGCTGCTGCTGCTTCTGCGGGGTGAGACCTTCTTTCTTGACATCTGTCTCCTTTGCTTTCTGAGCAGGAGCCGGAGCAGCGCGCGGAGCCGGAGCATTCACATTGTTTCCAGCGCTAGCACGAGGTTCCAGCGCGGGCCAATCTTCCGAATACCCGGCCGAGTCCGGCATTCCTGCGTGGGCTGCTATCTACGAGTCTTGGTTGTCGGCACAAGTGATATTTCGGCTCGAAATTGTCTGTACGACTGTTAGCTCCTCTTATACAGAACGTCAGGGTTGTTTTCATACCTAATATAGTCGTCTGTCACTGGAAGGCTGCGGATTTAACCTGAGACGGAAAGGTGGATGATTGAGAACAAAGAGGAGGGATGTGATGATGGCAGGCTAGGGTGTGGCTGAGACAACGAGTAGGAGGATGTGATGATGGCAGGATAGGGTGTGGCTGAGACAACGAGTAGGAGGATGTGATGATGGCAGGCTAGGGTGTGGCTGATAGAACGAGTAGGAGGGATGTGATGATGATGGCAGTGGTTGTGGCGGTGAAAATGAGTAGGAGGGAACGAGTAGGAGGGCTGTGATGATGGAAGGCTAGGTTGTAGCGGTGAATGAATATGGAGTGAGGAAAGAAACGCCGAGAATTGATAGAGGGGTGCGGAATGAAATGGTGAGAATTGATAGGGGGAAGGTGAAATGGTCGATGGACTGAGTGGTATCCCAGGTTGGTTGGTTGGCTAGTTTGGTGCTGCCGTCCAAAGGAACCTCATGGAAATATCTCCCCGCGTTGTAGATGCTGCTTTGTTGCCGTGTAACACCAAGGGGTCCAGCTCAAAAGAACCTTTTTCCCTAAGGAAAGCGATCGCGCGTCGGGCTTGTACTAATTTTGCGCGTCTACGGCCGCAGGGCTGACGTCGATCACGAAAACCGCTTAATCTGGATATCTAGCGGGGCGGTGACCGACGCGGGGTTGACGACGCGGGGTTGAGGTCTGGCGGACTTCGCAGTGTCAAAGTCGAAGTCGACGTCTAAGCTGGGTTCTTCTGTCTCGTCTTTGTTCTCTGCCGATGGATTATAGAGCTGGATCCGAGTTTGCTCCACCCACGCGCAAGGTGATGCAAAGCTGTGCGGTGATCTGGTGATGAACGTCCGCAGCTGACCAAGGAAATCAGCGACGAATGATCATGACTGGGTGATAGCCATGTAGCCGTCCTGCATCGGGCCTGCCGGACTCGAACTCTAGAGTAGGTGTTGGAAGTTTGAGCTGCTGCCTGGGGAGCACACTTGGACACTACATATGACGCGTGTAGGTAAAGCCGGCAAGCACTCAAGCACATCAGGTATCTACATCTGTATAGTCAAGGGGGGGTAAAAAAATGGTAGTGCGCCCATATCTTTAAGAAAATGCTAGTGGTATCGTATTAGTACGGTCAAAATACGTGTTTTTTATGCCCTGATACGATATCAATATTCGTCCAGCGGGAAACAACGGTTGATATAAGTACATGTATCCAAGTTCCTCGAAGAAGTTTTTTTGTTTGCTTGTTTCACCGCATTGCATTCGACCATTTCCGACCATGGCCGGTTCAGTCGTCTATACATACTATCCTATCTCCTCCGGATCCTACATAGTCCCCCCCTTCCCGCTGCGCGGCACTTGCTGGTGGTGTGAACGAGCCGGCGTCGAGCAGTCTCACGGACATCTCCACGGATTTCCTGGAATTGAGGACGGAAGTAGGCACTGTCGGGATCAGGAGGAAGATACGAAGTGGAAAGTCCAGGTTTGGAATCCGAGCTGTTTGCGGAAGGAAAGTGTACCGTAGGCAAGCAAGCTATATTTGACTTTCTCACGAGCACGCTGGATTAGTTTGCCTGCGGAATCCCGACCGGCTCACGAATATCGTTGAGCAAATTGCTCCCGCCAGGCCATCTCGAACCAAAAATTCTTCACATGAGGCCCCTTACGGTTTGGCCCATTCGAGACCAGATTGAAGAGAACAGTAATGGTATTCCCCGCCGCCAAAACAAACCCATTAAAGATACAGATGCAGACCGAAATCGAGTACATACCAAAAAAAAAACCAAGGAAAAAGCAGATGAGGTAACAAACAGCAGGCCCACGAAAGACACTCCAAACACTCCTGAGCAGAAATATACCCTCGGCCAGCCAAACCGGAAAGGAAGAGGAAAAGGAAACTGAAATGAAGAAATGAAAGAGAAATTAATCTTCTTCATCAATTTCTTGGGAATCCTCGCCTACGGTTCCTTCGCCACTCGATCCCTCATCGTCACTATGCTCATGGGCCTCCTGTTCATAGTCACGATCCTCCTGTTGAGTTCTGTCGAGATCGAATTCATGGCGGTCCTTCTGGCTGATCGTGACATGTTCGAAGTTCCCCGGCAGCGGCAGTCCGTTGCGTAAAAACTGGAGCTTCATATTTCTCGCTTTATCTTTGAGATTGACGTTTGTTCTACCATACAGCAGGGGTTCCTCCTTCTAAACACCCCGGATTAATTAACCCTGTCTCCATCGGTGGTGGATAAGTGGATGGAATGACATACCGCTGCAATGAGTTGCCAATTCGTGCCATATTTCCCAATCATCCTGACAAGCATGTTGGCCTGCTCCTCCGTCCAAGGGTTCCTCCCTTTTCGTACCCCCCTCCTCTTGTTGGCTGTCCTGTTCAATTTTTCGATTTTGTTGACCATTGAGACAAGACCATCATCCTCCGACTGTGGTGAGAGTGAACGCCGCGGGTGGGCTCCGACGTGCGCAGGAACCAACTCGTTTCGGTGCATATCGCTTCCGCGAGCCGTAGAAGAAGCATTCGATGCCCGAATCGGCCTATTTTGAAGTCCATTGCTTCTGCGAACTCTTGAGGGACCGGCTGGCATCTGCCCTACCGAAACCCCGGAAGTGCGTGCTGCTGAACCAGCAGAGGCTCGGCTACGGGCCGAAACATTGGAATGACGAGTGAGAGAAGCGCCCGCAGACCGAGCAACAGGGATCGGATGTTGCTGTACCCAGGGATCTGCCTCCGCGATAACTTGACGTGAGCGTTTTTTGAGGACCCGATTCTCTTTGCGGTTATCGGCCTCAAACACTTCGTTGTCATCTTCGTCCTCGTCTAGAGTGCGGCGCCTCTTCTTGCCCTGGCCCTTTTCTGCCGCCCCTGAACTCCTGCGCGATTCTGGATCCTGGGTTTCTTCAAGCTGCGTGTCAAATTCTATACGTATTGCGCCGGGCTGGGGATCAATAAAGCGACGCCTGGACGGGCCAGCAACGGATTCCGCGGCTTGGTTCTCTTTGTTGTTCTCTCTTGCGTGTTCAAAGTACAAGTTGAGAAGCTCCGCACCAGAGGGTGATGGAGATGAAGTATCGTTTCTGTCTTGTTGGTGTTCGGGTCTGTGTGTCTTGTCAACCTGGAGATGTACAGCATGGTCTTCCTCCCCTGCCATCTCCTCCTCTTCCTCCTCTTCTTCATCCGGGCTGAGCTCTTCCAGCTCCTCTTCCTCCTGCTCCAGTGCTTTGATCTCCCCAAGTCTGAAGGAAACCCTCGGAATCTGTTGTTTTCTGCCAGACGAATTAGAATGAACAAGAAGTAACTACCATATAGACAACAAACCCTTGTTCCCGTCGCGTGGCTTTTTCCTCCGGAGCCGGAAGGGGTTGAATCTTTTTATCTTTGGCTTCCGGTAAAACTGGCGAATCTAGCTGTTCGGCATCTTGCGAGAAAGACCCAGCCACTGCATCCACGGCGGCCGCAATCCTAGCTTGTCGATTAGGGTCTTGGAGTAGGTGTCGGGAGTATGCTGCCATCTTGCTTGCAAAGTTATCCCAAGGATACTTCTCACGAAGTGCTCTCAATCCTCTCTCTGCGTCATCATGCCCCAGCAACCCGTACAGTTCCAGCTCCCTTTTTTCAGTCTCCTCCCGCCAGTGAGGGTACTTCATGTCACCACCAAATGGGAGCAGAGGTCTCGGGTCCTCCTCCTGGGCGTAAAATATTTGGTGGAGGAGATGCACAGGACTGACGTGTTCCTCGTCCTTATTTTTCCGAAGGGCCGCGATCAAAGTCTGGGTGCGAAGATCCAGAACAAGGCCAAAGTTATCAGCTGTGATACTTTCACCGACCATTCCCGGGAACTGCTGGCCGAGCGCCCTCAAGTTCTCAAACATCTGATCCTTCTCGTGCGTAGCGGTGAAGATGAAAGTCGTGAGGACGGCAAGGTTTGCCTCATGTATTACCGGATCGTAGGCCTGAGATTTGAGAGCTCTGTGTATCACTTCGAGGGAGATGTAATCTTGCTTCCCAAACTTCGCCTTGGATTCGTCTAGCTTTTTCTTGGAATGCCGCAAACGTTGCGCAATGTGGCCAGGTCCCGAAAGATGCCCTCGCAGAGTGGCCACATCGCGGTTGTCGTTCAGAAGCGACTTGAGAAGTTTCTCCGCATGGCTCGCCAGGTCCTCGAGTTCCATAATGTCATCCGGCTTTATGGGGGCGTCGTCCTCCAGAGCGATATCCGGCCTCGCGGTAGATTTTCGTTGGGATGGGACATGCTCCTCCTCTCGTACCGACGGTACTAGAGAGAGGTTAGCCATACGGGAAGACAGAGACATAGGATGTGTTTAGAGATAGTAGAGCATACGCGCTTTGTCTTTTTCTTGCGTAGCCTTCGCTTTACTGGGCGGAGCAGCAGCGCCAGTGGCAGTGTGGGTATTACTCCGCGATTTCGGGTTCTTGGTGTGCGATTTCTTCTCTACTGCCACCGAGTCCTCCTCCTCCTCCTCCTCCTCCTCCTCCGCTACAGGCGTTGGTTCTAGTTGTCTGCTCGGACTTCTCTTGCGGCCCACGACGCGCGACGATGTTTCGGCTGGCCGTGTTTGTCGTTCTGCGCGTGCTGTCTTGGATTTCTTTGTTGTAGCTGTCGAAGCTGGAGCCCGCTCTTCGGGCTCGACGGTTCGCCTCGAGCGCGTACCAAGCATGCTGTGTTGTTAGTAGGTTAGTATCGGGGGGAATGGTTGCCAGTGATGTTGATGTCAATGATGTGTGACACGAACGGATGAGGCGCGCAATAGGCGATGGATCACAACACAAAAATCACGTGATCTGTTGCCGTAGAGCTCGGTTGCCGGCGGAAAATTGATGAGATATCTACATATGCTATTACCCAATTATGTATCTGACTGAATACTGAAGTAGCTCTAGGTTTCAGTACGTAGCATTGAGTAAATAGAGTCCTCAAACTTCCTGAATAGTGGTGATCGTACCCAGGTGGGGCCGCAAGTAAACAAACACATGGTCGGCTCACAGCTTCTCCCGCTAGCCCCCACTCCCTATGACCCTGACCCTGAGATCCGGACTTTTCAGTAACGAGGAGTTCTGACAGCAAATCCACAGACCGACCGCAAAGCACTCATAAGGCGATCGCCTCAATTCACCCGCAACACCACCGCGATCTCTGAGTTCACGGCCTGAACCCACTGCAACGAATCCACTCCTGCTTGGCGTCGAAGCACACCCCTGTCACCAACCCACCGCCTCCTTCCCCGCCAAAAGCCGAAGGCCAAAGCCCTTCCCACCAGTAACCACACATGACGACTTACCTCTCCTCCTGGCTCCCATGGGGCGGCAGCGCACCTCCGCCCATGCCTTCACCAGCAGCAGCATCCCCTCCGCCGCCATCGCCTCCTCCGTCCGTACCACCGCAAGATGCACCATCCTCCTCCGCTGCTGCCCCGCCAATGAGCGAAACAGAGCGCTTCCTCCGACAACTGTCGCTCCCCGCTCTCGGCGGAGCCTTCCTTCTGATCTCATTGCGACTTACGCGGCGCTCCACGGTCCGGAGGAGACTGGCCATGATCCCGCCGTACTACCATCCCAACAATGTGGCGCCCATCAATCCGCCCAATGGGGCGCTCGATGCGGTGGAGGCACTGCAGCTGGCAACCCTAAATGTGTTCTCTGTTGCGATGCTGCTGGTTGGTGGGGGTGCGTTTGCCATGAACGTTAGCACGCTGGATGAGTTGAGGGCGAAATTCAAGACCACTGATATGGGAGAGGAGTGGGAGAAACAGCAGAAGGCTGCTGAGGAAGAGTTTGAGGAGTGGATTGTCAGTGTGCTTGCGAGGAAAGATTTGAAGGAGAAGGTTAAAAAAGAGGTGGAGAAGGAATTGGCGAAGAAATGATGGGATATCAGGGAAGGATCGTGGATGGTGATGGATATCCAGGTCAGAATCTGAGATCTAGACGAATTCGCACAGGCAAGATTAGAAGTGTATGATACCGACTGTGGGACTCTTGTATTATATTCCGTATACATGGAATACCTCGAAGAAAGGGGAAACAATGCCGCTCCCTAACACCATAACTCCGTGAAAAGCAAAGCAAAGTAAGCAAGCCAGCGGCACCGTATCGCTATAGCGACTCCGGATGCTCCCACTGTAACCTAGCAGCCAGCCCAGCCAGCTTTCCCTTCATCTGCCCTTCAGCCTCCGCATTTCTCGCCCCCTTCCGACTCTTAACCACCACTTTCACCACCTCCCCTCTCTCATCAACTCTGCAATTGGCCTCTGCCCCCGACTTCCACTTAATCACCAGCAGCGCGACCTCATCATCAACCTCGACAGTCTCAGCCTTCCCCACAGCAACCGCAATTTGCTTAAACCTCTCGGCAGCATCGACCCTCCTCCTCCATCTCCCAACCCTCCGATTGACCTCCCTCACGAACCTTGTAAGATCCTGTTTCCCCTTGGGCGGCAAATACCTCCCCGCCAGCTCCACCACCCCCAAAAATGCCGGCGCCGAGTGTCTCGCAACCACAAAAACCGGCGTCCCGCCCTTCTCGGTTGGCTTCAAGTCCACCAGTACATAAACCGGCGTCAAGAACCTCCTCTTCCCCCTGGAAAAGACTTCGAACCTGAGCCCCAGCAACGTCTCCCCCGTTGCCTCCCTTGCTGAAAATGTCGTCACACCGGCTATCCGGTACAGATTGCTAAGCGTATGCGCAGTGATCGCCTTGCTGCGCGAGAGCGCGTACGAGAGGATCTTGGTATCTAGCGAGGCAGCTGCGTCGGCGCTGTCGGGAATTGTGGAGACTTGAGAGGCGCCTGGCGAGCTCGGCGGGGTGACGGGGGGCGCGGGTGTGAGGACTGAGAGTGTGCGTTGCGAGCGCAAACTATAGAGCCGTGTTTGGAGCTGGATGCGGCGCGCGGTGACGGCTTTGCCTGTTCCAATATTAGCATTTTGGTAGGAGAGAGCCTGGGACGGTAAATACTTCGCTCGTTGAGCTCAGTTGGGGTGAGGTTGGCGGTATCAACGCGTTGAGGAGCCATACTGAGGTTTGTGGTGGACAGTGTTTTAGATGGTTTGTTTGTTGACCACCTACCGTAGGTACCTGTGTCTGGTGCCAAGCCGAACTACCGGGACATGCCGCTGCTTCATAATATATCACTCATATTTCTGCGTGAGACCGCAGGCGGCCAGGCGTTTTTGTGCCCCCGTAGGGACCTTTCAGTGCCAAAATCCACAGTAAAGAAGGCCCTTCGTATTCGCGGTTTTTGTTCCAAAACAACGCTTCATATATTATCGAACTTTAACCCAACGCCGAGTGAAGAACGACGTAGAAACTGTCATACTCAGGGAGTGTTCGAGCTGTCCCCCGCAGACGAACCAGCCAAAAATCTGGTAGCCACACCGATTATGTACTTAGATATAAAAAGATGTGTGTATGAAATCAATAGCGGATAACAAGATGGAAGATCCTCTCCTGAATACTATCAGTCTGTTCATATTTTCACTCGATTACCTGATTATGGATGAGCCCCGGGTGTAGCGACTGTTTCCTGATTGAATCGGGGTAGTACTAGTCATAATGAAACAATCCGGGCCGCCCTTCTATCTCTCCCTTCCTTCTCTCTCTTCCTTCTCGCCAATCCACCTTTCCTCTCCACCTCCTCTCCACCTCCTCTCCACCTCCGTTCCATATTTACTCTACCGAGCCCTCGGTGGCATTATCCCTTGAACATTTTACAAGTTTTGTTTTCTACTCCTACGACTTTTGCAAGTCCATGACCCATCCAAAAAACTATACAAACACAACTGCGGCCTAGAACCTTTTGTTTTCTACCTGCATCGGTATCCATGCCATCATGGATAGATACTATGGTCGGTCCGGACCATTTGCAGCGCCTTCCTGCTGTGGTCGGTCTGGACCATCTGCATCCCGTTCCTGCAAGCTTCAATCTTCCTTCAGTGATTTCTAGCTTGACCTTCCTTCCATCTCCCCATCAATGCCCCTGATATTGATACTAATGGGTAATAGGCAGTGACTGAGACTTCAGCAAACAATCAAGCTGCTGGGTTTCAGCACTGCGCATTGCCAGCAGGAATATTGGGGCTCTGGTAGCGACGTTCTCACCGGGGTAGGTCCTTTCAGATGCTCCCCAGTTCAAGAGTAAATGCTGACATATTCTCTAGGTCTGAGAGGAATCCTCAGGTCAACAGCGTGGTCTGCGGGTTGGAAGCGCATAAGACCACGCTGTTGTTCTGATGGCTTCTTTGCAGAGCTCATAGAAAGTATAACTCCCGGCTCGCTATGAATATACAGATATCTAACTACCTCTAGCATGTCACTGAATCCCCATTACGAATGACGATCGCTTCACCGCCTGGCCTCCACTGTGTGGTGGATGCCGGTGCCTTCTCAGTTTCTTCCAGGTCAGTGGAAGTGGGGATAGTAACGACGGCAGCGTCACGGACTGACCTCCCCTGTGTGGTGGATGTTCTCTTTTTTGTCCATTCATTAATTGCATGCGACCTGTCTGGATCATGGCAATAGTGTGTAGTGGATGTCGTCGCATTCTCGATTATTTCGAGTTTGTGGCAGTGAGGATGGACTGTGTGGTGGATGCTGGAGCCTTCTCAGTTTCTTCCAGGTCAGTGGAAGTGGCGACTCACTTTTTGCTGGTTTCTACTTTATCCTCATGCTAGGGACCTGCTATTGATTACGGCGATGTACTGTTTCTCAGATTGGAGCGAAGTTGTGTTTTATAATTGCCTGCTTTTCCTATCATGCTCTCAGATTGTGGTCAGGGTAGTTGCACTTCTTCTCACAATACGTTTCTGTAGATTATTTGTCTACGACCGGAGAACGGGAGGGATAATCGTTTTAGTAATGCACAAAAAGATCGTTATAAGATCGTTGTTAATCTATCTCGTGCTGATGTCTCTCTCTTTCTTTTTTCTTGCTTCATCGTATTGCCTTTCATCGCTTCCGATCAAGGCAAGCTACAGTGCACACCTACATATCCCGTCTCCTTCGAGTTCTGATGGTGATGATGATATGAGCCAAATTCTGCAGAGGGAGATTGTGTGATGTCGAACTTTCGTTATGTCAGCCAATACATCATACTCTACCGCAACACCCATTCTAAACATTCACAGTTCAGATCAACTTCACATTCTCCATCACGTACGTAGTACGTACAGAGGATCTCCTCTGCCACAGACGAGATATTTCCAGGCAGTAAGTAAGTGATTGTTATGCTCCCAGCCGGAACTCGTATATATTATCTATTCAATCCACGCAATGCAATGCAACCGGCTCTCCGCAAGCAAGCCATCACCAACGACAAGAAAAAAAATCAAATCCCCGCACAAACCAAATCAACTGGGGTATCACCTAAACAACTAGAATATCCTCCAACACACCCTCCAAGTCCTCCTTTCTGAACGGCGCCCATAGCACCTCCGTCCCCTGGCTGTCCTTCTTGCTGGTTACCATTTGGTGGTCCATAAACCTGCCGGTGTGTTAGCTTGGAGTAGGAGGGGGGAGGTGAAGGGGAAGGAAGAGGGAGAGAACGTACTCTTTAAGCAGGGTGCGGAATGCAACATCGTTGCTGCAGATGAATTCCCCGACGGCGCGCTGGTACAGTACGCGGTACTCGACGCCGTACTCGCTAGCATCGCGTTTCTTCCCTTTCGCGGCATCGCCATCCTCGACCATAGCCTGCAGCTGATGGCTGACGAGGATCCTGAAGAGGGATTTAGCGTTGTTGGGGAGCGAAGCGAGGACGTATTTCACTCCCTTGGTACCACCCGCTCTTCCTGCGCCATCGACCAGCGAGAGAACCTCGTCGACCGGGATCTCGACGGAATATGACTCGAAGGTGGTCGCGTCGTGCCAGAGGAAGTTGAGCTGCGAGACCCGTGCGGCATCCCATAGCAGCGGTGCGCGGATGTGGTCCACGCTCGCTACGAGGCTGATCTTGGGATGGGCGGCTAGCCTTGTGATGATGGCCTGTGACCGCTCCTGGCGAAGTGCCTCCCCGTCGATGTTGTGGAATACCAGCGTCATTCTCCCCGCCGACGGCTCGTCGAGGAGCGAGAGGAGGTTGCTCAGCATGTCGTTCGGCGAAGCACCGAGCTTGACGTTGTGATTACTGCCCAGCAGCGCGGTAGCGACGGTTCCGAGCACGTCTTTGACGCTGAGCGTGGGGAGGTATCCGTTCACCACGACGACGCTTCCGGGATGTGTGTAGATTTTCTCGGCGAATGCCATCAAAAGCTTGCGCTTTGACCCGTACCCGTATAGAAGGATGTTGAAGCCCTGTGACAGCTCGAAGATCCACTGGTTGAACTGCTGGGTGTGGATCTGGTGTAGCCACTCTCGGTCCGGCACGTGATCGGCGGGGTGGTCGCGGAGCAGCTGGAAGTACATGCCGTGATCAATCTGCTTCAGCGAGGCGAGCGTGCTCGTCGACGTGTGCTGCCGTGTCTTGCGGTTCTGGTGGAAGTAGGATTCCGGGCCCTCGAGGGATGTCGGCGGCGGCGACGCCTCCCGCTTCTTCGCCTTTGCGCCTCTACCCGCCGCTTTGGCTTTTGGCTCCGGCTCCTCTATCGCGTCCTCCTCATCCGCATAGATCCTCCGAACCAGCTCGTCATCCCCGTCGTCGTCGTCGCCGTCTTCGTCATCGCTTGCTTCCACCAGGCGGCGCATCGACTTCCGTCTGGCGCTCCTGTCCGCATTCGTAACGACGTGTGGCGGCGACGCCCCCTCCCCCACCTCGGCGGTGAACCGCACACGATCTGCTCGCCTCGGCGTGGCAAGATTGGGGTCTTTGAGGATCGTCTTCCGCGGGGACGGCGACACTTCGCTGCCGGCGTCCTCGTCCCGTAGCCGGCGCTTGCTGGGCGTTTCTGGGGCGACGAGGAGCGTTACGGGTGGAATAATAGGGTTGGCAGCGGGAGCAGTATCGCCGTTCGTGTGCACGCCGGCGATAGCGGGTTGTTTTCGTTTCGGCGGCATTGTGGATGTTGTCGGTGCGAATGGTGAGTTGTGCTTGCTGGGAGACGCGTTTCTGTGGTGGACGTGATGGCTTGGCAGGCCTATAGTAAATAGGTTCGGTCTTCCAGCAGGTCCTGATTCCCGCGAGGCAATCCTTGGAAAGTCTTCTCGAAACAGCTGTTTATCAATCTACAGATTCACTATTTCCGCGGCCCTTCTACACTGAGATCATCATGACTGAGTCCGAAAGTGAGTGATATCTGATGCGAGTTGCTGTTTGATCCCTCCGCCGGCTTTGTGAACGGGTATATACGACTACTAATGTCCATAGCAGTACATATCTATACTCCCCGATTGACACAATTGTCCGCGCTGGATCCACCACAGGCTCGAGTACGAAGTATGCATGTACAAATATTGCAGGCAGAGCGGCTTTCCGCATGCACTCAAGTCGATTGGCTTAGCTTGAACCCACGTAGCTATGTAACCTTCCGTTCCCCATGGCCGCCGAAGTCTTTCACCGCTCTCCACCCCCACTACGGCCGCTATCAACTCGGTGAGCCGTAATGCATCCGTTGTGGGTAGGTAGATAAGTATCGTACGTAGGGTTGTGGACACTTCTGAGCTCCCCTGTCACGACGGTGGAGTTGGGCGCAGTCAGCAGTGCGGATAGGAGGCAGAGGAAGGACAGAACGAGCGTCTCTACAGAAGAGCAAGAAAGGAGGAACATGAGTTTGATGTGCATTTTATATGCTCGGTATAGGGCATAAATTCACTTTATTCACCACCTTCCGGCTGCGTCTTCTGTGTTTCTCCTTTGTGGTTGAAACCCCCTGGTGCCCAATAGGAGAGTCGAGCCAGTCAGACTTCGCCCCCCCGTCCGCATCGGTACGTCGAACAGCCAATATATTTTATTGGCGAGACCCACTTCCACGACCACGTTATTCGTCCTCCATCCAACTCCTTCCCCTCAACGCCTCCTGAACAATCAACCCGACCCAAACCACCTCAACTCCGTTCCACTTCACCGTCCAGGCAGACGAGCAACCGACAGCAGCTCCCTGTACAGTGCACCTAGTCCCGCGACCGAGAACGAGAAAGGGAAAGAAGCTTCGTACCTTCTTTTCTGCTTTCGTCTCGTTGTTAAAGTTCGACTCGCTCCTCCTTACATACCCACACGCCCGCACACCCATCCGCACTGCAACAAGATGCTTCTACCAAAATCCACCGCCGCCGCCGCGCCATTACTGCTCTTGCTAGCAGTCGCCGCCCAAGCGGCCATTATCCCTCCCGTCGCTGAGGTGGCCACAGCAGCAGCCGCCGCCGTAGCATCGATTCCCACGACCGCAGCAGAGGTAGCAGCCGCCGCCGCGCTCAACAAGGAACCTGGCAGCGTGGATGCGCCCGTCGACGGACTCGACGGGAAACCTCACGATGGCCCCGGCCTACGAGAAACCAGAGAGAAGGGGACCGGCAAGGTGGGCATCTCCGGGGGCTCGTTGCACGTAGATATAAAGAACCCACCGCCGCATACGGGCGACCATGAGATCGTTGATATTATTGCTCCTAATGATGGGGATGAGCCCACGGTTTGTTTAATCTTAGCCCTCCACCCCACGACGCGCGGGGCACATTGGATTGACGATCTACGTAGGAGGCTCCGGTGGAGATCGACGAGAAGACCGGGAAGGTCAAGTCGCCGCCCACGACACCCGGCGCCCCCGTATCCGATCACGAACACAAGGAATACGTACAACCCGGCACCGACACGATGAAGGACCCTCCGGTCGACGCGCCGTTGCATCTGTCTCCCGTCGACCCGGCCGGCGAAGGATCGTCCATCTCGCAGCCCATGCACTCGTTCGGCCTTAGTTTCCTGATGATCATCTTCTCGGAGATCGGTGACAAGACGTTCCTGATCGCGGCGTTGATGGCCATGAAGCACCCGCGGATAGTCGTCTTCACCGCGGCGTTGTCATCGCTCATCGTCATGTCCATCCTGTCGGCAGTCCTCGGCCACGCAGTGCCCACCCTGATCCCCAAGCACCTTACCGCCTTCCTCGCCGGAGGGCTGTTTTTGGTTTTCGGCGCGAAGATGATCAAGGAGGGCCTGGAAATGGAGAAGGGCACAGGCAACGTGCAGCACGAGATGGCCGAGGTCGAAGCCGAGCTGCAAGAGAAATCGCGCAACCGCGCCTCGTCCCTCTCCCGAAAACTCGAGTCCGGCACTCTTGCACCCTCGCGGTCACACTCTCTCCGCCGCAACACCTCCTCCCCTTCCCTCTCCGACTCGGACGAGGACGATTACGCGTCCGCACGCGGAACGGGCAAGGGCAAGAAGATGGGCATGCTCGAGGGCGTCCAGAACCTGGCGGGCCTGCTGCTCTCCCCCGCGTGGGTGCAGACATTCATCATGACGTTCCTGGGCGAGTGGGGCGACCGCAGCCAGATCGCCACGATTGCTATGGCTGCTGGGCAAGATTATTGGTATGTTACTATTGGTGCCATTTCGGGGCACACTATTTGCACCGGAATTGCGGTTATTGGAGGTCGGATGCTGGCATCGAGGATTAGTGTCAGGAATGGTGAGCCTCCCCACCCCCCATCATTTATACCGTCAACTGGCAAATTACTAACGAAACGGAACCACAGTAACCCTCGGCGGCGCGGTTGCCTTTTTGGTATTCGGAGTGCTGTACCTGGCCGAGGCCATCTACGCCTGATTCTACGCCTGATCATGCCGTACCGTACCGTATCGTACCGTATCCCTTTCTTCAACGATGGTCTGCTTTCGGCGAAGCCGCCGTTAATTTAGACGAGTGCGTGCGTGTGTGTGGGGAAAAAAATAATAGTAGTCTGTAGTGATGTTTGTTTCTTCTTCACTTCACCGTTTCGGTTCTTCTGTGTATATAGGGGCTTATACTTGTACTCTTTTTTTGATGATTGGAACTCTAGTAGAGTAAGTACTAGGTCGCCGCGTGAGATGGTGGGGCGATGTCGTAAATCGATTACCTGGTCATCGACGTGCCACTGACGGGTTTAATTCTTCATGAGAATCATTTCTATGATACGTACTGCCAAAATTTATCTGTGATGGTAATGCTGTCCAGACAAGCCGAGTATGTAGCGGCATTCCCATGCGTCGAAAGAACGAGCCTTCAGTTCTACCAGAGTGACCCACCCGTTGCTACTAGTAGTGATGGGTGAAAAGCAAAAGAAAAAAGCCAAAAAAGATAGCGACAACGACAAGATTCGAACTTGCGCGGGCGAACCCATATGATATCTGCAACTGAAGAGTATTCGAGTCATACTCCTTAACCACTCGGACACGTTGCCATATAATGTGTTGGTAAATGTAAAGCGAGTATCAGACAGGAAGCTATGGCATGCGAGTGTGGTTTTTATTGGATTGGAACTTGGATTCATATCGTAGCGGGTGTTGGACTAGGTCTTCCCGCTGCGTCATGGGGTTATTCAGTGGGGTATAATAGTTGTCGCTAGCTTTACTGTTGTGGGTAAGGGGTGCACTACATGGGGGGTGAGGACTCTTGTCGGCTCGTGTTCATGGGCGGTCACTCTACAGCTGCTGTCACTTTGGCGGGCGAGATACTCTGTTCGTCGGTAGTGCTAGTGTATAGCTCGTCCATCTTCAATTGGCGTAGGCAGATCATGGGAAAAGGACGCGCCCATAAGGTACACCATACACCATACCACCATACACCGCTCCACCGCTGACAGTAGGTAGGGTGGAACCGGATTTGTACTCAGCCATGATCTACTAAATGCGAATGCTGTGCTGATCAAAAAACTGCTCCACCGCCGGCCATACCAATCCGGCATTCTACCCACCTAGATCTTGGTCTCCCCCAGCATCCCCACCACATCCCCCACGCCCTCCCCCGTCTCCCAAGGCAGCCCACGCCTCATCCCTCTCCTCTGCAGTAACTCTAACAGCCTACCCCTCCACTTTGTCAACAGCGGAAACGCCGCGACCACATCATCGAGCGTCACCGCGGACCCATCCTCCCCGTCCTCCTCAACCTCCCACCTCCAAACGCCATTAACATCCCACCACCTCTCACCAAACACCGTATCAAACGCGAGCTCCGTCTCCGCCTCCCTGAGCGCCCTCATCGCCTCCGCGTCCCCTCCCTTCCTAGCAAGAACCGCGAGCGCGCCAAGGATCCCGCCCACCTGCAGCCCGATCCGGCCGCCCAGCGGGTAGCCCTCATCGAAGCCGCTCTGTATGTGCAGTGACTTGGACACGCTGATGCCGTCGCGGTAGCCGAACGTCGTGTGTGTTTGCCGGAGTTTTTGGAGGTCGGGGGCTTCCGTCGCCGTGGAGGAGGGTGTGGGTGTGGTGGGCCGTGAGGAGCTGGGTGAGGGGCTGCGGGAGCTGGGGAAGACGTCCGATAGGGTTTGCAAGTCTGGAGGCGTCGGTGGCGGCGTGGGCGGCGGGGTGCTCATCTTTGCGGGTGCGTGGTGGGGAGTTTGGTGGGGGCGGTGGATGGGGGCGGGAGGGCGTAAAGTAGAGTTATGGTTATTACTATAGTTGCGGCAATCGCCGTGCTTAGCGTGAATTGGATGTGGATGATGTCTACACGTCTCCTTGAGCTCCCATTCACTCACTCACTCGCGACACAATAGCCACACGCAACAATGTCGTGGACTACCTACCTCCTCCTCCCGCTGCTCCTGCCGCTGCTATGGTACCCCCCTCCCTCCCACTAATCCACCGCCCACTAACCCCAACGCAGTTTCTACCTCCTCCCAGCAACCCCCACAACCCCAGCAATGAGCAACAAGACAATAACCCTCCTAATCGCGCACCCTGACGACGAAGCGATGTTCTTCTCACCCACACTCCTCTGCCTCGCGCCGTCGAACCGGATCCAAGTCCTCTGTCTTAGCACGGGGGACGCGGCGGGACTCGGCGCCGTGCGGCGCACAGAGCTGATCGCCTCAGCCATGACCCTAGGCGTCCGCGACAGCGCCGACGTCGTGGTGATCGACGACCCGCGAATGCCCGACAGCATGGGCACGCCGTGGGCTCCGGAGGTGGTGGCGGAGTACCTAGCGCGCTACGCGGGCGACGCGGACGTGGTCCTGACGTTCGATGAGCGCGGCGTGTCTGGGCATGTCAATCACGTCTCGCTGCTGCACGGGGCGCGCGAGTTTGTGCGCGGAAAGGGGGTGAAGCTGTGGACGCTGACTACCGTGGGGGTGCTGAGGAAGTATTCGTCCGTGCTCGATGTGCGCGCTACGAGGGCGGCTGGCGGGTTGGTGTTCGTGAGTAATTGGGAGGGCGTTAGGACGGCGCAGAGGGCTATGACGGATTGTCATGTCTCCCAGATGAGGTGGTTTAGGTGGGGCTGGATCGGGCTGAGCCGGTATATGGTGGTTAATGATGTGCGCGAGGAGACGGTCGTGTGAGAATGCATGTAGTATACAGATATAGATTGAATGTCCCCCAACCAATGCAACCATATCCCAGTTTTGGCTCCCCGTGAATGCAAAAGATCTAAACACTGAAAGGATATATACAACGAAGAAACAAAACAAGATACACCCACAACCGCCCAGTCCACCATTGAAGAAGAAGAAACAAAACATGAATACACCAATAACCGCCCAGTCCACCACTAAAGAAGTAGCCACGGAATGCCGGAATCAAAAGAAATCGTCCTCCTCCTTCGCCCCCGTCCCCAGAGCCATGTACATCCACCTCCTCTTCCTGGTGGTGATGACCTCCCAGAGTTCCTCCTCATTCTCCTTCGCCAGATCCAACTCCACATGTCCAGACCTGAGCACGTACACCACGTCCCGTCCCAGGAAACACCCCCACTTCTCGATGATCCTGGGAACCTCCTGTGTGCCGAACGCTGTGACTTCCAGATCCTTCCCAACTACCATCAACTCCGTCCATCGGCGGAGCATTGAGCGGAGTCTGTGCTCGTCCCTGACCAGTGCGGCGACTTGTTTGCGAAGCGCGGCTATCTCGTCAGCCGTGTAGGTCACCTTCTTCTCCACCATTTCGCCAGCGTCCTCGGGTCCACGAACGATCCGACCGTGCGCCATGCGTGTCTCGATGCTTCGTGCCCTCCAGACGATGGACCGAACCAGTGAGGTCATTACTGACTCCATCATCTGCTCCGCCATGCCGGGCATTCGTCGCCAGAGGTACGAGCGAATGATGTAGTCGTACATATCAACGGTGGGTGAGATGCGGTAGGGTTCGCCGGTCATGATGTTCCAGAGTCCTTCGAGGGCGGCGGCGGGGAGCGAGTGTTCGTGGTCGGTGCGTTGGCGGGAGTACACGTATGTCCAGTTGAGAAGTGTGACCCAGACGGGCACTGGAATCGGTATGTCGTATAGTCTCGAGAGGTGATCGACCGTTCGGATGGCCTTGTCGACGCTTCCGTTTTGGCAGAACGCGGTTGCGATGGCGAGGAGTGTATGGCCGGTGGGATACAGCGGCGAGTCGGGGCGGATGGTGACCCGGCTCTCCTTGTCCCTTACGGCAGCTTCGTTCGGAAGCCCGTCCACGTCCACCCCCCAGATCTCCTTGAGCGTTACCGACACGCTGTGGAGATCCCCCATACGGGCCGTTGCAAGCATAAGGATATCGAACGTCATGCTGTTGGGCGAGACCCCCTTATCGAGCATTCTCCGGAAGATTCTCTTCGCTCTGGTGACATAGAGGTCCTTCCTCTTTGAACGATGGTCAACGCTCTTCTCATTGACCTTATATTCGCGCTCATACGCGGCACCTCCGCTGACTGCCGCCATGAACGAATTGTACGCCCATGTATCGACCAGATACTCACGACCACACATATCATTCCAGTAGACCTCTGCCATCTTCGGATCTCCACCGGCCCTGGCACAGTCGATCAGATGGCCATACTCCCTGACCGTCAGCTTGTGCCCCGCCTTCTGCATTGCCTTGACCACGGTGACCAGCTTCCTCTTGAATTCCGCAAACGCCTTCTCCTCTGAGATGAGATAGTACGTCCTTCCGTCGGCCGCCAGGCGATGCCGAGCTTTGAGATCCAGGTAATCATCGGCCTTCAACGACAACAGCAGCGCACTGAAATCGTTCCCCTTGATGCTCCGCGTCAACAGAAAGTTGACGTACGTCTGCATGAACTTGTCCCAGATGAGGCCGCCCTTCTTCTGGTCGATGGCACGGAGGAGGCCACCTCGCGGCGACTGCGGCGAGGGGACGGGGATGGGATCGAGGCCGGTCAACGATGAATCCAGGGGTTCCGCCGGGGGTGCCGAGGCGGCGTGCGATTCGGTGGTGCTGCGGGCCACCTCGTACTCCCGCACGACATAGTCCAGCACGCTCTGCAGGCGCTTGACAGCATCGATGGAGTCCTTCAGGATGCGGCGGACGGAGGTCGGGTCGAGCTGGGTGTGGAATGACGGTGTTGGCAGCAATGGCGGCTCCGTTGCGGGGTCCTCGGCTCCCGTGCTCAGTGCCCGGGTGAGGCGTCTCGAGATGGTTCTACCGCGGGTCCCTTGCGGACACGTCGGGAGGCATCGGATTCTCTTGCCCAGAGAAATGGTGACGGACTGGAGTCCGTTCATAAGTGGGGAGGTCGAATTGTGGGGCCGTGCAGCGAACACAGCGGCGAAGAAGGTAGGTCGGACGCCGGCGTTATGGAACGGACGGTTTGGGTTGAGGGACAGCCAAAAAAAATTCGAGAGCCGAATTGAGGCCAGATAAGATGGGATTGATAAGCGATGTGTACGAGTGACTTCCGGTGCTTGTATTCCGAGATGTTGAGAATGAATCCCATAATCTAATAGCCGCTACGCCTTCCATTCATGCTCGCAAGTACGAGGTATTCATTCTTGTTGCCGTATGCAAAGCAAAACATAACCTTTCCAGTGCCCGAACAACACAAATGCAAAGCATACTTGGTAGCAAATGATCTATCAACTCTATTTCTAGGTCTACACCTACTCCTTCCCCGTCTTCCGGCTTCATTCGGATTCTTTCCCCCCTTGAGAATGAGAATATCCAGTTAACAATCATGATCCAGCAGACAATTCTCCTTCCTATGATAACCCTCCCATCTAACCGTGCGCTGATAGTTACTCCTTCCGCTTCTCCGCCAGCGCTGGCGCATCCGGAACGCGCTTCATAGATTCCGTCCCGGTAGCCGATTGCCAGAAGTTCCTCTCCAGCTGCACTGCAGTTCAAGACTCCAGACCCCACCGGCATCCACGGGCATCAACGAAGCATCCCGCATCCCGCATCCCGCATCGGAAGTCCAACTCCAACAAACAAGAGCCGGCTCGGGCTTCGAGCCTTCGACAGCGATGGGAGCCCGTCGTCGTCGCCAGAGGACTCGGGAAGAATGGTACCTATCCTCCGTTATGGTAGCCTCCGTTACGGTAACCGGTGATGCTACTCTGGAGTCTGGGAATCTGGGAATTTGGGAGCGTGTCCTGCAGATAATCACTCGAGCTGAGTACGGTGCCGAGTACGGTACCGAGAGTCGAGATATGTAACTACGGAAGCTGTGCAGGTACAGTAGGTATCCACAGGTATGTAGGTAGGTATTCTCGACAGAAAAGACCGATGCTGGTAATGGGAATATATCTTCCTCCGCTGGGCCGTCGAGGGAGTCCGTCCCCTTCGCCGCGGTATGTACCTACATAGATGCTGGGAGTGTTTCGTTCCAAGCTCCAACCTCCAACCGCCCGAGCAGCAGCAGAACAGCGGAGCGGTACCCACCGCCACCCTCACCCGGCTAGCAGGCAGGCAGATTTCCCGACAAGTGACCAGATGTATGTATGTAGGCCACACTGCCAGGGAAAATGATAGTTAGTTGGTTGTCGCCGAGGGCTGAGACATTGCGTGTAGTGTGTCTTGTGTCTGGTGTCTTGTGGTGTCTTGTATCTTGTGTCTTGTGTCGTGCGGGATGAGTGATCATAGACTCACCTCACCGTCTCATCGTCGGCGACTTGTCATGCCAAAACAAAAGGTCGGGCCAAAACAAAGGTCGAAATCCGGTATCTACCCAATGTATCGCCTGAATGTGAGGAAGTGAGTGTGTACCGTAAACCGTCCACACATTACGGTGGGTAGGGCATCTACCACGCAGGAGAGTGTAAGTACGAGTAGAGTACCGGTATTCCGGAGAAGGGTGGGGATGGATGCTTTTGAAATAAACAATTCATTTTCCATTTTCATTCCATTTTCAAGAATGTTTCTGTTTAAACCCCGAAAACCCCCCAAATTAAAATCATAAAAAGAACATCTACCATAGTCAGAACCAGTCGATGGCCGATGACCTACGGGGATGGGATATGTAGCTCTTGCAAGTTGCTACACAAGTACCCACACCAGTATGTAACAAGTTGCCAAGTTCCAAGTATAATACCGGTACAATTGCTTCTTACTCCCCGATCCGAACCGTAGCGATTGGGTACATGAGTATCGAGTCTCGAGCGACCGGCGAGGGCGTAGGTACTTGTTACCATTGGCACTCCTTTTCTTTCTTTTCTTGTTTCCTTTCCTTCTTTTCGACCGGGGTTTTAAGACGAGTTTTCCTGTACTAGGTAAATGTATCTGGTGATCCACCATGCTGATACCTGAGTAAGTAGGTACGTATGGTAGGTATGGTATGGGGATGGGGATGGCAGAGGGATAGACACGGGGATGGGCATGGGGATGGATATGCTGCCGCTGACACCTAGAGGAAAAGAAGAAAAAAGGAAACGAAAAGGAAAAAAGAAGAAGGATTTTGCTTCTGCCGGCTGGTCGAATATGTGGAACACTCTACTATACCGTGCTCTAACTACTCTACTATTCGTAGGTACTTCTGTACTTAGAAGATGTAGGTGTTTGTGTACTTTGTACTTGGACATGTACTGGGTTATGTACCTCCTGTTTGTACTGTATGTATGTACTTGGATATGTACTGCACTGTAGATATAGTACTCTACATGCTCAACCGAACGGTACATAAGAGGTACATAACCACCAGCCAGAATAGGGTATGCTCCGAATCCCAATTCAAATCCAAATCCCAATCCGAGCCCAAATCTGAGAGTACCTTTAACTACTGGCACATGTCAAACACCAGTGTCCCGCGGTAACTACCGCAGTCATACCAGTACATAGTAGTTATTCGCTCCATCTCCCCGGCCCCCTCCATCGCACACCGAACTCAACTCAACTCAACTCGGACTCCGAAACGAAACCAAGACTCGAACCAAGAATCCAGCCAACATTCCGCGCCGCGTGCGCTGCGGCAGCGGGTAGTTCGGATCCTGGGAGTCCACGTGTGCGTATCTATTTACGAGCTGGGACGAAACAACCTTGACTATAGCTATAAGTTGAGCGCGTTAAGACAACCGGCCAAGATCAAGCTCAAGATCAGGAAACAGAAACAGAAACGGCATTCCTCCAGCTCGTCCTGTTCGTCATGTTATCCCTGGCATCTAGTCATCCAGTGGAAAAATCCGTTGGTTGGTTGGGTACTCGGCCCGAACCCTCGACACCGACCTCAACCTCGAAGAGTCGGCCCAAGGACCAAGCGAGCGAGTTCGAGTTCAGCCCGCCCGCACTGACTGCCGACTCCCGCACTGACTGCCGACTCCCGCACCGACTCCCGCGGCCCTGCCGTCTCGCCGTTCGCCTACCCGCCGTATGTACTGCCCTGCCCCGGCCGTGGATCCGCCTCGAGCCCGGCGCCAACAATCTCGATGGCGGTGCTCCACCAGCGCAGATATGTACCGGTGCATATGTAACCCCCCACACTCTCCGGTGGTACCAGTCTTCCGGTGTCGGACCTTCGGTTGAGCCAAGATCAAGGCGTGAAGATCAAAAAGGAAGATCAGCAATGATGATCAGAACGAAGATCAAGGAAATAAGCGAGCGAGCGAGCGAGCGAGCGAGAGTGCTCTGCTCTGGCAGCTGATCTCTTGATCTGCTGGTGTCGAGCCTAAGTAGAGATACCTCCTACCACTTCTTGGTTATGTAGAGTGGGTGCATGCATAATTCACGTAGGTATCATATGCATAACCTCGCTCGCCCTCCCTCCCTCCCGCTTGCCGTGGAATATGCATGTACATATGGTATGTAGAGTACCCAGAACTTGAACGCAGACACAAGCAAGCAAGCAAGCTGCAGACCATCCCCCCTCCCGCACCACGTGCATCCCATCTCCCATGGGGGCCAGCACCGTGGCTTCTTCCCACCTACAACTTCCTTCCTACTTATCTCTCCATATCTTCCATCCCCCGTTTGCGCCCTCCCCTCTGAAGAAAAGACGTATGTAAAAAAGAAGAAAAAAGAAGAAAAAAGAAAGGAGAAAAAGGGAAGGGAAGGGAAGGGGGAGGCCATGCAATGCACCACACACTGCATCACACACTGCACCAGACTCTGCACCAGACCGCACCACACACTGCACCACACACTGCACCGCACTGCACTGCATAAGCCGCGGACGCCGTGGGTGGACGCCGGTCGGCATTTGGTGGTGGGGTGGGGTGTGGTGCGCAGGGCGGGGATGATGGGTGCGCATAATTTGTGAAGGATTTTGTTTATTGTTTTTATGTTTTATTGTTGTTTTTATTGGTGTTTTTATTGTTGGTTTTTGGCAGGAGGAAGGAGGAAAGAAAAGAAAGGAAAAGAAAGGAGAAATATGGTACTCTAGCCCATCCAAATAAATCTATCCGAGAGAGAGAGGGGAAGAGGGGGGGAGAGAGAGAGGGAGAGAGACGGATGCTAGGAGGGGTGGATGTGCGGCTACGGATATTTATATATATTCGCATTCGTTGGGGGCTATCCGTGAGGATGGAGGATTGGGGATGGAGGATGGAGGGATGAGGGATGAGGGTTTTCCTATAAACCAATTCTCGACTCTGGAGTCCAGTCTCAGGAGCGGGCCGTTTGGCTCATGGCTATAGGAGCGATTGGAGATTGGCGGCTGGCGGTTGGTGTCTATGTATTTGCAGTCGAGTAGAGTGTCCTTCCGCCATTCTTTCCGGAGCGAATTTGAACTTGAATTTGGCCCTTATGGAGCTTCCAGGTGCGGACACTTTTTGGCGGCTAGTGCGGCAAGGCGGGTGCAGGGGCGGCAAACGGCATTAGATGGGGGGGGGGGCGGAGTGTCTGAACTCTGGAGGGGTTGAATAAAGTGCAGCGCCTGGCTAATTCGGAGGGAGGAGGGCTTTTTTTTGTTTCTGATTTTTTTCTCGTTCTTTTTTTCGTTTTCTTCCTTTTTTTTGTCTCGTCCATGCTTTTGGGGGCGAGATACTGATAGCGAGAAGACGCTAGCTAGTGCGACGGATAGGGAGGGGCGTTGGGCTTGGGCGGGCGGGTGTTCGCTTCTATCCCCGGAAGCGAGGGGTGCGTATCAATCTGGAGGGAGAAGGATCGATAGTATGGTGGGGAGGGAGAAGAAACGGTACCTACCATAGTGGTGAGAGAGAGAGAGACAGAGAGAGAGACGGCAATTCCATTCCTTGGGTCTCCTCTGCAAGAAAGTAGAGTAGATACCAGATACTCTAACCAGAGTCTACGCCGGTACGTACGACGTCGAGCAAGCACACCCTGCCATGTTCGCAATATACCTACGGCACCTACTCTGGGTACATAGAGTACGGTCAGTTAGCCAGGGGAATACCTAGGGCTGCTGACCACCGTTCGAAGGCGGCGGCGAAGAAGCCGGAGAAGATGACGGCGACGATGACGGGGAAGCCGTAGAACACGCAGAAGGATACGAAGACGGATATGCTGTAGAACACGCGGAAGGAGACGAATACGGAGAAGCCGCAGAACACGCGGAAGGAGACGAATACGGAGAAGCCGCAGAGGCCGTAGAAGCCGTAGGAGAAAAAGGCAAAGACGGGTGAGGCTCTCAGCACTGTATTGGCCGCGCCCATCTCCATCTCTCCATCTCTCCGTCGCTATTGTTGTAATTGTTGCTGTCGCTGCTGTCGCCGCTGTCGCCGTCGCCGTCGCCGTCGCTGTCGCCGGGTGTCTCGCTGTAGCGCGCCTTCACTGCTCTCGCTAAACCGCTTCGTCCCTACCTTCGTCGCCAGTCGCTTAGACGGCTAACCCCATTCTTCAACATGTCATATCATCATCGCATCCGTTGCATCTCTGTCTCTCATCCTCTCTCACTCAGTGGCGACGGTGGTTAGTGGTGGTGGAGGAGGTGGTGGAGGTGGTGGTGGTGCAGTCTTGCTTGCCGTTAACCTGCCCGTCCCACCCTCCGTCGAATACCGGTAATTTCTGCTGCTGCTTGCTGCCGTGCTCTGCTCCACTCGAAGCACATACCTGTTACCTACTGTCGCTCCGCGTCTCCCCCGTCGCCATCGACGTCGCCAGCGCCATCGCCGTTCGTTGTTGTCTCGACGAGAAGACATCTGCTCTCATCGGTCTCAGGGCGTTCCTCGAATCACTCTCCGCACCGCATCTCGAACCGGGCGCTGACTTGCATCTCGCCATTCGACATCACAACTACTGTTGCCGCTGCTGCTGCCAGGTACCTGCTACATAGCACCTACCGTCGTTCTTAAGCACTCTGCTCGATCCAACTACCCTACACGACATTACACTACCTACACCGCACTACGTTGTCGCTCACCCTAGAGTACCATTCCTCCGTATCGCCCTATCGCCCGCCCGCCCTCCCGCCCGCCCCCCGTCGCCCGCTGCCTATCCACATCGATCCCCATCCCAACCTCCCGCCCACCCTACACTCCGCCGCATCTCTTTCGTCCTCTCCTCCCGTCTTGTCTCTCCCGCCTATCCCTCCGCCGCTGCAGCCAGACTCCCACCACTATATCTCCATCCCACCCACCTCCCGCCAATCCAATCACTACCATTCCCCCCGGCTTGCATACTTCCTAGCACCACTTAGTCCAATCACCTGCTGCTGCACCAGCATCTCCCAGAGAGGCCTTTACAACGCAACAACGACGCACCTCCAAGCCCCCCCCCCCCCCCCCCCCCCCCCCCAAGCAACAAGCAGCCTCGCCCACCACCACCACCGCTACATACCACCACTACCACCACCACCATCACTTACTACTTACAACCACACATCCCACTACTTCCTCCTCTCACCCACCCTCCCTTCCGCTCGCTCGCAGCTTCTTTCTCTCCATTGCTGTAGTGCATTCCATTCCAGGTGCCAGACAGCAGCCCAGCCCACTACCACACCCTACTTCCCATCACCCGCACATCTCATCCCACTTCTCGTTCCTGAATCCCGTCCTTTTCGACCCAACTTGCGTTCGTCACGTTCTCTCGTTCTCGTCATCTGATCTTGCGTCGCGCAATTCGTTCGCTCCGTGCCGCTCCTTTCCATTTTCGACACGCACCGCAGCAGCAGTAGCAGCAGCAGCAACGACAATAGCAGCAACGACAACTACAGCAACAACCACAGCAGCAGATCCATCGTCGTCGTTTCGTCCGTCTCGGTCGCAATGGACGGCTCTTCTACTATCAACGGAAACTCCCGTCCCTTGGTGGGAAGCTATGTCGACAACAACGACGTGAACGGTTGGAACAACCACCAGCAGCAACAGCAGCAGCAGCAGCATCACCAGGAACCTTCGTACCAGACTCAGCCCATCGGCATCAAGACTGAGCAATTGTCGGCCGTTCCTACCTACGAGGCTTACGTCGCTGTCACCTCCGCTGGTCCCGCCGACATGGAGGTTAAACCGGGCTTACTTGATCCAACACCCCCCACCGATCTCACGGAGATGCAACGCTTATCGCAGGAGTACCAGCCAGATGTAACGGTATGTCGGAAGGAGAGAAAAAAATACAACTACAACCTCCCCCACTGCACTTCTCACTCCACTTTGTGGGCGGGGGGGAGTCTGCTGTGGACACCGAGAGCGATGGTGAGCTAACGGTGAACTATGACAGGGTCCGCTAGTCGGAGAGCTCAAGTCGAGCAAAGCCCTTGCAATCGAATACGCGGATGCGGATCCCACCTACATCAGAAAGACTTCGGTACGGTTGCATCTCTCTCGTTGCTGTTTTGTTTTTTCTTTCTTTTATTCTCTCTCGCTTCTCTGTGTGTGTGCATGTGCGAAGAGCTTTGCTGATGCGGACGCATTGCAGAGCCTTGCCCTAAAATACGATTCCTATCGTACCGTGCGCGGTGATGGAAACTGTGGATGGAGAGGTACGCCGCTGCCATCGGTAGACGATTTTTGCTCTGGGCGACTGACGCTGACTGCTTGCTTCTAGCTCTCGCTTTCGGCTTCTTCGAGCTGTTGTTGAGGAATGGCGACCAGAATTCTCTTGGAATGGAGCATGCCCGGATTGCGTCGTTGAGTGGCCTGATGGAGTCTGTTGGCTTCCAATCGTACATCTACGAGGATTTCGCTGAAGCTACCTTCTCCCTGTTCACTACCTTGAACTCCGGCAATATCAGCCCATCGGACGACGCCCCGCTAGTCAGCACCTTCAATGATCCTAGCATCTCGGACTCCATCGTGACACACTTCAAGGTTTGATATTCCTATCTGGGAATCTGCCGCTTGTAGGGGGGCTCACCCGAACTGACTGAGTGTGTGTCGGCAGTTCTTGACGAGCGCTTGGATGAAGAGTAGTCCCGAACACTATCAGCCGTTCTTGAGTGTGCCGGTCAGGGAACACTGCGAGTCCCAGATAGAACCGTATGGCGTAGAGATTGACCATGTCGGCCTGATGGCCCTGATTGATTGTTTGATTCTGCCTGCAGGCATGGCAGTTGAGATCATCTATCTCGACCGGAGCGCTGGAGACGAGGTGAACGTGCACCGCTTCGAGAAGCTCGAGGGCGAGGGAATCTTGACCGCCCCCGATGCGCCAGTGTTGAGACTCTTGTACCGACCGTATGCCTCACCCACACATGCCCAATCCCGTTTGAACATTTTGAGCTCACCACCTCCATCTTGCATAGTGGCCACTACGACATCGTGTACAAAGCGGAAGACTTGCCAGTGCCGGTGCCCTCGTTCCCGGTCGCACCATCCCAGCCCGTGCAGGTTTCGTTCCTCCACACCTTGCCGGACCAGATCTTCCAGGCCACGCCTGCTGCTGGGGGCTTTCCAAGCTTCTTCTCGCCGCCGTTCGGACTGGATCTCGGTGGACCGCCATCCTTCGACCACTCGATCCAGCCACTTCCGAGTCCGGACCCAGGAAACTTCCGCCAGTCGATGCTGTCGATTCCCGAGTTCCAGCCCTCACCGTTCCAGCCGCTGCCGTTCCAGACGACCACGTTCAGGAACTCACCGTTCAACCCAAGTCACTTCCAAAGTGAAAACTTTCAGCCGGAAATCTACCAGCCGCCAACGTCGCCAACCCACTCCAGGAAACATGACAAGCACTCTTCGGATTCCTCGATATAAACATGACGGTTGGTGCGCCCGGAATGTTAATGGTTGACTGGAAGTAAATAGATACAGGTGGTCGGAGGCGACTCGGGGAAGAAGTTCTCTCTTTCTTTTTTCCTTTTTTCTTGCTTTTCCCTTTCTTGATACTAGTTACCATGGCGTACTTATACGGCTTTGATGTTTTTGTTTGTTTCTTCTTTTCTCCCTTCGTCTTTTTCCCTATTTCTTATCTCTTACGGTACAACGATTCACGCAAACGGCTTTTCATTCTTCTTGCTTTCGAACCTGTCTTCTCTTTGCGTTTCTTTTCCTGTGGTCTCGGGGTTTGGGTTTTGCTGCTTTTCTGATTTCTGATTTCTGGCTGGTTACGGGATGACGTGTGCTGCCCAACACTTGGTGCGAGGGGAGGACGGAGACGAAAAGGTGTCTGGGCTCACGGCGAATATGGGGATTGGGTGCTTGGTTGGTTGCGGGCTGGGGAAATTTCAAAAATTTGGGTTCACGCTGTCGGTTGTGCTAGTGCTCCAGTGACGATATCCGTGGCGAGGAGATCCTGATGGTGGGCTCACGGGCCTACGCCGTCATGCCTGGATAATCAGTCCTGACCGTCATATATGGATGGAAGGAGCCTGTGCCCTCGCTGTGTTTGCTTGCTCTTTCCATTCACGATACTCGGCCGTACATCCAGTCATCTAGCAACCCATCCATCTAGCTGTCTATCTAACCAGCCATTCATCCATCCATCTATCCATCCAGCCATCCAGCCAGCGGTCCATCCATATATCTATCCATCCAGCCAGCCAGTGATATCGTACCCATCCCATGGCGAAAACAGCGCGGCGTGCAGCCCGTTTGCTCCCCTTCCCCTCACCTTTCCTGCCATATACTGACACGCAGCAGGCTCGGGCCTGGCCCTGACCTCCCTCATCCTCCTCTCGGGAGCAACAGTCCTGCTGTTCCTCCTACTCCTAGCTGGCGCCTTCGACCGGCGTCCTCTAAACCGGATCTTCTTCCTGCAAGCGGACACCACGGGAATCCCCAACGCACCCAACGGGATCACGCACTGGACACTCTACAACGTTTGTCCTCCTCTTCCCATCCCTACAGCCTCCAGCTAACCTCTCAGCACTGCTCCTCCCACAACGGGATCAACACCGCCTGCGGCCCCAACAGCGCCGCATACCCAATCGACCCCGTGCGGAACTTCGGCACCCGCACCGGCATCCCTTCCTCCTTCGTGCATCACCCCTCGAAGTACTTCTACCTCTCGCGCTTCCTGTACGCATTCTACATCATCACTTTATTCTTCACCCTGTGCGCCCTGGCGCTCTCCCTCGCCGCCTGCCTCTCGCCATTAGCTACCTACCTCGCCACAGCCTGTGCCTTAGCCGCAACCCTGAGCGCCGCGTTCTGCGCGGCCGTAATGACCGCCGTCTACGAAATGGCCGCGCGCGCTTGGCGCCACGACGGCAGGCAAGCCCGCATCGGCGTCAAGGCTACTGCGTTCACGTGGACGATCCTGGCGCTCACTGCGCTCGCTACCGCCGCGCTGATGGCTGCTGCTATGGCTGCAAGGCGCGGGAGAGGGAGAGGGCGTGCACCCCCGCCTACGAGCAATGTGTACAGGACGGGTGCGCCCGATAGTAGTGGTAGGGTCGCGAGGTTGACCAGGCTCGGCACGGTGAAGCGCGAGAGAGCCGGGCCGGCGGCCGCGCCCGTCTGGAGTGAGAAGGAGCGGCGTGCGGATAGTGACTTTGCGCGCAGTAGTGAGGGCGCCAGGACCGAGAGCGTGCGTAGGTTGACTATGGTGCCGCAGGGGATGGGGAGGAGGAGTGAGGGCGGGGATAGGGATAGGATGGGGGAGGGGTATAGGGAGAGGGATAGGATGGGGGATAGGGTGGGGTATAGGGAGGGGGAGGGGGATAGGACTGTTAGGCTTAATGGGCCCGCGAGGACGGTTGATAGTGCGTGATGGTGGGGGGTGATGTAGGAGGGGAGAAGGGGGAGGGGTGGATAATGTTTGGTTTGGTGTATTTGGTCCGGTTGGTTTGGTTTGGTTTGGGATTCATATTCGGTTTGGATGTACTTGTACAATGTAGTAATGTTGACGATGATGTAGTTTGCTCTGGGAGATGTAATATATTCGCTTCGATGGTTCGATGCTCAGTCCGGTCATGACATATCACCAACTCCCCAGCCCGCCAATGAGGATTCTCCAGCTCGCTTACCTATTCCGTTGATCTTGATGTCGATGTCCGTTAGGTGTGTATGATCTCAACTCTACCCAATAGAAGACCCACGATGCTATGGAGTAGAATATCTACCGTATGTACCTCGGCGGCGGTGCAAGATCTGCGGCGGCGCATGATCGGCCGGGGCGGGGCGGGGATGGGGATGGAGGATCGGCGGGGTGCATGGCTGGTACCTACACGCACAAGCCGGCTTCACCGATCTCACCGATTTCACCTCGAGCTGCGAGCGGCAGCTGTGGGCATACATGGAGCTCGAGACTCGTCTAGGCAGTCGCCGTTGCCGTTCGGGATCCGGAATCTACCGGCTGCTTGCTTGCTGGTTTCGTGGCCCGTTAAGTTACTGCCAGTTACTGCCAGTACTATATCCATCGGACATCCGTACGGCTTCGAAGTTCGAACTCGGCCTGTATCGAGGCGGGCGGTGCACACACATATCTACGATACTCTAGAGTACATAACTACGCCTCTGCTCTGCTTTGTTCTGCATGGCTGGCAGGTGCGCAGTACGACGGGGATGGAGAGGTGGATGTTCCCTGCGTCGGCACGTACAGAGGACGCAGAGGACGCAGAGTATTGTACACACCTGAGTACCCAAGTAACCACCACTCACTCCACTCCACACCACACAACTCCACTCCACACCATCCCCATCCTTCCATGTTCATGCATATGCGACGAGGGACCAGTCACCAGGGGATCCGGATGACCATAGGTATCGATACCTATCTCTACTCGTATCTCACATCCAGATTCCAGATACGAGGAGAGGATTCGAGGAATTTGAAGGATTCGAAACTCGCCCGAAAGCTGGAAAAAGGAAAGAAGTCCTGCTGGTGGGTACATAGGTCAGTTGGTACTTGGGTGGGGTTGAGGCCTCGCTCGCTCAGTATGAAGTATGTACCTAATCGGCACGCTCCGGATCGGCCAGCAAGAAGCAAGAAGCAAGAAGCAAGAAGCAAGAAGCAAGAAGCATCGACCGCTCATCGGACATCGGCCATCGGTCGATACGGTACCTCCTCATCGGTACCGTATTCAAACTCTGCCGGTTTTTGCGGCAGGTGCTCTTTGAGAAACAAAGAAAGAAAAAATTAAGGAAAGGAAAAGGAAAAGAAAGGAATAAGAAAAGGAGAGGAAAATGCAAAAAGTGAAATGCGAAAAAGGGAAACTGTATGTAGAAACTCTTTCTTGAGAAAGTGCAACCGTATCCGCATCCAAGGAAGGTCTTCCCCCCTCCCCCCACCCACATCCACTCTGCAATGCAAATAAGCATCGCGCCGCCCTTCACACTCCCTCCACACTCCACTCCACACCTCGGAAGGAGAAAAAAAAAGAAAAGAAAAGAAAAAACGAGGCGGTTGCGCATGGAGGACGGCCGCGCATGGGGACGCAGATGGAGGGTGTCAGAAACCGTCTCGGCGGCAAGGTTGATATCTACATTTCTCACCGTACATACACGAGTCGAACCCAGAGATCTGTACTGTACGGTACTGTACTCACTCACCCTCGCCGCCCGGGTGCCGGAGCACTATATCGCGATACACGTGCGCTTGGAGGTGTGGATGTGTTGGATAGACGGTTGGACAGTTGGATAGGTGGGTGTACGGGTGGGTGGGCTTGCCGGTTTTCGGGGTAAAATCCCGGATTCGTATTCAACTTATTTAACTTTGTGCGGGTGGGTGGGTGTACGAACGATGAACGGTAACGGTGAGCGAGTGACTGAGCGAGTGGGTGGTGAGTGAACGGGTGAGTGATGGCATGTGTTCTGCAGGCGAACGGGCGGGCTGGGCTTTTGGCGGGGTACACAGAGTTGGAGTTAGGTAGCGCCAGGCGATGCGACATCCTGCGTGCGTGCGGAGTGCCCCGCCTCGCCCGCGAGTCCGCGACAGCTTATGAGCGTTGAGACGTACCATATAGAGCCAAGCAACAAAGTCATCAAGCTTGTGGCAGCCTGGTATGGGCACGATTTTGACACAACCTGCATGGAAATATTTACTTATATTTGTATAAATTCTCAATAAGCCTATTCGTAAAAAAAAATGCTTGGTCAGGGTTTTCAGATTCCATGGCATTTTGTTGAATAATCCTTCCTCAATCCTGAGTGCTGTGAAAATGATTCACGACTCCGAAGCTTTCTGCAAGGCTTACTCACCGCAAACCTTGTGAGCTCATAAGGGCTCCATAAGGATGCCGTAAGTCTTTTCAATACAATAAATAAGGGATAGTAAGGCTTATACGCTCATGAGGGTTCTTGAACTCCTAAGCAGTAAATAATGACTTCTTCTACGATAAGCGTCTTCACTTCGAGATGACTATCACTTGGCGATGACTATCATTTATTGATGCTCTTGTTCCGTACCATTATATACCTAAACAAGTCTCCTTCCCTACTCTCCACTCCCCCGCCCCATATCCCCACCATTCTCATAGTACCATCCCCCACTCACCATACTGCGTTTCCCTACTGTTCCTCACCGTGAGCACCGCGCCGGTAGGGAGAGGAGGAAGAGGAGGAAGAGGAGGAAGAGGAGGAAGAGGAGGAAGAGGAGGAAGAGGAGGAAGAGGAGGAAGAGGAGGAAGAGGAGGAGGAACTGTCATGGAGAGGAGGGGTTGCGCCGAGAGGAGCTATGAGAGAGAAGCTATCAGCGGGAGTAGTAGTAGCAGTTGCGGCGGGAGTGGGAGATATGGTGAGGGTAGGAGTTGTCAACGAGTAGGAAGAAGTGATAGTGGAGGAACTGTCAGTGAAGAGGAGTTGTCTTCAAGAGGATGAGCCATCAGCTAGAGGAGGAGTTGTCGGTAAGAGGAGGAGTTATCAGCAGGGGGGCTGTGGGCGGTAGGAAGAAGTGAGGTAGGAGTCCTTTTGGCGGGAGAAACCGAATGTGGTCAGTGGTAGGCATCAAAGTTGGCGGGCATGGCGGGGTCGACCAAGTGGGGAGGAGGGGAGCTCCTTAAGCTGGGCCTAGTGGAGGTTTCTTCTTCTCTAGACGAGATACGGAAGTGATGGGGGAGCTGTCTGCGGGTGGAGGAGTTATCAGCGAGATGAGAAATTGATGGGGGAGCTGTTAGCAGGAGTTGTCAGAAAGATGGGGGAGCGATGGGGGAGCTGTCAGTGAGATGAGGGAGTAGTGGGGGAGCTGTCTGCGAGAAGTTGTCAGCGAGATGGGGAAGTAGGGGGGGATCTGTCTGCGAGAAGTGGAAGTGATGGGGGAGCTGCCAGCGGGAAGCGGAGTTGTCAGCGAGATGAGGAAGTAATGGGGGGAGCTGCCGGCGGGAGGAGGAGTTGTAGTGTAGGTAGTGTAGTGGGGAGGGTTGTGGTGACTCGACGGCATGAAAAAGTTGGGAGTAGACTCAGTGCACTGTGAATGGCATCCCTTACTCGGAGTGCCAGTGCTAGATGAACATAAAGCCGATGTAATAATTTTCGTGTCAAGCAGTCTGATCTTCGCATATGCGCTATGGATCTGCAAAGGCGGTAGAACCCATTTGAACGCTTATATCTTGTGAAGAAATCAAGCGTGTGGTGCTGGAAGGGTTTTCCTGTATCAGGCTGAGATATCTTATAATGCTTCACAAAACCTGCCAGTCTCACAGTCATTATTGTACGATAGGGCTGTGCATGTCAACACTGACTACATATCCCTTGGGATGGCCTAAGTCTCACAAGGTGAGAAGGCTGATTTATGAACGGTGGTTTCTGTTTGGGCCGGCAATATGTAGGAGCCATGAGAATTTTAGGGTTATGGGAACATATGCCTTATTTTGGCATTCCCCTAATAGAAACCTTAGGGGGTTGCACGTGCTTATTACTGGCTTATAAAAGAATTATCTGAATACATCCCTTATGATAAGGACGACATAATCTTGGTGACTTTGTTGCGTGCCCCTATATGATACATGCCGTACCTATTATATGCCGGTACAGTATCCGAATACCCATCGAGGGCATCTCAGTATTCAGAATCTCACTCTATCCTCGAACACTACTCTCACGTAGAAGCCACGCAATAGAAGTACATAGGACTACGTGGGGAGATGGAAACTACATGTACATGCTATCATCATCGGAAGCGGTCGAATACAGAATAATCAAAGAATAATAGGTAGTAACAATCACGAAATGAGAAGCAAAGACAGGTGGAAGTGAGCACAATGAGAAAGCAAGTTATAAAGCACTTTATTGCGACCGATTATCCGGCAGATGATCATCTAGTGCTAAATCAGAAATCCACCTATAGACACTTCATCCAATTGTGCGGACAACAGTCTCCTTTCCAACACCGGATTCCCAAAAAGCGTAGAATCGGATACCCACCGGCTTGTCCCCCGTATATGGTGGCGTTTTTCGAGGGACCATTGAGCTTGTCTTTGTTGTGCCGGTGACGGTCTGCCATGCTTCCCCGATTAAGGGGCATACTCGGCTCAGGCAATTCGGGATTGCGGTTCTGGTCGACGAGAGGGGTGTGTTTCGTCGTCAAAAGGTATGTATAGGAGTGGTCTTCATCCCTTCGATCACCGCCGACTTCGCCGTGAGGTTTTTATGGAGCTTCCTGTTGGTGCACGATCTGAAGGTGAGGTGCGCACGCGAGGGTTTGAGTGGGCGATATGATCAGAAGGTGGTAAGAAGAAGAAGATGTAGTTGTTATTGTTCTAGCTGAAGTTCTAGTTGTACTTATAGTCGTCCCAGACGAACTAGAACCTTCCCCGTGAGCCATGCACGAACAATCACTCGACCAAACACGCCGCTCCGAAAACAAAGGCCCTACGGGCCGCAACACTTCCCTGATAAGAACGAGAATCCCAGGAGGACTCTCCCATCAGGGCCTAACTCCCGAAAACTGCATCGATGACGTGAGTCGTGACTGCAGCGACCGGAGCCATCAGGCTCCTCCACCTCCAAATGGAGTATGGAGCAGTTCGGGCAATCGCCGAACATTCGTCCCCCCGCCCACATCGTGGGATACCCATTCCACCTACTGGGAAGATTTTCTTCCACCACTCGTCATCGAGAAGGCTTCCCGACATCGCGACGGCATCTATCTGTGCCTCTGTCATAACGTTAGCAGTGATCCCTAGGTGTCAATACTAGAAGAGGCGGCTTTACCGGTCAAATGACTTCGCGACGACTCCAACTCCGACGTCTTCTCATCATATCGTCCCGTAACGCGGACTATCGCCGCCTCCACCCTCCCCATAACCAGAACACCCCCTCCGCCCCCTCCGCCCCCTACACATCCCACCGCCGTCTCCACGGCGGCGGGTTGCTAGGCCCGCCCGAGTTCCCGCCCGAGTTCGCCCCCCCCTGTGGCCGGGACCACTCCTCCTCCGGCCACTGCTCCCACACCTCCTCCTCCTCTACCACCTTCCCCTTCTCCGCCACCGGGGCCATCTCCTTCCCCTTCCCCTTCCACTTACCCGTTGGCACCACAGCCTCCCTCCCCTTCCCCTTCCACTTCTCCGCCTCCGAGACCACCTCCTTCCCCTTCCCCTTCTTGGCGGCCCTCGCCTCGGAGGTAGGGTCGTGGTCGGCCTTCCGCTTCCTCGATAAGGTCGAGGCGGGCTGCGCCTTCTTGACGCGCTCGTCAAAGTGGTGGTCCGCAGATGCCTTCGCCTTCTCCGGAATGGTCAAGGCTCTCTTGACGCGCATTCCATCGTCGGCATCAGCATCTGCTTTCCGCTTCTTCGACGAGGCCAAGGCAGGCGCAGCCTTCTCGACACGCTTATCGGTGTCCTGGCCACCAGACACCTTCCCTGACATCTTCGCGGAAACCAGGGACGGCGCCGGCTTCGTAGCAGCCTTCTTGACAGGCCTGTCGCTACCGTCGAGATCGGCATCAGCTGCTCCTCTTTTGGTTGACAGTGTCGAGCCAGGCTTGGCCAGGACTGGATTCTTCGGCGGAATCACGTACCCCCAACCTCCCACCTTCACGGCCCCCTTCATGGGGTAGCGGTATATCCTCGGGGGGCCCGCCGTCGTCGCCCTCAACTGCTCGATCGTCGTGGACGCGGCGGTGCGACCTCTCGCCTGACTGGCAGCCGTAGGCGCCATATAGCGAGGCATCGTATAGCCTAGGGCAGTACGACCGGGAAGGGTCCCAGTAGCTGGGACAGAAGGTGCCGCACCCTTCGCCCGGTCGTTCTTCCCCACAACATCCTCCGATCGGGAGACCTTTGGATCCTTCTTGGTCCGGGCATCTCCAAACCCAACACGACCGGGAAGGGTCCCAGTAGCTGGGACAGAAGGTGCCGCACCCTTCGCCCGGTCGTTCTTCCCCACAACACGCTCCGATCGGGAGACCTTTGAATCCGTCTTGGTCCAGGCGTCCCCAAACCCAGCACGACCGTTGGAGCTAGCAACTGGTCGGCTGTCCGTCACCTTAGGGCTCCCAATAGTAGCCGCCGGCTTAGTAGGACGAACGGCGTCACCACCGTGCCTACCCTCACCGGTGACCGCTCTGGGGTCCTTAGGACCAGGCCGGGCCTTGACAGACACCTGAGGGTCTTTCACCTCAGCTTCACCCTTCACCTCCCTCAAACCACCGCCAACAGCCGCTGACTTAGCAGGACGAACGAGGTTTCCCTCGCGCTTACCCTCGCCAACAGCCGCCTTTGGGGCCTTGAGATCCGGGCGGACTTGCTCCTTCACCCTCGAACCACCTCCAATAGTGGCCGACTTAGCAGGACGAACGGTGTCACCACCGCGCCTACCCTCGCCAGCCACCGTCTTTGGGGCCTTGGGATCCGGGCGACCCCCCTCGCCCCCCCTCACTCCACCAACAACCGCCGGCTTAGTAGGACGAATGGTGTCGCCACCGCGCCTACCCTCACCAGCGACTGCCCTCGAGTCCTTAGGACCCGGCATCTGAGGGTATTTCACCTCAGCTTCACCCATACCCCTCGAGCCACCTCCAACAACCGCAGACTTAGCAGGAAGAACGAGGTTTCCCTCGCGCCTACCCTCGCCAACAGCCGCCTTTGGGGCCCGGATATCCGGGTGGACTTGATCCTTCACCTTCGAACCACCTCCAACAGCAGCCGACTTAGCAGGATGAACGGTGTTTCCACCGCGCCTACCCTCGCCAGCTACCGCCTTCGGGGCCTTGGGATCCGGTCCTCCGCTCCGTAGAGACGAAGGTAAAGTGCCAGGTGTTACCCTGGGAGCCGCCGGCTTAGCAGGACGAACGGTGTCGCCACCGCGCCCACTCTCACCAGCGACTACTCTTGTGTCCTTAGGACCCTTTCGGGCCTCGTCGGACGTCTGAGGGTATTTCACCCCAGCTTCACTCATTCCCCCAGAGCCACCTCCAACAACCGCCGACTTAGCAGGACGAACGAGGTTTCCCTCGCGCCTACCCTCGCCAACAGCCGCCTTCGGGGTCCGGATATCCGGGTGGACTTGATCCATCACCCCCGAGCCACCTCCAACAGCAGCCGACTTAGTAGGACGAACGGTGTCACCACCGCGCCTACCCTCGCCAGCCACCGCCTTTGGGGCCTTGGGATCCGGTCCTCCGCTCCGTAGAGTCGGAGGTAGTGCGTCTCTTCCTCTCTTCGAGGCCGAGGCAGCGGAGACAGCGGCGGCGAGAGGCTTTGCCCCCTGCGACTGCTGCTCGGTTCCCTTCTGGACCCACCTGACATGTCAGCTACCGATCCGTCAAGAGATATACTTACAATCAAAGGGGAAATGCATACGCGGGACGGCTGCTCGGTACCCTTCTGAACACACCAATCAGCTATCCATCCAGAGAAATACTCACAACCAAAGGGGGAATGGGGAGAGTGGAGGAGAAACATACCCGAGGAGAAAGATTCGACTTGTAAGAAGACATTTCGTAGTAGAAGAATTTCAGGCGTGCGTAAGAAAAAAGATTCTGAGCGATGCTAGAAATTGTTCGAAAGCCGAAGATGTCTGTGAAGAGAAAGAAGAAGGGAGGGAGTGGGGGAAGCAGAAGTAATTTATAGTTGGAGCCGGACTTGGAATTTGAAGTTTTTGGACTAGAGGCGTGCATGCGAACTCACTCGCAGCGAGTGATAGGGGTTATGCGTCATCTTGCCCTCCTCCTCCGCTGCCCCCCACCCAACTACCCTCGTCCCCATCCAGGTACTCATCTCGAATCCGGTAGGCAAGTTTTGCCTATATTCCCCCCACAAACAGCAAACATACCTCCGACCTACCCACTGCTCCCCATAGTTGTGCAAGCAAACACAAAAAGTTGTTGAATTTTCCAGTTTGCCAAAAAAAAATCGTAGCATAAATCATCAAACCACACCGACCATGTTCGCCAGCCTAGCTCTTCTAGACCCGCTGCACAGCTTCCTCCTCAGCACAGTGCTGATCTACCTTCTCACGCTGTACCCTCTGCTCACGCTCATCTCCACCTCCTCCGCGCTCCTCACCGGCCTAGCGCTCACCCGCCTCGGCGGACTGCTCTCGCACCTCGGCGCACACCTTTTCCGCGCCGGCACCGTGCTGGTGCACTTCGTCCTCGGCTACGTCAAGCACCTGCTCGAGTCTCCGAGTCTCGCACAGCGCTGGAGGCGGAGGTCGAGGGGTTGAGGGGTGTTTGTGCGCTGCTGAGGACGGAGACTAAGGAGCTCAATAGGGTAGCGGAGTTGCTGGGGGAGGTGTTGGGGTTGCATTCGGAGCTGGGGTGCGGCGTGCAAGAACGCCGGATGGAGAAGATGGCCCATGGGAGGAGACCGCCGGCTAAGAGACGGACACCGGTGGCGCCGTCAGTGGTGAGGGATTGATGGTGAAGATGTGTACCGCATCTACGTATCTACCCGGTTGACGACCTGGTGGAGCAGTTGGTTGCGTGTGCTCCTGTTCCGCTCCTCCCGCTACGAGGGTCGATCAGACATGGTCCCACATCTCGGATGGATGGTTATACGGTTCCGTCATGGACCGGAACCTTCCCGGCCCGAAGCGAAAGCCACAAAACGGGGTCGAACTTTTTTACATCCACTACTAATTAACTACATCCCTCTCCCCCCTCCAGAACCCTCTGTAACCTCTCCCTCTCCCCCTCCAGCCGCCTCCACAACTCCTCCACGCCCTCCTCAAAGAACAGTTTCGCACCCCTCATCCCCAGCAGCTCCTTCCTTCTCAACTTCTCTCTCTCCCTAAGCAGCACCTCCATCTTCGCCGCGAGCGCCGCAGCCTCGGCGGCCAAGGCCCTCGCGCAACTCTCACCACCAATGCCGAAACCCAGAACCCGCTCCCTTCGTCGCCGCAGCCGCGGGGGCGGAGCGAGTGCGGTGATGGATGCGGAAAATACGCCGAGCGCTGAGGCGAACGTGTGCTGCCGCATCATTTGCGATTGTAACGGCCCCGGTGGGAGCAGGGTTAGCGGCGGGGGGTGGTAGGTCTTGTTGTGCGCGTGCGGGCAGAAGGGGGCGGTATTTGTGGTGGTATTTGTGGAGGATGAGGATGGGGAGGAGCAGGCGCGGCTGCGGCGGCGGTTGCGGCTGTCGGCTTTGCTGCTGGATGGGGAGGCCGTTCGGCTGGATAGCGACGTTTCTTGCGTGTGCTTGTATTGGTTGTAGCCAGTGTGCAACCGGAGGTAGAGCGAGAATGCGCACAGGATTATTTCGGCCATTGGATTGGTTGGTTGCGTGGATACGGTATGAGGTTTGTCGAGATCGTGGATTGTCGTGAACCTCGAGATATAGGTATTACTGTATAGACGCCTGAGCACACCTTCCTCCTCCCTCAAGAGCGGCGACGAGCGGGCTGTTATATACCAGCACATAGGCGCATACCTACCCGCAGCGGGAAAGCTGTACACTCGACGTTGTCAATAGGTAGGTAGTCAACGGTCAGACCGCCCTCATCTGCTGGCTGCCCACCAACCCGTGCCCCACTCTCTCCCACTCACAGTCTGTCAGTCTCACATCCACCCACCAACCAAGTCCAAGTAACCGAAGGCTTTGCACACGCACATGCCGTAGTCAGCAGAAAAGCACAAAAGCGCATTCAGCCCTACGAACCGCAGGACCGCCACATGGCACATACAGGCACCAGAAAGAAAGTCTCAGGCTGGATTCGAGACAGCACATAGGTACATACATACATGTTGGAATTGACTGTTCCGCGACTCCACGACTCCGCGCCTCAATTGCGCTCGGCCTATGATAGGATGTAGTCGGGTTAGACGCCAGTGCATGCAGGGTTAGTACCGTTAACACTCAGCCCTACTAGGCATCGGTATCGTGCGCAGCAGATACCTAGAGCACCTCTGCACCATACCTATCTACGTTATGTAAAATTTTGTCCGCCTACTGCTGCCTGGAGAGGCTTGGATGCATTTCATTTTGGTGGCTTGCACTTGTTCCCTCAGCTGTGCAGACTCCAGAGAGGGAGGTCCGTGGTGGTGGAAAGTGGGCGCGAATCAGCTGTGGCGGTGGCAGTGGCAGTTGCGCACGCCGCGGGAGTTCAGCGACTAGCTACTCTAGTTACATACGGCTAGGTATGTACATGCGGCTGTCAGATTGCAGTTGCCTGAGGGCCGTTTGTATTTTTTGGCAAGGCATCCAGCGATTCTAAACCCGAGCAGATACCTAGGCAAAGAATATGTACCTACATAAGGCTTCCTAGGTATATGATTGATGATGAAGTGATAGCGGGCATCGAGGTTCCCACTACAAACCTCCGATAGGTACACATAGCTGGGGCACGCACGCTGAGCTATTCGCAAATCCGTGCAACGGTGTGGTGCTAGTTAGTTATGCCCCACGACCTGCGAATTGACGAGAAACGGGCCGCAGTGGGTTCAATAGTCCGTCCAAATACTGGCGGGCTCTCTGGGCGGTTTGTGGGCGGGCGGGCGGGCTAGGCGCTTCTGAGCTCGAGCCTACAATAGGTAGTGAGCCCACTGTAAAGCCAATAATTTGATTGTGTATGAATGGGGACGCCTGTTACGTGACGAAAATGAACCTTATTCCACGGTACCACGAGTAAATAGAGTACAACAACAGTGCTAGCATTAGATTAAGAGTAGAGTAAAGTAAGTATCTAGAAGCAAGTATCGAGAAGCAAGTATCGAGAAGCAAGTATCGAGAAGCAAGTACGAGTTTGTCTGCCGCCAAACATCCCAACATCATGACGAATGCGTCAAATCCGTCAAATCCACACCCTTCGACTACAGTGCCATCCATCCGATCCCATGATCCCATCCACCCATACAGACAAACAAACAAAGTAAAAAAAAACGTAAAAGAAAATGCAATGAAAAGCACGCTTCACCACCATCGGCAAACCGGACACCCCCCATCTCTACCATTTTTTCAAATCTTTGCATTTGGAAACAGCTTCCTCGGCGCACCCGAGAATCCAGGACTTCCACTGTGCTCCGACGAATTGCTGTCCAATCTCGAGGTGGCGAGCTGATGTTTGCCGTTCTGTCCCAGCGAGGCTGGGACGGTAAGGCCGGGAGGATACTGCGTCGTGGTGCGGATTGGAGTTGGTGTTTGGGCCTCGGCGGCGCGACGCTGCAGGAGGAGGGCTTTGGGAGCAACTTCCTGGTAGACGGCGCCGTTGGGCCAACGGGGCGCAGACTCTCTCTCGGCGATGGACATCATGGCGCGTTTCCTGGCGAACATTTTTTGGTTTCTGTTGCGGGCCTCAGCAATCCAGAGAATCTCGCCCTGAAAATCACGTTTGGCGGGTCCCTCGCGCTCGGGCCTATCGGAATTGTCCCGGCACACCATCTGGGCGTTCAGAGCGTGAAAACCAGGGTCGTTTTCTGGGACTTGTTGCCAGTATGACGGATCGCTGGGAGGGGAGTAAGGGTCCATTCCTTCGACCTTGCTCCAGACGTTTTTGACCTCGAGACCCTCCCGGTATGGATAAGCGTTGTATGGTAGGAGGGTAGGGTTCTGGATCGCATCCTCCGGGAAAGGCTGCTTCTCATCAAGGTAGAGTCGAGTTTGCTCCTGCAGTTTAGCTATCTCCTCCTCTGTCAAGATGTAGACATTGGCTTTTCCAGTATCGTACCAATCCTGGACCCACTGAGCGTAAGCGGGATCTTCGTAGCTGTCCTCGATGTGCGGCTTCACGTCGTTCGCTTCTTCGAGGACGAGCAGATCGAATTTGGGACTGATGTTGCTGTCCTGGACATCTCCGAGACAGTGAAAACCCCACGGCCCAGTTCCATCGATATGGTTTATTTGGTTCTCCTGATTCCATAGGAAATTTCGCAAGTAGTCGTCCCTAGTGAAGTTGACACTGAAGTCGGTTTCGTTGTAGTTGCAAAGCTCCAAGGTCTCGAGGCGGTGCATGAGACTCTTGCGATGGATGGTCCTATTCAGTCGCTCTCGATCGTCTCGCAATTGCTTTTCCATCATCTCGAAGTAGCGGCGTCTACGCGCTTCATGGTCGTGTCCGAACTTGTCAGCATACCGGTGTCCGAAAGGAGCTCTGGGCCTTGTTAGTCCCGGTGGAATAACTTGACGTGGAAATGTGGGGCCATACTTTTGGACGGCTTTGCCGTGGCCGGGTTTTGGGACGAGCGTCGGGCTTCCCAATTGAGAAGGGGTGCAATGAACAGCAAGGGGACTGATGTTTCCCTTGTATTTCGACATGTCTATTGAACGTGGAAGCTGCAATCTATACGACTTGTCTTCATAGCAGTCTTCATTGAGAGCATTGATATCGTTCACTCGCTCCTGAGATGGTTGTAAAATACCGGGGGGTGGCATTTCGGTCTCACGAGGATTCTGGACAGGAGTGAGCCGTGCGTGTGTCTCGACCGATTGCCCCGAATTACCGTTGGTCGAGGCTGTGGTAGCGGTGATTCCATCTGGATTTTGAGCTATAGTTAAGGCTTCCTGACTGCGTTTGGAAACGTTATTCTGGCCGCCAGTAGACATCCACGCACCATCGCTCACTCGCCCTCCTTGCTGATCCGAAACCTTGCGATCCTCCGCACCCCTCTGCGAGTCCCCACTGGACTGAGCTTGCGAACCATACTGCATCGAAGTGTCAACCGTCTCACCGCTGACATGACGTAGAGAGCTACTGCTCCTCGGTGCGAACACAACCTTCGACGGTCTTGCCGCAGTCTCCGAGTTCCGCCCGCTACTGGGCAGCAACGAAACCCCACTACCCTGCGTAGAATATCCCAGTGAAGTAGGCGAATTAATACCCGCTCCCGAGCCACCTGCACCTTTTGCGGGACCCGCTGTCTTCGTCTGGACCCCAGCCTTCGGCGCAGAGATTGGGCGGTTCTCATCCTGCGTCACACCCTTGAGCTTGCTAGCGAAGGTGGCCTTCTGCGGATCCGCCAGCGTCGGCAGCCTTCTCATCAAGGTCTGAGCCTGGGTAAGAGCCGTACGGTTGACAGGAACGCTCTCCTCCATGGCGGATCCACGGCGATCCGGTGCGGGAATCACTCGGATGTGGGAGTGCGCGCTTCCCGGATCCGTGGCGTGGGACTCCGACATGTAGCTGTTGTGCGTCGAGTTGCGGGATTTGTCGCGCGTCCCTGCTTTGTGGCTGGAGTGCTTAGCATGTCTCCGGTGGGACATGATGCCTGCGGGGACTGGGTGCAGTGAAGTAGGTATCTGGTGATCGTGGAGTCTTGATCTTGATCGGGAAGCTGGCGGATACGGCGTGGGAGACGGAGCGAGGAGTGCAGACTCACGGTGGGGCCTTCGTTTTACAGATTAGCTCATGTACTCGCCATTTTGGAGAGTTGTTTTACCTACTACTCGCTGTTGGAGATTGTTGGTCTCAAAGATAGAGCAGAGCAGCCGAGAGGGAGAGAGGAGAGGGAGGAGAGCTTGTGGTTGTGTTGTATGTTGATAGTGGAGATGGTGGGGAAGATGAGAATGGGGGTTGCGTTGAGAGAGTGGAAAGATAGACTTGAAGGGGTTGAATAGGACGAAGCTGTTGACATTTGACAGCCAGTACGTCATTAAGAAGAAGATGTTGCTTCTTCCATTTCGGTGTTTGCGTACATACTTCTTACCTGTCTAAGAAGAGAGTGAGTTTTCGTGTTGCACCGCAACAGCATAGCTCAACTGCTGTGAATTGGATGACTATCTTCATCAGTCCAAGCCATCGTTTGCTTATAGAGTGATCAGAACAAAGGATGCATCCAGTGACACCGATTATCAAAGGTCCTTGGTCATCCATTGTCACCCGTATAGATGATATGTGATGAGGAATCCGCACAATTGTGTAACCTACGTCCTTCGAGCATTTCTCTCGGGAGATCACTCGCCGTCGCCATCGCCACCGTTATCGCAAATTTGATGCATGCAAGTTGCTTGACAGTTGACTGCGGTGGTATATTTACAGTTACATCTACACGATCCAAACGCCCCTAGGTAATTCAAAGTTCAACACTAAAATCATCGCTCAAAACCCCGCAAAGCCCTCTTCGACTACCCATCCCTTCTCCACCTGCGTCTCCACCAATGCACCACATGCCCTTCCCACGACCAGCAGTCCAGGCGGCCTACTACCCACCTCCTCGAGTGCCCTCCCAACCACCCCCAGCGTCGTCCGTACAACCCGCTGATCAGCACAACTCGCGCGCTCGATGACCGCACATGGCGTGTCCATCGGCCAGCCCTTCCCCTTCAGCTCGCCGACCAACGCATCGACTCTATGTAGAGCCATGAGGAAGACCGTAGTCCTGCTCGCGACCCACTCCGGGGGGTCTGGGGCCGCTCCTCGGCGTCCAGTGCCGGTGCATATCAGCACCTGGTCCGCGACGCCGCGGTGTGTGGATGGGATCCCGGCGAAGAGAGGGGCGGATAGAGCACTGGTGATGCCGGGGAGGACGACGGGCATGAAACCGTGCTTGCGGAAGAATGTTAGCTCCTCGCCGCCGCGGCCGTAGATGTATGGATCGCCCTGCTTCAGACGGACGACGGTCTGGCCGGATTGGAGGGCCGCGAGGCCGCGCGAGAGGAGCTCTTCTTGCGCTGCTTCGGCGTTGCCTGGGTATTTCTTTGCGATGAATACTGGTGTGCGCCGGGGGATCAGGGAGAGGACGGCGGAGGGAACGAGTTTGTCCGCTAGGATGAGGTCGGCGCTGTTGATGGCTTCGAGGGAGGCGGTGGTGAGGAGCGAGGGGTGGCCCGGACCCGAGCCGACGAGGAGGATCTTGCCGCGCTTCTCGGAGGGAGCGGGAGTGAGCGGGGGGCTGGTTGTGTCTAAGTCCGCTTCGGAGAGGGTGCAAAGACGGTCAAGTGGCCAGTACTCGCATATCTGGCTGAGCCAGCGAATCCGTCTAGTCTTCGCGGCAGCCTCGCCCACGGGTGTGATGAGGGTGTTGAATGTGTTGCTTTGGTCACCGGCCTCCTCCTCGCCGTCGACGACTCCCGCCTCATCGATTAACCGGCGCCGTAGCGCACCGATGCGGATACACGCCTCGCCGATGTCCGCCGGGAGTGCTGCGGCGATCTCGCGTTTGATGCGGGATGCGAGCTTGCAGCCGTTGCCAGAGGTTGTGACGCCAATGTGGAGCGGTCCGGCCGCATGTGTGGATAGGAGAGAGAATGTACTGTGCGTTGGAGAATCCACGCAGTTGACGGGTATGCGGAGACGTTTACACCGTGCCGAAATCTGTGATACTGAATGCACGTCAACGCCACCACTCCGAGAGACATACTCGACCCGAGCACGGATGAGAACTCACCAACACCCTTCTCCTCCACCGTAACCCACACCAGATCCACCACTCCGTCCACCTCCTTCCTGCCCAATGTCTCCAAATCCCGCTCAACAAACTTCCTCCGCACCCACTCGACCTCACCGTCTTCTATCCTCCTCCTCAGGCCATAATGTAACTCCGCCCCGCCTTCCGTCTCAAGCGCAAGCACCTTTACCATCGCGCCAGCCTCGATCGACTTCTGTGCCCTCGCCGCGGCGATCGCATTGCTGCCGACGATGAGATGAACCTGACCCTGACAATTGTTGGAGGTCAGCAGCCCCGTCGCCGCCGTCGCCGTCGTAGCCGTAGCCGAGGATGGTGGTAATAACGTCGCGGGAATTCCAGGCATTGCTTCTGCTGTTTCTGTGGATGTATTCCCAATCTCCGGGGGGATTCCAGCCTTTTTACCGCACGGCATTGCTGGAAGCTGATCTGTGGTAAACGAGCGATGGCGATTCACTTTGCTTCTTCGGGATAGGATTCAGTTTGTTTCCCGAACTTTTTTTTTTGCATGGTGGGGTTTTCGGCCCTGGTGGGGGCGCCGTTATCGCTACACACCTAGAAAATTGGGAGACGCGATTAAAGATTGCTGATCACGCCCGGTGGCGTAATCGCGGCGGGGGATTCGTGATCGCTGCTGCTTACCTAGGTGCTCCTACTAGTAGTTACTCGTGCTGGGAGGATTTGTCCGCGGAAGTTAACTCCTATTTCCTATTCCTTAGCGAAGTAACTGCAGAGGTGCATCTCCATCTCCGTCTCCGGTCTCCGGGTGTGATTTCTCCCCAGGGCGGGGCAAACGGGAGCGGAACGGGAAGAAAGGAAACACTGCTCATCTCCGCGGCACGTTCTCCTCGAGCTTATCCACCCCACCTGTTGTGTTACCCATGGATGGGGCAGATGGAGATTGTGGGAATCGCCCATCCCGGGTCCGGAGATGCTGGAGCCTGGAGGTTTATGTACGTAGGGGACAGGCCGGGAAGGATGGATAACAAGTACTCCAAGTAAACTACTCGATAGGGTCCCTGATCGCCAGCTATCCGTGTCGTGTGAGTGGTCCTCGACACCCGAGTGAGCCACCACCATCCAGTTACAATCGTGACCCCACCAGTGACCACCCGTAACAGCAACACCACCACCACCACCACGATTACCACTTCACGTGCCCCCACCACCACGCGCAGCTACAGCCACGATGTACACCTCCCACAACGCGAGCATCAACAGTTCGCTATCAGCGTGCGTCTCCTCGCTCCGGGACAGCACACGCCTTCTCGACTCGACCATCTCGATCCTCGAGACGGGCACACAAGACTTCCCACGGACGACGCGAGCAATCCAAGCAGTGCGGGCCTACGAGCTGATCTCGGAGCCGGAGCTATTCTCCGCGCAGCGCGAGCTGGCCTCAGAGATCGGGCCGGAGGTTGAGCACCTCCTCCGGCGCGTCGAGATGCACCTGGCGAAGCTCGAGAGGCGCGAGAAGAGCCTGGTTAGTAGGTCCGAGTTGCAGGAGGGACGGATTGCCCAAGGGCAGCCCAGGATCGAGGGGAAGGGCAGGTTGAAGGAGAGGATGAGTGTCTTCGCGACGGATGAGCGCGCCGCCAGGCAGGAGAGGCTCAGGATGCTCGGGAATAAGAGGGAGCGCCTGGAGCATACGCTCGAGAGACTGACGTTGCAGATGAGCCACAAGGTATGTACTTTCCCGTGTGGGCGGGCCGGGGCGGGGCTAATGCTGTGGGTGTGAAGGAGAGGCAGGTCAGGATGAACATCAACTACGGTGCGCGGTGATGATGTACGGACGGATGGGTGTGGTTATTGGCGTTTGGAGGCGTTTAGGGGGTGTTCATTGGTATTACTACAACTACGGAACCACTCTACCATAGGGGATTCATTCATTCATCCATTAAATTCCCGCCGCCGTCATGACAAGTTTCAACGACTTGATAGTAGTACCGAGCACATGCTCTAGACCCCCAAGCTTTGCCCAGGCAGCCATGAGCGTCGGGTCCTGCGACTCGACGCGCACCAGCTCCCGCACACGCACATCCGTATCGTTGTATCTGAGGACCTGATCGGACGCTGCATCCGCGCCTCCGTGGCCCCCCGGGGCAGTATCGCGGTGGATTCCGACTGCCGCCGCAAACCGCTCGCGGAAGCCGAAGGGTGAGATGTCAAAGAAAGCGGACTTGTTAGGGTCTGGTGAGACGAGGGATTCGAGTGTGCGCAGCTCGGCGATTATCGCCGCTTCGGTGATGTAGAGGTCAAAGGCGACGTTGGCGGGGAGTGGCGGATCGAATACCTGTAGATACACCTTAGCCCACCCCCCGTCCCGGATGCATCGGTGAAGGAAGGAAGCACACCTTCGGATCCACCGCGTGAAATGGAAACAGTCTATGTGCCGATGCGCCCTTGAGCGCCGTCCGGGCGGCCTTCATGTTCGCATGCAACGCACACAGCATCTGCATAACACTCTTGGGATCCATCTTCCTCAGCCAGCCGCCATCCCCATCCGCTCCCTCCTCCTCCTCCCCGTCCTCTTCCCCGTTACGTAGCACCTCCAGCGACGCAACAACATAGTTCCCCACATCCACCAGCTGCTCCAGCATCAACGTGTGGTCCGCGGCAACACTGAGCTTGTACACCTGTAGCCCGCGGGTATACGGCAGTCCGGCCATCTTGACCTGCATGTCACCGCGGGTGACGCGGCTGCCAACACGGGTAATGAAGCCTTTCAGTGCTTCGCTGCGGGAGGTGGAGAGTGGAAGTGTCGAGCCGGGGCCGGACGGGGCTAGGAGGTGCAGACATTCTTGCAGGCCTGAGCGCAGGGCGCCGATGGTTTCGTCGAGGGTAGAGAGCAGCCAGGATAGTTCGCGAGCCTAGGGGAGGTGTCAGAGTACTGTGGGGAGCAAGAAGAGCGGACGTACTGCAGATGCGGTTTCTTCGTCTACGGTCATGGTGGGTTGAGCGAGCTGTGGACCTGTGGTATCCAGGTAGGTTGTTCGGGTACAGCCGCCCGTCTGACATCACGCAACCATCTTAACCTCTCGCAAGCTCCACCACGTTTCTACTATACTACATACATCCCACCAGCGTCACCAGCAATGAACCCGCCAACACTCTTCCGCCAATCCACACGGCAGCTCCTCCCCGCCCTCACCGTACGCAGCTTCACCGCGCTCACCCGCCCCCCGCCAAACTACCCGGGCCATGTCCCCCTCACCACACCGGAGCGGCTCCTCCTCGGCGCCGGATCGGCGGTGATCTGCTTCTTCAACCCACGGCGCGCCGGTAGCTACCCCTCGCACCCCGCGCACGCGCACCCACCCCCACTCGCGCTAACAACCATACCTAGACCTCATCGCCGCCTGCGGCGAAGCCACCGCGGTCCCCTACTTCATCTACCGGCTGCGGGACGCGATGCTGCGGGACTCTACGGGCCGGCGGATCCTGCGGGACCGACCACGGATCACCTCTACAAGCCTTGACCTTCCGCGGCTGCGGGCGCTGCCGCCAGGCACCGTAGGGCGCGAGTATATCACGTGGCTGGACCGGGAGGGGGTGTCGCCCGACACGCGCAGTGCCGTGCGGTACATCGATGATCCCGAGTGCGCATATGTCATGCAGCGGTATAGGGAGTGTCATGATTTTTATCACGCACTGACCGGGCTCCCTGTGGTCAGGGAGGGCGAGGTCGCGTTGAAGGCGTTTGAGTTTGCGAATACGTTGATTCCGATGACGGGACTGAGCATGGCCGCGGCGCTGACGCTGAAGGGAGATGAGAGGAGCAGGATCTGGGGGACGTATTTTCCGTGGGCGATCAGGAATGGGGTCAACGCGAAGGAGGTGATTAATATCTATTGGGAGGAGGAGTTGGAGACTAGTGTTGAGGCGCTGAGGAAAAGGATTGGGATTGAGATGCCGCCTGAGTGGGTACTCCCTTGCTCGGAGGTGCGGGATCATGTGCTGACGGTAGAACAGTATGCGGCGGACTAGAGCAGAGATCCGAGCGGCGAAGAAGAAGGAGAAGGCGGAGCGCGAGGCATTGGGGAAGGTTTGATTTGACATCACATCGGCCGCCGGTGCGGTGTCTCACGATACAAAACGTCATTCATTCGCCCGTGAACTGCATAAGCGCTCATCCCCATTCCCATCCCCCTAATCGAAGAAATCATCATCGTCATCATCAAACACGGCCTTCCTCCTCTGGAAGACGATCTCGCCATCGCCTCCACCCTCCTTCTTCTTGCTATCATCCACCATGCCGATAAGCTTCACCAGCTCGTCGTCCGTAACTCGCGACCGCAGCTGGTTCGTGCGCGCAAGCATGATCAGCCGGTTCTCGAGGTCCGTCGCGCGTGACGCTTTCACCATCGCGATGCGTCCCAGCCGGTCGACGGCTTCGGGCGTGCAGATTTGGCTGATGATTTGCTTGCGGCTTTCGGCTGCGGTGGGTTAGTGTATGTGACGGCGAGAGTGTCGATAGATGTGGTACCTTCGTTCTGTCTACGTGTTGTTAGCAGAGCTCTCCACCGTAAGGGGCGTTCAGTGTGCTCACTTCTGCTCATCCTGTCCACCCTGTCCACCACCTCCTCCTCCTCCACCGCCGCCCTGGAGCTCAGCGAGACGCGCAGCTCGGATCTTGGCTAGGTCTGGAAGGAATTCGTTAGCCGCTGAGTGTAATGTAGTGTAGTGCAGTATAGCCAGCGGAGTTCAACTCACCATCGTCGTCCATTATTTGCTGTATGATGTTTTGGTGTCGCAGATGACGATGAGCTGCTGGCTGGCTGGCTGGCTGTGCCCCGCCTTCTCTCCCACCTTCATGCACGCTTCCTAGCCGCGAATGGACTAGCGCCACGGGATAAGCAGGATCATGGTGAGTCACTCCATTTTCTATCTTTCTCTTCCGGGCAATTCTGGAACGCTGGCCAGATCCGTTCCCGCTGCATAATATTTCACGCGGTCACAAGCTGCTCCGGAGTCCGAATACATAGAAAATAACTAAGCCACATGTTTTGTTTCCCCGGTGGCGACTGGCGAGTCTGCTCCGGACGAACCAATCACCGCGCTCCGAACCGCACATGACCTTGGCGTCTTGGCCACCCTCCCTTGCTTCGGGAACGTTCCCTGGGGTGGCCGGCTATCTCACATCAAAAAGACCCTGCCCATCACCCATCTGCACCTGCACCTCTCATCCCTCCATCTCCATCTCACCACCCCACACCTTCACCACCCTCCACCACCACCACCACCACTACCACCAAAGCAATGGCACGTCAACGCGGTCCCGCTCGCCCCGCCGCGCGCCCCGCGGCTCGCCCCGCTCCCGCGCAATCTCGCGCCGCCTCGACGGCCTCGGTCCCCGCGCGCACTGCGGCCGCCCCCCCGCCCGCGGTGCAGCAGGCGTCGGCGCCTGCGCAGCAGGGTCCGGGACTTTTCGGACAGATGGCCTCCACCGCTGCTGGTGTCGCTGTCGGTAGCAGTATTGGACATGTTGTTGGCTCGGGGCTTTCTGGGCTTGTGAGTAATTCTGTCGCTGGGGGGATGGGAAAGGGAAGGGGGAACATGCTGACGCGTGTGGGGATAGTTCGGAGGTGGATCGTCCGCGCCCGTCGAGGCGCCCGCTCAGGCGCAGGCTGCGCAGTCCCAAGGAAACTGGGGCGCTGCGTCGTGCGAGGCTGATGCGAAGAGCTTTACTAAGTGTCTTGATGATAATGGTGGAGACATGCAGATCTGCAGTTGGTACTTGGAGCAACTGGTATGTTCTTCCGTCGTGGTTGATGTGGTTTGGCGGGTGGAGAGATGCTGACGGGGGGGGGGCGTGCAGAAAGCGTGTCAGAACATGGCGAAGACTCTCAACTAGACGAGACACTGGATGATGGAGGAGAGCGTTGGGCGAGCATTGGGTTGCGTAGCATAGCGTTCTCTGGCTCTGGCTCTGGCAATTGTGGCGGAATACCTACCTAGATCGGGCTGCGTTTTATTCTTCTGCTTCTCAGCTTTTCCTTCTTTCTTTCTCCGAAGCACAGACGAGATGAGACGAGATGAGATGAGATGAGATGAGATGCGATGTGTATTTGTTACTTAGAATGTACTTGTACTCCACTCCCCTCTTTGTACCTTTGTGCTGTACCATACGTAAAACTACCTAGGTGGGCTATCGTGTTTGCAAATGTATAATATGCCTATATGTAGTGGGCAGCTCGGTGAATCACGATCTTGATTCCAATCTCAGGATGAGGGTATGTACGGTACCCGTCAACTAAAGCTCCAGTGGAGATTTGTGTCTCACCATGTCCGACCTCACCAGTCTCGCCAGTCTCGACAGCATACCCATCCGCACCACAAGCCCCACTCACTCCACAAATTCCCCGAGTCACCCGTGAGGTGTGCAGCACCGACGCCGACGTCGATAACTGGGATTGGAGTTGTACCCCAAAGCCGAAGCCGGACCTCGCCCATTCACGCGTACGCAGACAAGATCATGCAACAATACCATGCAGCAAAAGCATGAGAAAATCACCAGCACCGACGGCCATAGATTTCGAGCAACCACACCACAACCCGGTCAGATCTCGACCGTTCACGTAGACAATATCATGCAACGATTCCATGCACCAAAATCATGAGAAATCACCAGCGCCGACGGCCATAGATGTCGAGCAAATTGCAACCACACCACCACCCGGTCAAAGCTTTTGCCATTCCATTCCGTTCCCAGTCCCCTTCCCCGTGTGTATATATGACCTTCATCCCATCCCATCCAATCCACCAGCAAATCCACCAGCAAATCCACCAGCAAATTCATTCCCAAAAGATCCCCCCAAATGTCCCCCCAAATGTCCAAGTCAAAAGTGTAGTATAGGTAGTGTAGTAGTGTAGTAGATACTCAGAAGTAAGTAGCAGAAGTAAGCAGAAGTAAGTAAGTAGAAGAAGTAAGTAGAAGTAGAAGTTAAAAAACGCTAATAGTGCCATCAAGCAAAGCAAAGCAAATAGTTTGCACGTGTGTAAGTAAGGCAAGGTAAGTGGGCGGGCAAGAAGAAGAAGTAAACAATAACCAGAATTCGCTCCTCCCCTCCAATATCTCCTTCGGCGATACGATACGGTCTCTAACATCAAATCAAAAAAACGCCGCCCCCCCCCGCCACCAGGACAACTTAAATAGCCGGTCCAATTCCCGTCCAATTCCAATTCAATCCTATCCAATCCAATTCCGAGTCCAATTCCGGTCCACTCCAATCCACTCCACTTCAATCCAATCCACTCCAATCCTCTTTCTCAGACATACACACACACTCACCTACAGGCAGCGACATCAACACAACAGCAACAGCAACGGTATAAGGTACTTTCGGCCGGGTAGAAAACAAACGAAAACAAGTTGAGCTAGTTACCGTGATGAATGGTAGGCAGCAGTGGTGGATGGAGTTTACAAAAACGTGACAAATACAAGAAGTATCAGAGCGAAGAAGAAGAAGAAGAAGAAGAAGAAGAAGAAGAAGAAGAAAGTGTAAGAGTTACTTAAGTTAAGGTCAAGTACCGTAGCGTAGGGGGGGGGGGGGGGGGGGGGGGGGGGGGTAGGGGGGGACAAAAGAAAACGAAGTGAAGTGAAGGTTGTGGGGGGGAGGGTGGGCGGAATGAAGGAGATTCGTTTCGTTGAACCCACCCTCGCCCGCCCAGTGCGAAAACCCAGTGCGAAAACCCAAAAACGTGAAACGAAAGCACCGCCTGCAACCAGCCAACCAGCAACAGCAATAGCAAGCAACAGTAACAGCAAGCAAAAGCAACATCTCTTCTTTCCTCTTTTTCGCACCAACAGCACAGAACAGAACAAGTCAACACGCCCCAAACTCCCCTGCCAACCAGCAGCCATGCATATAAAAAACATTCTCACACATCCCTCCTCCCCACCCCACCCCCCACCCCTCTCCCCCCCAAGAGTTGGACCCTATTGAAGGTAAAAGAGGTGAGTAGTAGGATGAGAAGAAGAAAAAAGACGGTCCTAACGCTCTCCCCGCTGCCAATTGTTGATGATAGCCATCAGGCCCACGCCAATGACCACCACGCCCAACAGCGAAGCGTACGGTGCAGCGCCGCTCTGTTTCCGCAGCAGCAGCGTGTGCTCTTTGCTCAGCTGCGTGACCGTCAGCGCCGAGTCGGAGCGCATGATGCCCGGTGGGGCGCTAGCTCTTCGTCTCCCGTCGATGACGACCTGGGTCGACGAATCGGTAGTGTCCGCGTCGTCCGTCTGGCTTCCCGACTCCCGTGCCCGCTGTAGCCGCTCGTCCTCCTCCTTCCTGATGGCGCGGATCGTCTCAAAGAGCGTTTTCTTGTCTGAATCCCGCTCCTTCTCTGCCGCGTCCGCTCGCAGCTCGGCGACCTCGGCGCGCATCCGATACGAAAGCATGTCGCTCTTGACGTTTGCGAGCTCGCGCAGGATCTGCTCCATGCGTTGCTGCAGTTCGGCGGCGGCCTGGGCGGCGGAGTCGGCGGCATCGTCTCGGTCCTTCTTGTCTTGTTCTTTGATCTGTGAGCTTTCTACTTCCTGTCTACTTTCATCACGCTCATCACTTGGAGATGCGAGCTCACGAGGTTTTCCTGCGTCTTGTGCCAGCCGTGTCGCGTTCTTCTCCAACCGTGCCGCCTTGTCCTCTGCCGCCTCTCGCGCTTCTTTTTCCTTTCTCAGCGCATCCTCGAGATCTTGGATTCGTGCCGAGTTCGTCTCGACCTCCTTCCGCGCCCGCGCCAATTCTCCCAGCAACGACTGGATCGCCTGCGGAGGTTCAGCCTTCACCGAGCGATCGGGTTTGATCGACCGAGCGAACATGGCATCGCCGGATGTGATTCGCGAGAATTCGGAAGCGACGACGGTTTTGTCCTGGGGAAGCGGAGGGAGTGGGCTCTTTGGCGGGGGTATCCCGTTCGTCTGGGGAGCCTCATGCATTGCTGCTGCAGGCTTGGATGCCAAATCGATCACCTTTGGCACTGGGGGGACGGCGGAGAGGAGAATATCAAAGACCTCTTGCGTCCGCTGAAGGTCCTGAGACTGCTGTTTGGCGGCGTACAGTTCTTGCTGACGGGATGTTAGGCGACGAGAACGAGGGAAACACAACGGAAACGCGCGCTTACGTTTAGTTTCTTGACCACCATCTCCATCGATACCGGCGCCATCATGATCTGTTGTTGACGATGTGTGGGTCCTGCAACGTTTCCGCCGTTACCCATCGCACCTCTAGTACTCTGCGACCCACCCCGCCCCCGCAAACTCTGCGCGGAACCATGAGAAGGAGGGCCCATAAGGTTTCCGTTTACAAGGGGATCAATTTCCCCAAAGTTAACCTCGAAACCCTGCATCGGCGGGCCAGCGTGTTCAACCCTTGCCGCCACCTTGTGATGTACAATCGTCTTGTTGTCGTCACCGACAATATCAATGCCCAACTCCAGCACGTCCTCCGTCCGCAATTCGTGTGCTTCGCTCTCGACGTTTTCTTGCGAGAGGCGTTGCCCGTTGACGAAGGTGCCGTTCGACGACTTGATATCGCGGATCCAAACCTTGTTGCTGACCTTGTCGGCCCAGACCTCGGCGTGCTGTCGCGAGAGCACCTTGGAATCGAAGAAGCCGTTCGTCTGGGTCGGCAACGTTTTGGCGTTGGTCTGCCGGCCGATTCGAAGTGTATCCGGGTAATACGGCAATGGGATCTGCTTCCGCTCAAAGGTGGCATTCAAGGGTACAAGCAACAGGTAGGATTGCTGCTGCTGCTGCCCGTTCTGTTGCATCTGGCCGCCGCTCATCAGATGCTGCGAGGGCAGGATCGGGCCAGGCTGGTGGATCCCGTTGACGGCGCTGGGAGGCTGAGCCGATATGGAGCCGTTCGTCCTCACATGATTGACATCGGACTTGGGCCATCCCCCGAGACTGTTGCCGTTCACCAATCCGGCGCCGTTCACGCTCCCCGCGCGAGACGTTGCTTTCTTCTTCCCGCCCAAAGAACTCACCCAGCCGCCGTTCGCCATGCTACTACTAGTGCTGCTGCCATTCGTGTTTCCGTTTCCATTCGTGCTGTTCTCGAGCGGCGAGTTGTTGCCGGACTGCATTCCGTATCGTTGAGCCTTACTCCGCGGTAAAAAGATATCAGCCGTCATCGAGTCGAGGGGTCCCTGGCTGTTCCAAGATCGCGGGACGTGAACATTCGGGGGTTGGGCAACGGCAGTCATAAGTCAAGTGAAGTCCGTATCGGCAGAGCTGAGTGTACCCCGGCCGGAGAAGGAGGCGGAGATGGATCCGGTAGTCTCTCTCCCTAAGGGTGGCCAACCACGGTAGTGGGTAAGGTGGGGTGAGGGGGTGGGGACAGTTTTTATGCTGCGACACCTCTTCGTCAGTAGATGAGCCAATACTTCGGGCAAGGTTTGGTTTTTTTTTCTCTCTCTCTCTCTCTTTCTTTTCGCGTGAGCGTGAGCGAGAGAGCGCGCGCTGGGTATCGGAGTGAATCTGAGCGAAGGGGAACGAGAAAGTTTCGGGAGAAAGCAAAACGACAGTCAACACGTGACTGCGAGCTGGATGGCAGTTCTCTCGAGCGAGCGTGCGTGCGAGCGTGCGACGGAGCGCACGAGCCTAGCGGCTCGAGGGTAGAGTGTAGTGGAATGACATGGAGGAGGGAAAGTAGGTGAGTAAGTAGTGGGAGGCGACAAACCGATGTGGACCCGAACCGGAGCAGACCAACTTATCGCGAACAAGCAAACAGCGCGGCGCCGGAGGGGATGTCGAGTGTGTATTTTAATGTTCCGTGCGGATCGACCTCGGCGACAGCGGCGACGGCGGCGGAGGCGGAGTGGGAGGGACGAGTATGAATGTAGGTGGCTAATACGCAGGATCGATGGGCGCACACACACGCGTGTGTCTGTGTCGGTGGGGAGACCTGTGTCTGGAGAGGAATAGGAGGTGAAGGAGAGTTTTTCGTGTCCGCGGTTGTTGCCGAACCGAGCTGTGTCTCGCGATGGCTTTCTGTGGTCGATGGGCGATGGGGGGGACGAGAAGTGCCAGGGGGTTGGTGGTGGTGGGCGGTGGGTTTGGTTAGGTGGAGGGTTTGTGGGTTTGTGGATGTGGGTAGTCGGCGGCGGAGGTGGTGGTAGTGGTGGATGGGACGAGGACAGATGGTACTTCGAAGTCGGTAGCAGCAGCGATCTAGGGAAGGTATCTGCCTTCTGTGGCTTTTCACTCTTGTCTGCGGTTCCTTCCTCTTTGCGACTTTTCGATTTTGGATTTTTCGACTTTTCGATCACTCTCCTTTGAATTGCTTTTCGGGGAGGGGGAAGGGTCCCTTGAATTTCTCCGTTCGTGGTGTTTTATTTTCCCGATTATTCGCGTGTCTTGTATCTCGTCTCGTTGCGCGCTATCCTGACACTCGATTTCTATGCTTGCGTGGTCGCGAACGTCGCTAGTTGTCGCTGTCGATGTCGCTGTCGCTGTCGTTGTCGTCGTTGTCGCTGTCGTTGTCGTCGTTGTCGTTGTCGTTGTCGTCCTCGCAGTTACCGTTGCCGTTGTCGTTCCAGTCTCTTCGTTCGAGTCAAGCCAGCGGTCGTGGTCCTGGGGGAATCTCGTTCTTCACAGTGCACGTCGTCGTCGCAGCGATGGATGTGTACGAGGAAACAAAACAAAAACACCCTTCCTTCCTACCTTCCTTCCTTCCTTGCTTGCTGCGTTCGATTCGACAGTGATCGATTATTATGATTTACCCACACCCACCCCCACCCCCACCCCCATACTACCTACGGCAACCACACTCACTTCCTCACATTCCCCAAGTATTTACTTGCCTGCCTGCTTGCTTACCTTCTCCAACCGCCCTGCCTGGCCAGTAGAGTGGCTGCTGCTGCTTTCCTGTCGCCGAGCCTCTCCCCCTCTCTCTCTCCCTTCCATTCTCCATATCATACACGCCGTAGAGCACGGTACATCCACAACTTTTGCCCGCGTTTCGCCACTGGCAATCCTTGCTCCTGTGCTCGCCCGCAGGCCCCCTCACCCAATCCCATCAATCCAAAACTGCACTGGAGATAGATAGCATCCATCGGCTTGCTTACGGTACGGGGGTCGTTGTGAAAGGGGCGGATGCGGGTGCGGGCGCGCGGTAGGCGGTGAAATACTGAGGAGTAGGAGGTGGAGCAGGAGGAGGAGGACATACTGCCACTCTATACGGTACTCTACTGTAGTAGGGGCCTACCTTCATAGCATGCTGGATACATTGCGATAGTTATCTACGGTACTCTACTCTACATGCTAACTGCCAGAGTAGATTCTGGGGTGCTGCGAGTGGGGCGAACGGCGTCGCACTTGAGGCCGGGGTGGCTACTACTGCTACTCCTGTTGGTATACCGGCGGTACTCTACTCTATGTATGCACCTACATACATCCCCAGATTCACGGTGATGGCTGACGAGAGTAGGTGATGCCCTCGAGTCATGGTGGGTGATTGCTGCCCGGAAGGAGAGTGACTGATGCCCTGCTGTGGCCTTCCTCCCTGCCTCCCTCCCTCCCGACGGCCAATACAGTGCCAGAAGGGCTCGCAGTGGTCCGTAACTACAATTCTATGCTCTACTCTCCCCCGGTGTGGCCTGGGCGGCAATCGATGGCGAACTCGAACGCGACTCCACAATCCCACCTCCACGCCCCACTGAATTACGAGCACGTACCTACCGGTCGCGGTTCTTCCCTGGTGTCCGCCTGCAGATCCCAAGGACTAGCGGACACACTACAGCGCAGCCAGACAAGTCCGAGCTGACATGGAAATGAGAGGTGAGTGTGGCTGAGCAGGAGCACGGAGGATAAGGAGGAGAAGGGGCACGCGAAGGGGGACGAGGAGGGGGAGAACAATAGGCAGCAGACAGCTCTGTTTCGCTGGATAGATACATCTCCAGAAGTACCGGAAGTACCGGAAGTACCGCAGGTGCTCTACCGAATCCCAATTGGCCTGCCGGACCGACTCCACCTCGCCCCTCCCCATAGGCGCTCAAGGGACAGGCTGCCGGCGTAGAGTACAAGTCATGAAGAACACCCAGAGAACAAATCGTGCCTGTCTCCTACTCGACTGCTGCCATCTACGGTATGCAGTCGGGTCATTCGTGACGTCCATCCATCCAACGTCCATCCACCTATCTCTCCTTCCACCCATCCTTCCACCCATCCGCCTGTCCATCCTTCCACTCATCCACTCATCCACCCATCCTTCCATCCTTCCATTCTCCACGAGCCATTCTCCACGAGTCCTTCTCCTGCATGAATGCTGTACCTGTACCGTATCCAACCGTTCAGTTCGGCTGTCTACGTGGATACATATCGTCCCTCGCGCTAGTAGTGACTTGGGGACGATGGACCGTGGCCGCCCCTGGGGCCTGGGGCCCAGTGCTAGCTGAGTAGCGATGACGTTGCCCGTGATCCCCGTGAGCGCCCGTGAGCGAAGCACAGAAGAGCAGAGCAGAGTACCAAGGTACCTGGCCGAGTAGACGAGACAAACAGAATGTCAACTCGATAACAAGTGCTCTGTTACTTACCAAGCTCGAGCGAACACCTCCGGAGGTGTCTGTCACTCCTGAGTGCTCTCGTGCTCTCTTGCGGCTGATTCACCTCTGACAAGCTTGCCCCGTCGTTGGTCGTGGGTCGTTGGTCGTTGGTCCCACCCAGGTCCCGTCTTCTTCTTCCTGCCCGGTCGCACAGCTGACTGCAAATGTCACCTGTACGCGACCGGGCACCAACCGCAAAAGCAGCAGGCATGTCATATCCGTGTCCGGCGCGAAAAGGGAAAGGGAAAAAAAAGATGCCAGAGCTATGTAAGTCATACATAGAGCTGGCCTCTAAGCTACCTTCTTGGAACGTGACTCTTGCGGCTCTGGTGGCTCCAACCACATCTCAGCACACACAAATCCAACTCCCCCCCCCCCCCCCCCCCCCTCAAACCCTCCACCACCCCCCATTCCCTCGCCCGCCAGCGATAGATGATGCTGAAGCATCTCATACACTCGCCCTCAGCACCTTTGATCCAGCCATGAGCTCCTCTTTCACCACACTCCTGGCCGTGTACGTCCTCGGGGGGCTAACCTTTGTACCTTTGATCGCGCTGCTACTGCTACTGCTCGCCTACTACACCTTCCCCGAAGCCGTGCGGCGTGAGCCGCCCGAACCCTCTCTGCAGCGCCCGCTCGAGGAGGACGTGTTTAAGACCGACGACGAGAAGCTGGTGCGGCGGTTGACGAACTCTGTCGACGTGGCCGCGGGCTACTTCCTCGTGACGCGGGAATGGGTGCCCTCTGGAATCAACGGAAGGCCCCCGGAGAGAGCTTCGCCCGTCGCTGGGAACGCCGCCCCGCAGCCTACTACGAACCAGAATAACTCCCCCTCTGTATACCAGTCCATGTACCGCAGCTTGTTCGATAGGAAGTCCAGCATCGGCGCCGCGGATGTCGCAAATAATCTTAAGCCAAAGGGGAAACGCCCAACTAATGAGTTCTTTGTCGTGCTGAGGTATGCTCTTTCAGCAGTCTCCCGAGAGATCTCTCTATATATATCTCTCTCTCCCTCCATCTCTCTCTCTCTCTCTTGACCGAACAGAAAAAAGAAAGGAAAAATGCGGTCGCTAACACGAAGCTGCGTGGTAGACACGGTTACCTCATGCTCTACGATGACGAACAGCAAGTCGAGGTTCGCCATGTCGTGTCCTTAAGTCTCTATACCGTCAGCATCTACGGCGGCGGCGAGATCATTCCGGAGGGCGAGCTGTATATCCGACGGAACGCCATATGCCTCACGCGACGACCCGATACCATGAAAGCGACGCTCGACGAGAGTGCCGGGCTGCCCTTCTACATGTTCTCGGAGAACTGCTCCAACAAGGAGGACTTCTATCTGGCTCTGGTCAAGCACCAAGAGAAGTCGGCCGACGACCCGACGATACCGCCCAGGCCTCTCCGCTACCGCCAGAAGGATGTCATCTCGTTGGTCCAGCGGCTGCATTCTTCCGAGGACCAGCTGCAGATGAATTGGGTCAATGGCCTGCTCGGGAGGGTGTTCCTGTCGATCTATAGGACGCCGGAAGTGGAACAGTTCTTTCGCTCCAAGATCGTCAAGAAAATCTCCCGTGTGGCCAAACCGAATTTCCTGTCCGATATCAAGGTGCAGCATATATACGTTGGCGACTCGATCCCCTATATTACCAACCCCCGGCTCAAGGAGATGACTGCGGACGGTGACTTTTGCTGCGAATTCGATGTCACCTACACGGGGAATTTCAGACTGGTATGTTTGCTCCCAGCGGTGAGAGGACGGAATGCTGAGATCCCCTCCCCGCGCCGTAGGAAATCGCGACAAAGGCGACCATGAACCTCGGGGCTCGATTCAAGCCTCGTGAAGTCAACCTGCTCCTTGCCGTGCTGCTGAAGCGACTGGAAGGCCACGGTGTGATCCGGATCAAACCCCCGCCGAGTAACAGACTGTGGTTCGCTTTCGAGCGCATGCCCAAGATGGAACTGGTGATCGAGCCCATCGTAGGATCGCGACAGGTGGCCTGGGGACCCATCCTCCGTATCATCGAGAGTCGCATCAGAGAGGTCATCGAGGAATCGGTTGTCCTGCCGTACTACGACGATATTCCCTTCACCGACACGATCGACCAGAAGTTCCGCGGAGGAATATGGCACACGCACAAGAAATCGCCGCCGCCCGCTGCCAGGGAAACCGAGAAGGAGCTGGCGGATATCGACGATGTTAACGAGTTGGGGATGGATATGGATGAACAGCAGCAGACACCAATTATACACCTGGAAGCGGCGGGTGAGCCGGCGATACCCATGGCAGCACATATAGCCACATCTACCTCCGCTTCCTCGGACGAGACGAGGGCAACCTCCGTGTCCGGACTGGCAGTCGACAACGATGACAGTTCCCCGCGTCCGTCGCGAACGCCGTCGGTTAAATCCAAGAATTCTTCAAGTGAGCGAAAAAAGACTGTCCGCGCCCTTTCCTTCAGCTCAATAACCCCTACTCCTCCAGCGCCGTCGATAGGCACAGATGCGATAAATGTCACCGCGGTCCGGGACAGAAGCGATTCCAACACGGATCCAAACACTGCAAGCTCAGCACTCTCCCGGGCTTCGGCTAGTCCGAAATCTCCATCACCGATATCACTCGGCCCACCTAGCCGGCTGAAACATATTCAACCGCGGGCAGAATCGTACGGTGATGATGATCTAGCTAGACAGGAAAACTACGAAGGTGCTGGTACCGGTATTGGTAACATGACTGGTGGCTCCATGGAGGGGTTCGGCAACAACTACAACGGACCCAACAAATTCCTCACGCCGGGCTCTCGCACCTCTACCAACAGCAGCAACAAAGGACCGCTCGACACCATCGCCGCGATCGGCACCGCCACCGCAACAATAAAGAAATGGTATTCCACGCGTAAAAACCCCAGCACATCCACGACGCCCACTTCAGCAACCGAGGATCATCCCGCACCTCTCTCCACCAGCACCACCTCCTCGTCCTCGCGCTCCATGGCACCCGCCATAATCCCGCCTCCGCCCATCAAAAAGCCCACACCCCCCATCGCCGTCCCCACCAAGCGCCGGAACCTCCCGCCCCCGCTCGTCCCCACCCGGAGAAAAGTCTCGGCGCCCCCGCTCCCGCCGCGCATCGACATCCAGGGCCAGAACCAGAGCGAGGTGCTGGTCGTGGCCGCCCCCGGCGGCGACGAGCCGACTACCCCTAGGACCGATGAGCAGGAGAGACAGTTCGACGAGCTCTTTGGAAGCTCCGATAGCTCGGGTGGGCAAGAGGGCGTGCCGTGGACGGCCGGCGAGGAGAGGGAGGTGTGGAATCTTGCTGAGGGGGAGGGCACCGCGAGCGTCAGGAATAGAAATAGGAATAGGAATGGGAGTAGGAATACGTGGGGTGGTAGTGGGGCTAGTGGGGCCAGTGGGGCCAGTGGGGATGAGAGGTAGTTGTTGTGCTGGTGGTGCTGGTGCTGGTGCTGGTGCTGGTGGAGGAGGCATGTGTACAGTAATTCCCAAAGTTTCATTTCCGGTGCGCGTTACGGATGGAGTTCGTTTACTCTCTTTTTTTACTTTGCTTTTTTGTTTTGGCTTTTAGCTTTTATGGTTTTATCTTGTGTGGAGGATGCAGCGGATCGGATGGATGGATGGATCGGATGGATGGATCGGATGGATGGTGGAATCTGGGGTTTTGTTGCTCTCCTTCTCTCCTTCTCTCCTTTTTTTTGCTTTGTGTTTTTGTGTGGTTTTATAGCTTTGCTCTGCTCGTTGGATGTGATTTTTTGTGAGTGGTGATGGTGGGGAGGGGAGGATAATTGTATTTTTACTTTTACTTTTACTTTTACTTTTACTGCAGGATTGCTGAAGGATTGCTGTTGCTGTTGCTGTTGCTGCGAGGCATCTTCATGTGTTGTCACTCGATCACTCGGCACTCGGGGCACTCGGCGCGATAAAATCGGAGTGGAGTTGAAGATAGCTTTTACAAGCGGGTGGGTGGGTGGATGGGCGGGTGGATGGGTGGAAAGCAGGCAAGCAAGCAATCGATCAAGCAATGATTAAACCATAGAAAATGTGGATGGTGGATGGAGGTGCTGGTGCTGGTGCTGGCAGCCTGGCAGGTCAGGTCAGGTCAGGCTCCTCCTCCTCGCCGTCATGGTCGTCGTCGTCTGGTTACTCGCTATGACCGACGTGTACAAAAATTGTATTACTGATTTGAAACATTTTTCATTCAAAGTACCAGTCCATCCAATCCATCCAGTCCGTCGGACATCCAGCTCTAAGTACTAGTTGCGCGGACTGGACTGGATTGAGAGGTTCAGTCCGATTTTTGCAGAAAGACGGGCTGGACTGGACTGGACTGGACTATCGGAGGCACTGGACTATCGGAGGCACTGGACTATCGGAGGCACTGGACTATCGGAGGCACTGGACTATCGGAGGCACTGGACTATCGGAGGCACTGGACTATCGGAGGCACTGGTACAGGTTGCTTTCCACACAAAATCTCACAGATTATCACTCATCTCACTCATCTCACTACAACTGGCTAGTGTATGTTCTCATTGGGATTAGGTAGTTGTAGTATATCGCATAGCCCGCTCGCGGTTGCTTCCAAGAACCCATCATATGACCACTGGTATTGCACGTACGACAGAAAATCTCGAGGCGTCCTGCTCATGACTTGGGAATCTAATGTTCAGATTGATCGTGAGCCATAGGCATCTCTTTGTTTATCGGTGTATTCGACCTTCCTGCCAATCGCAGTCATTTTGTATCCAACGTCATTTCATTGTCGCACACGGCCTATGTAGACCACAGTATGGGGGTCCACATACTTTTTCCACGTACATCTCTTGCAAAAACGGACGTATGGCGAGTGATATCGAATGAACTTCTAAAGTGGACTAACCGGAAGACGGTTCAGACCCCTGCACGTGCCCCCTAGCTTTACTATACTTTATCCGCTACGAAACTTTCTGCATCTCAGTCCTCCTGTTCCCCGCGATCACTCAGTCAAACATTAACAACCTCCAATTCAAAACGCAAACACGTACTCACATACTCACAGTCCCCCGCTGAGCCTCGTCGTCTGTGCGTCATGCCCTCACACAAATTCAGGAGCTTGACAGCCCTGCACCGTCACTACTGTCTACGCCAAATATCGTACTCCCACCTCCGACAGCAACTACAGCAACACAGCCTCAGCCACCCACTCTTAAGTCGGTATTCCTTTTCCTCTCCGTCGAATATTGGTTTTCAGCAAGGCACGTAGCTAACAGCTGTTGTGAAGCCTGACTAATCTGCGCCTACATAGCAGCATAGGTACGGCTGTGGTTCGTCGTAACCCACAGTCGCACTTCTCGACTGTCAGCGACACCTCCACACCTCACACATCTTCTTCGCTCGCGATCATGTCGATCCCGAACGCTGTCACCAGCAGCATCAACGCCCTACCACCACCAACCGCCGCACCCATTCCTGATGACAAAGTCGAAGTCGGCCGTAACATGTCGGAGCCTCCGCTGTTTCCTGCCAACGTGGCGATGAGCGACAGAGTCGATGATGGCGATAATGTCGTCTATCTAGGGATCAGGGCTGTCGCTGAGGCGAGAGGTGTTGCGGGTGCTACGGGCAGTGCTGCGGGTCCTGCTGACAGTGTTGCGGGTCCTGCGGGCCATGTTACGGATGTTGCGGGTGGTTTTGAGCAGATGGGGATCAGGCCTGAGCTCGCCCCCGCCCAAGAAGCACCAGTTGTTTTCTCAGGCACAGTTGATCTCGACCGGCTTCTGGGCATGGTCGCGCGCGAACATAGTGTGCAGCTCCTGGCCGCACCACCGTCGTTTCCTCTGCTCGCCGTACCGCCGAAACAGACGCGTCGCGAGCGTGAGCGTGCAGATGCCGCAGCCTTGCAACAACAGACAGTCCTGGGGAAGCGTCAGAGGGACCGGTCACCGTCGCCCGAGCTACAGTTGACGGAGGAGTTGTTCGAGGAGATCGGTATGGTGAATGGGCTGTTCAAGGAGCCTTGTCTGGGCTTGGTCGAGGCTCCGGCCGTTTTCGAGCTGCTTGTTGCCGGAGACTATGCTTTCCGCGTCAACCTGTCGTTCTCGAGTGGATACCCGTTGGAGGTGCCCGCGCTCATAGCGGTTGAGTCCGAGAACGGAGAGGAGCTCAAGACTTTGGCTCAGGGCATCCTGGATGGTATCAAGGATGGCAAGCCGTGTCTAGAGAGACTGGCTCGTGGTATGGCGGAGGCTCTGGAGGAGCAGATCGGCGAGGTGCCTTGGAAGTACAAAGCCCACAAAGTGATCCCGATAGTGAACTCCGTGAAAGGAAGGTGGTTTCCCACACTCGAGGAACTCGACATGTTCATGGAGAATCTCCGGGCGGCCAAGCTGGATTATCCGCCCAAGATGCCAGTCTTTGAGATCAAGGATGGTCTCAAAACAGCGCTCGTCGGTCTCCCCCTGTCATTGCGTTCGTGTGTTTGAACTTGGGATGTGTGTGCTAATAGCTATGCCAGATATCGGAAGGGTATGCTCAGGACAAACTCACACAGGAGGGCCAGGTCATAGAAGGGAACGAACGCTTAGAGTTTCTTGGCGACGCTGTGCTTAACACGCTCATTGCATCCGCCATGTTCCGGATGTACCAAGTAAACGAGGGAGGAATGACGGTATGTGACTGCAGCTACCGGCGAGCGGCAGGCGGCGTGTATGCTGACCGATGATCAGAAACTACACGACATTCTCCGCTCCAACATGCTGTTCAGCGTTTTCTCGAGGGCGTATGAATTCCCAGGCCAGCTGAAGCAGAAGCAAGGTCCAGTAAAACCTTCAGGCTTTTACGAACCAGCCTTCAAAAAGGAGGCGGATATCTTCGAGGCGGTGGTAGGTGGGCTGCACCTCGACAGCGCTGCCGTGCCCGGGGGTGCGATTGCCATCCAGAAGTGGTTTGACATCTTGATCGAACCATGGATCGATTGGACATTGACACGAATGAACTCGAACCTAAAGTCGTCGTTCATGACATATAACCGAATTCCGTTGGAGCCTCGCAAGCCATCTAAGGCGCTCGCTCATGCGCCTCCGGGATCTCGCGCTCGTGCCGGTTCACCGCGACGCAAGATTGCGGTGGCCAGCAGCTCCAGGATAGCCCGCCGCGCCGCTAAGAAGGCGCCTCGCCACTCCACGATCGGAGGTTGGCCCGGAGCACCAGAGGGAATGAATGTCGATGCGATGCATGCCGGTGCCGAAGAACGCCGTTGGGCACGCATCCAGCGTCTGGAAGACTATCAGACCTTTGAGGTGCAGACCCCGCGTGGCGACAGGCCCGCTCCGGAGCACACAGTTGATGGGCAGGGACACGGTATGCATAGACAGAGCCAGGGACTTAGGGTTCACAATGCAAGCTCGATGGCACTGATGGATTCCGAACAGAACAGGCATCGCAACTCGGTGTACCGTGGAGATCCGGGTTACTCGAGGGATCACACCAGACTTCCTGACCTGAGAGTAAGAAGACCCGCGCCTCCTCCAGTGCCATACCGCCCCCTTGTGGATTACACTGATCTCGTGGGTCAGAGGCCGGTCGAACGCGAACAGCGTCATTATTGATTCGTTCCGGCAATAGCACTCACTGACCTTGGCATCCTTTTCTTTCCACCAGATGCAATGGCTGTCTCGATCAGTGTTCACTTACAATACAGCGTTCTGTTTACTTGCCTGCTGATTTGATTTCTACTAATCCCATCTGTCAATAGTGTGCGGGATAAAAGTGTTTCCATAGCTCAACACCTTTGTGTTCAATTCACGTCTTGTTCGTTTCACTTGTTGCTGCATTGTATGACTGTCATCGGTAATCCTCGGTTTGGTGGATAATCGCGATGATGGCTAGTGATTTCCTACTTACTGTGAATACTGCTGTGGATGAGTGGGGCTGGCTGCTGGTATGTGTAATTTTATGGTACTGTACTTTGATGACTGCAGAGAGAGAGAGAGAACATTCATTTATTGTCGCATGGTGTTGACTCTGTAATCGGTCCCATTCGCCCCCGCGGCGTGACGGAGCGAGTGATGTGGTGGGAATATCCGGCTCGTTGATCGGACCGCCGACTGTTAAGCACAACCAGTTTCTACCATCTAGATCTCTGTCAGCTAAAGTCAGTTTTTACTTTCTGCGCATCGCCAACATCTCAAGTACCTTAGTCATCTCTCTTTGCCGGCCTCCGAAATGACCAGGGCCACTGTCAAGTTTCCACCAGTTAAATTGTGCGGGGTCCCTTGCCGGCCCCTGCATGTTGTAGTTCTATCGACTGAAGCAAGGCGATGAGCGCCCACTTCTCTGTTTGGCATGTTGTGGCGGGCTGCCTCTATTTCTCCTTGGCATCAACATAAGCTTTCTGGAGCACACGCAGCTTTCCCTCCTCTCTCCCAAATCACAACTCAAACCAATCCCTTTCCCTTCACAAAAAGGAACCCCCCACCCCGATAGTTTTTTTTAGCAACTATCCCGAACAACTCAAACGCCCCAAAAGGTCCTTCTTTCTCGACGAAAGAGGAGACCAAGCACTCAGTTCAACGCGCTGGATCATCACTCCAGCCATCCGCAAGCAACTGTGTCTTCCCAGTCGGCGCCATTCATTCCTCGCGCGTTCTGCCGCCCCTCCATGGGATGGTGGGTAAGTACTCTAGTTGCTAGCTGTTTTTTTTTGGTGCTCCGACGGACGGACGGACGTGTGGTGTGTGACCGACCGACCGGACGCTGATCATTCGCACCTAACTATCTAGAGCCACTCCCTGGAATCCGACCCTCCAGTCGCAGTCGCAGTCGCGGCCGCGGCCTCCTCCGTCTCGGCCGTCTTGTCGTACCCCGCCGTTTCCGCCACACCTTGAATAGTATCGGCACGCTCGGATGGCATGCAATCTACTTTTCGGCCATGTGTCTGGTCGCCTCGTTCATCTTCTACGGCGTGGGACGTAACGTCGAAAGCAAGCTGGGAGACGCCGACGGCATCGGCGAGAGGATGTCGTATCTCGATGCCCTGTTCCTAGGCGTTACTAGCGCTACGGGTGCGGGTTTGGGGAATGTTCGTCTCCCCTCCCACCCCCACCCCCGTTGCGTTGGTTGCTAATGGTGGTGGTGGTATCGGCAGGTGGTGCTTTCAAGACTGGATACATTGCAGCAGTTTGTGGCGTTTTTGTTGATCCTTGCGGGCTCGCAGGTGTGGGTTGCGGCGTGCGTGGTCAACATCCAGCGCGCGTTCCTTGCTCGAAAGATTCTGGACCGGTGCCGTGAGGAAGAGAAGAAGAAACGACAGAGGCTGCTGCTGGCGGAACAGGCGCAGGCGGCGGCGGGAAACGCCGAGGGAGGTGAGGGCTTGGAGAAACTGGTCGTGCTAGCTGCGCTACAGGACCATTCTTCGCCTCCCGTCGAACATGTTTCTCATGGCGATGACGAGGGCATCGATGAACACGGCAATGCACATCCATTGGGTCTCTTGAAACCTGGCAAGGTATTGCATTCGCAGTGTACAACGGCTGCCACGTCGAGGAATTGCAGCTCCGATAATCTGGCTTTGGTCTTCAGCAAGGAAAACCAACTGGAATTGATTTCCACCGCTGTTGGTCTCGACAGTGCTTGTTCCCTGAAAGAAGACCAGGAACGTCTCGCGGCTCTCACTCTACTCTCTTGGATGGTTCCTGTCTATCTGGTCGTTTTCCAGGTCGTGGGCACGATTTGCTTGGGAATCTGGATGTCCCGCTGGGGTAAAGACATCGTCGCTGTCAACGCACTCAACTCCTGGTGGTGGGCTGCATTCAATGCGATCTCTGCCTTCAACAACTCGGGAATGTCACTTCTGGATGCTGGAATGGTGCCATTTGCGAACCGTGGCAGTTTCGTAGTTGTTGTACAATGTGCACTGATTCTCGCCGGAAATTCCGCGTTCCCGGTCATCTTGAAGGGTCTACTATTGCTTCTTCGTTTGTGCGGCTACAAGAACAAGGGACTACTCCTCTTACTGGATGGGAGTCGCTGTCGAAAGGTATTTCCGTACCTTTTCCCGCCGCGGGAGACAAAGTGGTTGATCGCAATGCTCATCATCCTCAACGGAATCGATGTCGCCGCCTTCCAGATCGCCGCCCCGTCCTCCAACGACTCCGCGCTGCGAGCGCTATCCAACTCGCAGCGGTTCCTGGCAGGTCTATTCCAAGCGCTCTCCGTCCGCTCCGGCGGCTTCGCCATCGTCTCCATCCGCGATCTGCACATGGGCGTACAGATGGCGTACACAGTAATGCTCTACACGTCCGCCTTCCCCCTAGCCCTCCCGGGGATCCCGCACCGCTTCCACGCCTCACCGCACCACGCACCCTCTCTCCCAGAATCAGCATGGTCCTTCGTCCTCCGTCAACTCCGCGGCCTCATGCGCGCCGGCGACCTGCGCTACCTCGTCGCGGCGGTCTGGTTCATCTGCGTGGTCGAGTCTCCGGGCGCCGCAGGCGCATTCCCGATCCTGTTTGAGGTCGCGAGTGCCTTTGGATGCGTAGGCGTTAGCTTTGGAGCGCAGAAGGATGGGCGCCTCGCCCTCGTTGGCGATTGGGGCGGTGCGAGTAAAATGGCGCTCGCTGCGGTTATGCTCTGGGGTAGGACTAGGGAGGTTAGGAGGGGGGTGTTGAAGGGATGGGGCAGGGGCAGGGGGAGGGGGGATACGTGTGGACTGGTGGGGGGGAAGGATGTGAGTGTTTAGAATGGGGTGGGGGTGGGGATAGGGGTGGGGATGTAGATGTGGATGTGGATGTGGATGTCTCACTACGGTCTTTTGGAGGGGAGATGGGGAGATGGTACAGACATCTTGGATAAAAAGTGTGGTTAGTACATTTCCGTCCAAGGCTCTTAGCTGCTGGGTGGAGCCATACAAAGGTTACTACTGGCGGAAAGAACCAACGAGTGCTATGGTATGGATGACTGTCCGAAACATCACCGAGTGCTCAGTCGAGGCTGGCGTTAGTTATGGCTGCAGATGTATATAGACTGCGCATGCAGAATCCAGATCCTTGGCTGTACGGGCTCGCTGAGAAGGACATCGTCGAAGCCTCCGCTATCTCGATCCCCCGCTCTCGGCGGTTGTCGACGCAACTCCGGAACTGGAACTTTCCACAAGAACCTACCTAGTAAAGTGCTCCTCCCAACCGATTGCACGCGAGGCATGGTCTAAGCATGCGGCCAGCGGAAAGCTCCACAACCGCTCTGCACGGTGCATAGGTAGACCGGACCGGTAAGTTTTGGTGCGGGAAACGGAGGCGGAGGCGCAACGGAGATGATGAGGGGGCAATCGGAGGGGGTGGCCGTCGAGGTAGCCAAGCGTAAGCACCACGCACGACCTATCTACATATCAGTAGTCGTGGGCGGCCCCCTAATCGTACCTTGCCGTTGTTCCCGAGGAGGAAACGTCCGGCGCCGACATCACCGGCCACTTGCATCCACTCTGCCGTCAACCTCATGCCGTATGATAAATACCACTAGGTAGCCCAACGTACTAGTCATCCGCATCCGCCGCGAGTTGAACGGTACCAGCCAGCGGTAATGTCGGCGAATCACGATGGAATCTGGGGAAGTCCGGAAGATATGTACCTGTGGCTTGTGCCGAGTACCTATGCACCTACACTGATAGTTAACGCAGCCAAAGCGGTGGCAAATTCTTACGGTGAAGAGGTCGGGGCAGGAAACAAAAAGGTACAATTATCTTGCGCGCGGCGCTGGAGGGGATTAACATGGAGAGTTTTATATCATACTTTTGGTACCTATATCTATCTGTCTTGTCTGCATGACGATCCCCTCGTGCTCGGATTAACTATTAACTAGCGCGTGAACGACTAGAGTAGTTAGGTGCATACTCTAAAGTAAACGCTCTTCCTCTCGCGAACCTTGCCATGCTCCTTTACCGCTCCCTCCGCCTCCCCCTCATCCGCGCCACCACAGTCCCGCTCACCCGCCTCACCTTCATCCGTCGCACCGTCCCCGCGTCCACCAGAATGCTCACCACCTCTTCCGCGCCGCTCGTCTGGATCGACTGCGAGATGTCCGGGCTCGCGCGCACAGACGTGCTATTACAAGTTGCATGCTACGTGACAGACTCGAGCCTCACGCTCCTCGACTCCGGCGGGCTAAACATCACTCTCTCAGTGCCGGACGCTATTCTCGACGGTATGGACGAGTGGTGCACGCGCACGCACGCCGCCACGGGGCTCACGGCCGCTGTGCGCGCGTCTACTACTACTGCTGCGGCGGCGGAGTGGCTGGTGCTCGAGTATGTCAAGAGGTTCGTGCCAGAGAGGGGCGTGGGACTGCTTGCCGGGAATACGGTACACGCCGATAAGGTGTTCCTGCAGAGGGAGATGCCGAGCGTGGTCGATTGGCTGCATTATCGAATTCTCGATGTTAGTGCGATTAAGGAGGCGGCGAGGAGGTGGTGCTCTGATGAGGTGCTGCAGGGTGTGCCTGAAAAGAAGGGGCTCCATGAGGCTGGCGAGGATATCAGGGAGAGTATTGAGGAGGCGAGGTATTGGAGGGATGTGCTCTTTCGGCCGGCCGGGGGAATGGAGAAGAAGGGGGGGACGTGAGGGATGAATTCACACCCTACGTACATAGCCGATTGTTCGAACTTCGACGCGAGTGTTCGGGGTAAAGCTGTGATCCAACTGGCAACGACCGTCAATTGTCGGCGATCATCTTGCTCGAGCGTCGCTTAAACTTGTGATGTTTCATCTGAATGCGATTGGCGTGCGGGGGGCTCTGCTACCATGGGCGAGGCACCAGTCGCGTCTCCGTGAACAAGGGCGGTTCGTATTGTGGCAAGTACAGTAGAAGTGTAAGGACTTGACGCGACACAGAGATTGGTTCGGTCCGGTAAGCATACGGTAACTTGGAGTTGTGCAATCCGTGTTATCCACGTCGAGCAGGAGTGATCCACCAATGGTGGGGCAGCGGGTGGAGATCATATAGGTAGATCGTTTCTGCGGCCAACCGTTTTACCGTTAGGGTTCGGCATCGACGGTCCCTTTGAATCGCTTTCCGTTTGCCTCCGAAGAGCCTGAGCTCAATTGACTACTTTCGTCCGTCAGATACATACTCAGATGTCTAGGCCGTTCGACGGCTCGAGCCATGGGTAGCTCGGATCGGGGGAGCAGGCTTCCTTTGGCTCATCCGCGCCGGTTCTAGCGGTCGAATCGGTCGTAAAGTTTGGTGAACCTTCTGAGGTGGTATCTCCTATTTACAGCCCGTCTTGGCTCTCTGTAGGTTGGCTCGGCGCGGTCTTTGGACGGCATCTGAACCGGTTGACACTGATGCCGGGGACCCGCGCACAATTCAGCACTCGCACTTCCAGTACTATCGCCCAGTGGCACGTGAAAGTACCTATTGCTACTAACCACCGCTAGCAGGGAATGGATGGGAACTTATTCCCGTTCCTGCATCGTGACGCAGTGTACTTTATGTGTGGGGAACGCCTGGTATGTAGCTAGAGCACCGGCACCCCAGTGAGCAGAAGTGCTCTACCTGTGTAGAGTACATACAGTACACTGCCTTACTCAACTCCATGTAGAGTGGATTCCCTACGCGTCAGCAGTGTCCGCGAGAAAGTGAGGCTTCAGTCGCGGCACTGGAATCTGCGTGGATTCTGCACTGCGGGAGTGACGGAGAGAAGAAGCGTCGTGGCACTGTCGTTGAGCGAGCGCGCTACTCGCCAGCTAAACATCGCTATGAGCTCCTTTATCTCCGTTTGCCGGCTGTGCTCCCGGAGCTTGTGATGATTATTGGCAGCGAGCGGAGAAGTTCACGGCATGGCATGGCATGTGGCCTGGCGTTGGCTACATGCTATCTCCCGCTCGTCTTCTGCCAGTCAAAGCGACAGCTGAGAGTCTTGGACGGGCCGCGCTAGCTTCTAAGCAGCACCCACTGGCATCCAAGCCACACACTCCTCAAACACTCGACTCCTCTCTCCACTTTCTCCTCGGTGCCCTTACCTCACCACCACCACCCCCTCCTCCCCCCTCACAGCTCACCGTATCACGAGGTTTCTTCACGCTTCTCCTAGTAACGCCATAACTCGCAGCGAGAACGACAAGAACCGTCTCCGCGCCACAGGTTCAAATCACGTAACTATTCATCCTGGTACCCCGCCGCCGCCGCCTCTGCCTCCACTCTCCGGACCGACACACACAGAGCTTGCGTCCAGAGAGATATGAAAACAGCTGTCTCGAGTCTCGACGTATAATTCTTTGCACGCTTCTCATCCTCCATTCGACTCAGCTTTCAATTCGACTCCCGTCTCCCTTGCCGTCACCTTCTGTCTCCACATAGCTCCTGTCTCCTTCCGTCTCCTCGCCGGAGAGAATGCAAAGAGCTCGCTTCCCTGCTCCGTCTTGCCGACCGAGAAGAATCGCATTAACACGTACGGCTCCAGCTTCTTCGTCATTGTCGTTGCCGACCGTTGCTCCGTGGCTATCATCGTAGCACGCTCGGAAAGAAAGGAAATCAGAAAAGGAGTCCGGACAGGAACGGACGGAGAGAGAGAGACCAGCGGAGAAACGAGTCGTCATCAATTACATACACCCCCGTACTACCTCACATACTATCCCTACGCCCCACTTCTCGTCCTTCTTCTCTCCTTCACAAAAACAAATAGTCATCTCGTCAGTTCGCCCTTCGCCAACTAATCATCAGCTCGTGACACCACTTCTGCGACCAGCGAAAGAAACCTCCACCTCCTCTCCCCCTCCTCCTCCTCCTCCTTTAGCTCTCCCACTACCACCACTACCACCACTACCACTACTATTGCCACTCCCACCACCACAACTCAGCTTCGAAACATCGAACGAAAGCAAAAAAATCCTTCACGATGCCGCCCCCACGGCTGCAGTCTGTATTTCTATTTCTGTCAATGGTATCGCTTATGCTACTGCTCTGCTATCTTTCGTTTACCACATTCGCCTCCGACTCCCACGGCCAAGCGACCTCTTCCTTCCTGTTTCCTACGTCCGCCGTCATCTCCCTGACCGACGACAACAGCACGTTTTTTATCTCGCGACCCGCCGCGTTCGGCCCCACGCTGCCAAAAAGCGGCTTGGACGGAGAGCTCTTTGTGCTCGAGGAGGGTCAGTTGGCCTGTGACGACGCTCCCGGCTGGGATCCGTCAACCGCGCTAGACCTCTCCGGCATGCCGTTGGTTCCGGAAGGCGCCGGAGAGGACGATGGCACCGACAACAATCTGAATCCGCGTCTGCCGAATACTGCCATCAAGACGTTGAGCGGACATGCCGACATCCAATCGCTGCAGCAGAGTGCTGAGATCGAGGGGAAGATCGTACTAGTGCAGCGTGGAGGCTGCGGATTCTTGGAAAAGGTGCTGTGGACTCAGCGTAGAGGAGGTATCGCATTGATAGTCGGAGACTACAAAAGACCCGGTATCGGTGGTGGCGGTGGCAGCGGCGTTCTGGTGACGATGTACGCTAAGGGTATTTCCCCCTCTTACCAGTGCACCCGCAATCTTTGTTATTTTTTTGAAGGGGGACGATACTGAACTTGACATCTAGGCGATACAAGCAATGTCTCGATCCCGTCCGTGTTTACCTCGCACACCACCGCTGCGCTTCTCACGACGCTGCTTCCTCAGTTCCCTCGCCATCAAGCAGCGGTAAGCCCGTTCCAACCGCAGTCGCTCGCACCGAAACCGTCGCCTACAACGGGCTTCAGCAATGCTCCTCCACTATCTATTCCTCAAGATCCCGCTGGCGACCGGCCTCAGCTCGTCGGCGCACGGATACCCGAGAGATTGGTCGGGCAGCCCCAACCGATCATCACTACGACTACCACCGTCACCACTGTCAAGCCTACCGCCACAGCGGCGGCGATGCGACCCGGAGTGAAATCCCACGTCAAGAAGCCTTTACTCCCGGCAGCCCAGCGTTCCGGTCTGTGGATAACTTTGACGCCGACCACTATGACGTCATCACCATTCTTCGACACACTGCTGGTCCTAGTGGTGTCTCCATTGGTTACATTGACTGTTGTATACACGTTACTACTGATCCGCTCACGCATCCGGAGACGGCGTTGGAGAGCACCGAAGAGTCTCGTCGAGCGTCTGCCGGTCAGAACGTATCAATCGACCGCAACACCCCCGATGAGCGCTACATTTCCCTCTCGCTCATCGTCCTTACCCGCCGCCCGTAGCGGCGACGAAAACGCCGCGACCACCCCACCCCGGAGGTCTCCAACACCACAGGCATCTCAACGAAGCAATACGGATTTAGCTGCGCGGAACATTGGCCGGGCGTTCCACCGTCGATGGAGCGGCTGCAGTGAATGCGTAGTATGCCTGGAAGAGTATGTGGACGGTGTCAGCCGAGTGATGAAACTACCGTGCGGCCACGAGTTCCACGTAGGTTGCATGTAAGGCTTCCCCCTCCCCCCGATCCCAACGATCAACTGCACAACACTGACATTCATTCCCCGTGCCAGAACACCGTGGCTCACAACCCGCCGCCGAACGTGTCCCATCTGTAAAGGAGACGTTGTCCGCGGCGTCCGTGCCATATCAGACCCCGAGACGGCCGGCGACGGCGCAGACGAGACTACACCGTTGGTCATGGGCGTCGAGGAATTTGAAGATGTCGAGGAAGGCGTTAGTGACTGGACACCAAGGGACTTGGAACGGCGTGGATAGGACCACACAAGGCACGCTAGTGTAAGGCTTTGGAGTTTTTGATTTTTTGTCTGTTTTTTTGGGGCTTGAAGTTGGTGTAGGTATTGTTTTGTTTTTTGCTTGTTTGTTAGTGTTTTTGGGGTCTGATTCTTACTGCTTTTTTTTGGCTTATCCATCTCTGGTTTTTGGTTTCTATAGTTGCTCTACTCTATAGTTAGTCTTGGAAGCCTTTTCATTTTGTCTCTTGGGGTGGTTGGTTGGGACCGTTCGGAAGTGTTGATTGATTGCACGATGGTGTACATGCTCGTTGGGACGTCGAGTTGAGTTGGGTTGCAGGCGCATGGGGAAGGAGTAGGAGTAGGAGTAGGAGTACAAAGGAAAGGAAAGGCCCAAGGGCGTGTGTATGTCGGCGTGTGTAAGTCGGCGGTGTATGTCGGCGCTGGAAGGGATGGGATGGGATGGGATGGGGAAGGCAAAGTGAGAGTGAGAGTAATGACATATATAGCCATTTCGATAGTGTCCATCAAGAGTAGGGGATGATGTGGCCTCTAGTGCTCAGAGCTGTAGCAGCCGTTTATGTTTGGAGATAGATAGCTTGATGTGTGCACCGGGAATGGGGAGTGATTCCATATATTTACACCCCTGGTTGGTACTCTAGTTACTGCTAACTGTGGTGCAGCTGCTGGCCGGATAATACGTTACCTACAGGCCGTATGAAACAATAGATTGATGAGTGATCTCTTTCTCTCTTTCTTGTTGTGAAGTACATACCCACTGGAATGAGAAGGCGGCCTCGTCTGTCTGTCTCAAGTTGGACGACGGAGTCGAGAAACCTAGTCTGAACTGCGTCTCGTACCGCAGCCAACCATCGCGGCCTTGCGGTACACGCAGAACAGATACTTTGGCGCAGAAGGAGTGCATACCGTAGAGACCAAAGGTTGCTACCGGTACTGGAGTATAACTACTATCTGATACTACCGCATCATGGTGAAGTCCTTCAATCTGGCGTGTCGTTCCTTTCGTCTGCACATTGGAGCAGTGTTTAGTTACAGTCTACCGGGTTATGCAGGGCTCCTGGACAAATAAAGTACCGCCCTTCAGCCGTTCTCAACTTCTCGTCAGCCTTGACGACTCAATGGAGAAGCGCTGAAACACGGCTAGGCCACTTTGGCTGGTTTGGGAAAATACATGTTCAGCCTCACTCCTTTTTGTATGCAGTTAGTTTACTCCTTGCTGCTACATATAGGGAGAGTTCCTAAATGCTATCATGGGGGAGGAAGGGGGAGGCTGAGGAGGGTGTTGAGTGGGCTACTATACTTTTCATCCTCCTCTGGTATCTAGAGTCCATATCGTGAACTGTTGATATCGACATCATACATACACACACAAATATTTGATTTCACCACTATCGACAAGAACATGACCACCAAATCGACAAACCCCCTCCTGACCGTCCTGCTGGCCAGCAGCCTCCTCATCACCGCCCAAGCCACCGCCGTCCCACGGAGAGCCGACTCCTCGCCCCTGATCAAGGCTCGCTATCTCGAACCCTCGTAACTCGCGGTCCTCCACAGCCTCCAAAAGCGCACAGAAACCTGCGTGAGCGGAACGACCTGCTACGGGACCACAAAGTGCTGCGGCCTGTATTGCTGCCGGGTACCCCCTCTCCCCCCATCCCCCCATCCCGCTGTCCACTGGCAAGTCGAGAAGAAAAAACTGATCCCGAAGCTACATAGGAAAACGAATCCTGCACCGGAATCGACACCGGCGGCCTCCTGGCTATATGCCGTGACGCTTCTGCTACCGCCGCTATCACAACCCGCTACATCGGCGACACCGACACCCCGGGCAGCACCGGTTCCCCCGCCGCTTCCCCCACCACTTCTCCCGTTGCAGCCGCCACCGCCGTCTCCGCGTCGCTCGCAGGTAAGTCCTTCAGCGAGTGGCCCGCAGGTAAGTCCTTCAGCGAGTGGCCCGCGTGGGCAAAAACTGTTGTCATCGTCGTCCCGGTCGCCGCTAGCATCGCTGTCATTGGCATGATAGTCTCCTGCTGCTGCTATAAGTCTCGTAGCAAGGAGGAGGCGGCGAGGAAGAGTGGTGGTCATCCGATGCGGGATTGTGGTGTCGTTGGGGATTCTACCTAGGTCAGAGGTAGAGTGTTCAAGTGTGGATGACGGAGAGGGAGAAATTGTGGATTGTGGAGGTTGCGCTTGTTTTGGTTAATGTTTAGTTGCTTGTGGATGTTCTTGTTTGGAAAGTGGTGATTTATGTACATCTGTTCATGTGGATATCTGATATTTAGATATAGAAAAATTGTATTCGTACGGCATGGAGGCTGGAACCAAAGGGTGTAATACACTCAATACTCCTCAACTTGCTCCGATTAACTACTGGAGTCCTGCTATAGCTACAAATCCACTCTGTTTTACACTACCACTATGTATCGATATTGCACCCATTACTTCTTGTTCAACTTCTCCACCTTCTTCGCAAAGTCGTACACCAACGTCTTCGCCTCGGCACTAATTTTGCAGTCAGTAACGCCGCGGCGGAGAGGATGAGGGGGCGGAGGGATACGTACTCATCCATGTAGATTGTGAAACCGTCGTTGTGGTTCCGTCCGAAGGAGTAACCGGAGTATCCGTACTGCCAGGGCATTTGGCCAGCTGCGAGTAAAAGGTTAGTACGAGGTCGAGTGAGTGATCACTGATGGTCGACGAGGGAACGTACAGAGCTTCTCCTTGAGCCCGATCTCCTGCCATCCTCCCACCGCCTCGGTGCGCGTGATGTTGTCCTGCTTGCCGAGGTACTCGAGTTGTTTCTCGGCCGTCAACCAGCCTGCACGATCGATCGGTCAGTATGTACTCCATGCATACGGGTGGCTATGGACCGACTCACCGTACTCCTCGTGCACCACGGGCTTGCCGACTTTCCGCATACTCGTGGCATGGTCCCGCACCCACTGGTTCCCCCACTCCAGCGTCTTCGTCCACCAATGCGGGTAGCTGTGGAAGACACCATAGTCGATATTCTTGAGCGCGAGCTCATGGTCGAAGTCACTCCCGTCAGCGCCGTTGTACGCCCAATCGTCGCTCACGATATTGAAGGCGCCCTCGCCGCCCCACGTGACCAGATGGTGGGGGTCAACACTCTTGACGAACGTCGACATCTCATCGATCCAGGCGGACATGAGCGCGGGCGTGCAGTTCTCACTGCGGGGGAGGTTACGGACGCCGTCTGCGCCGCAGCGCGGCTCATTGGCGAGCTCCCACGCCATGATCGCCTCCGAGTCCTTGTAGCGGCCCACGAACGCTGCGACATACTTCTTGAACGCGGCCTTGACCGCCGGCAGGCGGTAGAAGTCGTCGTGGTACTTGCCGCCGAGGTTGACGGTGTACACATCCATGCCGCCGTAGTCGGCCCAGTTGTTCGTGAGCGCCACCACAAGCTTCATCCCGGTCTTCTCGGCCGCACGAACGACCTTGTCGAACGCCGGAATCCCGTTCGAGCCCATCTGGATGATCTGCTTGCCGTTGTCGAAGCGCTGGAATACCACCTCGGTGGCCCCGGCACCCTCGCCGCCGTATGCGGGAAGGCCGGTCGCGGACGTCGTTACGTTCTTGTCGTTGAAGCCCCACGTGCGGAATACCTTCAGGCCGGCCTTCTTGGCGACCTTGAGGCCAATCTCGACGTCGGTTTGGTTCTGCTCCTGGCTCAGCACGACGACGACGGATGTACGGATAGGAGGGGAAGGGGAGGACGCACGTTGATGAAGGGGAAATAGTACGCATTGCTCCCCGCGAAGTAGAAGTCCTTTCCGTCGAGCTGGAACTTGGTGCCCGAAGTCGTGACGAAGCCCTTTCGTGGCTTTGAGCTGGGAGCTGCCGCGGCAGAGCCGATGACCGCAAGGAGTGGGAGGAGGTTGCCGATGAGCATTGTGCGATTGTACTTCGATTTCGGACGGGCGGTGAGGGGCTGTCAGAAGATATGGCACGCGATGCCGTCCGTTATATACATCCTTTTTTCTCCGCCTGATTTCGAAGCTCAATCGCTACATTATCCACAAGGCGTGGCCCATGGGGCGATTCGACACTTTGCACATAGCATTTGCAGCGATTCTCCCGGAACCGTCGGCGGGACGTTCCTAGATCATCGACTTCCCCACGTCCGAACAACCGGGGAACTACTGTGCCATGGATCATGGAGTGCATAAGCTGCTGCCAGATGGGCGACAAATCGTTTCGCCAGGGGAGATCGCCATTGTGGTGGATCCAACAACGGTCGTGTGGGGTAATCTAGCGCGGGTGTACCTTGCAGTCAGTTTTGCCGGAGACGAGTTGGCGAACGTGCCAAGGGTGGTGTCAGGTGAGTGCGGCCCGGTTTCCCGCTCTAGGACACTTTCTGGATATTAGCTGGCGGGGAAACGTGTGATTTGCTCCGTAAGTCAAATTGGTCTGTGGGCGGGGTGGATCCAAAAGGATAAACAAAACACCGAACGCCTTCCCCGCCGCATCACCCCACCCCCCACCACACCGCGACCGCCGACCGCTACATACAAACACCTGACTGTCTAGTGTCTCATCCCGTCCCATCCGTGGTACACCGTGTCGTCGTCCATATCCCTCGAGCCCCTCTTGAGCTTCCCTTCACCCCGCCCGACCCCCTCCTCGTGCTCATCATCGTCGACCAGCTTCTTCCTTACGGCAACATCGTCCTTGACTGCCTTCTTCTTTTTCCAGATGAGATAGGCGGCCAACAGTCCACCGAGCACGAGGATACCAATGACACCGCCGATTATCGCGGCGGTCCGCGTTCGCGAGTTCGAGGAGCTAGCAACAGCCTACCCATCAGTGCTCTGTCCGCGAGATGGAGACAGGAGAGGATGCAAGGAGAGGGGAGACGAACTCTGGTCGTGAACTGCCGCTGGGCAGCGACACGCGCGGCTTGGGCTTTGTTACTTTGATATTCTTGGAACCGCCCGAGACCGGGGTGGCGGGGATGGCAGATGCTTCTTGGATCGCGAGGAGGAGCGCGAGGAGCGCTAGCAATTGCTGGGTGCCGGTATTCATCGTCATCTTGGCCGTGGTCTGTGGAGAGCAGTGCAGTGCTTGGAAGCTCGATCGGGTGCTTGGGGGTACGTTGTATGAGGAACAGGAACTCTTGGAAGCTCGTGGGTGGAGAGAGAAGTGCCTATTTATTTCCCCTCACCTTCCCCGCTCATGTGGTGGCCTATCCTCATAGGTTCACTACATATCGTCGTTGATCTGCAGACTGCAGCTAGATAAATTAATAGGCGAACGCCCCCGTGGGGCTGAACTTAATCGATTACTCGTCCAGTGAACGATTACACCGCATTGCACTGCCACTGCGGTTGCTCCGACCAATCGGAGCACGCGTATGTGCGTGCGGTATGCAAGGCGGCTACCGCAGGTACGCCAAAGGGACGATAGGGCTGACTTTTCAGCTGTAAGATACCGTCCGGTATACTTACCGAACTCTGCGCAGACGGCGGTCACTCGCAGAAACCACCATCGGGCTTCGGCGATCAGTCCTTCCCTCGGTCGAACGCTACGATGATAAGCCGAAGGGGATGTGCGTGGAGGTTGGAGAGGGAAACTTTTGTAGCAGCCCGCAACAGCTGCCCCATTGTTGTGCTTGCATGCTGTGTCATGGCGTGGCTAAAGTCTCAACAGGCGTGGCTCCGGGCCGGTGATCTCGCGCAGTCATTTCAGCAATATTGATGCAATAGTTGTGCTGGCGAGATGGGTCATGTGGTTGATTTTGTCTCGGACTCGGCCGAATGCGACAATCAAGATTTTCCGGATCGGCATGACACAAGATTCTATCGCGGGAGATGGACGAATGGGAACAAAATTGCTGTGTCAGTAACAGTATTGAACTGACGGCTTGTGCGCAAACCGGTCCAATCGACGAGCGCCTTCTTGTTGTGTTGCGCCTCCTGGGCATGTCCTATTCGGTCGCCCGCTCCGCCTCTTGCCGCAGTGGTTTCTGCTCGGCCATCCAGGCACCGCAGTACTTGGAGAGGTGATATGACATGGTTGTCATATTGCGGTTGGCATCCCTACAACCTTCTACCGTCGATCTTCGTATTTGTTTTCTATTCTTACTTCGTCAATCGCAGCCAGCGATATTCTGTTGTTTTGTTTAGTCATAATGAATTTGACCAATCTAATAGATCTTGGCACAAGAACTCTGAGTATCCTGTCTGCTGTCGCCTACGATCTTTTCTTCTCCGAAAGTGTGACGAGTGATATTGAGTGCAGCACTGTGGTTCGAACGCGGCACCAAAAGCAAAAACCATCACCACCCTCGGTGGATGGCTTGGAAACCCCAAGAGCCGAATTAAAGGGTTTTCACCTGGTTGAACCCGTAATCTACATTCAGCTCCCCTCGCCGATTGCGTGGCCTAGACCGGTGGGCCCCGCGGGGGTTTTATCCGTGACGGGGACGGGAAGTCGAAAATTATGAACTACTCGTGGTAACAACCGATGTACGGGCACGCAGACAGCGACGGCCGAGATCCGCCTACTCGATCGTTACCTCCATCTTGACGATACCTACATGCGGTGGTATCGGTGTTTCCACGCATTATCCATCTACTTCCACCACCACCTCTCCTCTCTCCTGTTCTTCCTCCTACGCTTCCACTTTTTTTCCTTCACCGGGTCACTGTCATCCCTCGCTTGTTCTACACTCTCAATCCGAATTTCTTCTTCTTCTCCTTCGCTCATCCATTCCGGAGCATCATTGTTCTTTTCTCCTAGCATATTGCTGTGAATCTTACCGATGGCCAGCATTTGCTCTGCCCACTTGCCAGCGCGCATGAACCTACCTAGAAGTTTCCAGTAGGTAGCGTTCGTTCTCCCTTTCTGCCGCTGCACTGCTGAGTAAAGTACCTACTGGTGCAGACATCTGACCGGATCTTCATGACCACAGTCGCCACCCACCATATTGTGCCTACATAATCTCTTAGAGTTATATGCAGTTTCAGGCAGCCAGCCGATCATGGGATATCATTCATCCTGCGCCACCTCGGGACTACGCCATCTCCAGTTAGGGGTGCCACTTTTACTGGTGGGGGGAAGAGAAGGGACCCCGCTCTTTTACCCCACGATTTAGCCAGGCTTCCAAGGCGGAACCAGCAACAGAGCGTACATAACAGAGGAGTAACAGCTGTGATCTACTGAGGTTCAATGCTGCTGTGCTATGATGATATGTAAAACAAAAATAAAAAGCTGCAGCATTGAGTGCCATTGACTTTTGACTCTTGAGTCATTGACTCGCTTCGCCGGTACCGGGCCTCTAGCGTACTCTAGCCTCGCGCATGTCGCCGCACACAGCCGCATGGCCCAGTCAGCTCCTAAATTTGTAGCCTCGGGATAGTGATAGATATGGCGCAGTCGGAGCCTGAATGCCTACTGTGATAGTCCGCAGCTTAAGTCGCACCGGAATGTATATATCAACCTCATGTTCCACCGTTTCCATATCGTAGAACAACTTCTTACCAAGGTATCACCGTTCGGCCCCTCGACTAACCACACCGGAAACCCTCGACGATGGAAGCAATCGGCGCCGGAGCAAACGTCATCGCGGTGGTGAACCTCGCGGCAAAAGTCCTCGCGGCAGTCTACAGCTACGGCGAGAGCGTCAAGGATGCGCCCAAGGTGATCGGGCTACTGCTGCAAGAGCTCTCGGCTATCAACCGAACACTCGGCGGCCTGCAATGCCTTGTGGCACGCCTCGAGGGCGATCGTAGGGCGCAGCAGCAGGGCCAGCCACTCATGATGTCGCAGCTCGGATCGCAGGGCACTAGCGACACGCTGGAGGAGTGTCGGACTACCCTCGGCACGATGCTGGCTCGCCTCGAGGACGATCGTGGCGACAAGATCAGCATGAAGCTTGGCAGACGGCTGCGGTGGCCGCTGCGGGAGAAGGAGGTCATGGTGTATATCTCGCAGCTGGAGAGATACAAATCGACTTTCACCATGGCTCTGTCTTCGGATTCTGCGTGAGTTATTGCCGATGAACCGATCGCCGATGTTTTGTCGTGAACTCGTGGCGCTGATATACCTATCCCGACTGTAGGATGATGATTGCGGAGGTCAAGGATGTTCTCGCCGAGATACGCACCGAGAAGCGGAAATTTGACGACGTAGATGCGGCACGTATGCAAGGTAGGCTCTCATACATTCGGTCCGATGAGGGGGTTCGGTTCGCCGAGCTAACCGCATGAACTATCCAGAGTCGAAATCTCAGAAACTCGTGGGCTGGCTCAAACCGCTCGAGTACAACGTCAAACACGAAATCTCCAGCCGCCAGCGCCAGAAAGATACCGGCACATGGTTGTTCGACGACAGACTTTACCGCCAGTGGGAAGAGGCCGACGAAGATGGGTCCCAGCTGTGGCTTCATGGCATACCCGGGAGCGGGAAGACTATACTTGCGTGAGTATCCTAATCTAATCTGTGGGGGTGGGATTGATCCGGTGCTGATTGTGTACGTATTCAGATCCAATGTGATAGATCGGCTCCAGACAACCCTGCCGGAGGATCACGGTTTCGCATACTGTTACTGCGACTTCAGAAACAGCGCGGCCTCGAACCAGGTCAACATCGTCCGGACACTTGCAGCCCAGCTACTCAGCGGATGGAACCATGCGTCGACCGAAAGGTTCGAAGACCTGTTCGTCAGGATGTCGAAGGGACAGACACCGCCCTCGACAGTTGATCAGCTTCAAGACCTTGTATTCAGAGCGGCAAAGTTACGCAAAAAGAATACCATCGTAATCGACGCCTTGGATGAGTGCAATGACCGCGAGGATCTGCTGTCGTTCATCGCGGCACTGCGAGACGAAAGGATCAACGTGCTGGTGATCAGCAGGTACGAGCAGGATATTTTGGACTACCTCGAAGATTTCCCCGCCATAGATCTGAAGAGGGAGGTCTTCAATCTGACCATCGACATGCGGAAACACGTCGAGGAGGAGTTCCAGAATAAGAAGCGGTGGGGACGTGTTCGGAAGGATATGCAAGCAGAAATCAGCGCATCTCTGCTGGAGGGGTCCGAAAACAACATGTAAGTAACGTATCCGGGAAAGTGGCGGGCGAATGCAGTTGCATACTCACATCCCCGTAAGGTTCCGGTGGTTGCAGTGTCAGCTTGATCTTCTCTGCAAGATCAAAACCAACAAGGGAATCCGGGAAGCGCTATCGCGCCTCCCACAAGGTTTATTCGAGACGTACGACCGTATTCTCGAAAATATCGATCCGAACTGCGAGGAGCTTGCGCAAAAGGCCATTCTGTGGATTGCCGCTTCGGCCCGACCGATGCAATTGGATGAACTCGTGGAGGCTATCGCGGTCAATGAAGGCGAGCCTACTCTCGACTTGGATTCTACCGTGAATGATGGTCGCGACCTCCTCGGCATCTGTGGCAGCTTGTTCGAATGCGACAGATTCAAAAGTACTAGTATTGTCAGCCTCTCTCACTATTCTGTCAAGGTATGTAGCTAGGTCCCCATGCTGAATAGCTAAATCGGTCCATTTTCTGCCAGCTAATTTGCTTGTCGTCTGGCGCCATAGGAGTATTTAGCATCCGAATATCTAAAGAACAATGAGCGTCTCAACCGATACGCCGTATCCTTTCCCGAAGCCTATATTAAGTTGGCAGCATACAGCTTGTCGTATCTCCTGCTGGACGATTTCTCCGAGGGACCAACCACCGAATGGGAAGACATCGATGAAGTGATGCAGGAGCACAAACTTTACCAGTACTGCATCTTCAACTGGTCCAAACACGCTCAGCAAGTTCCGGAAAACGACGAAATCTTCAAGCTTTTGGAGACCTTTTTCTTCCACGAACCAAAGAAGTTTGCCTGGTTCGAGCAGGTTCGGCATCTCACGAAATCGTATTTCAGGGGTTGGGCGTCCCCGGAACATGTTTTCAAGAACGTAGGCCATCCCGACGACGCCGGGCCGCTATTCTACGTTGCCGACGAAAACATCCCTTGGGTCGCTGAACGCCTGCTGAAAGACCACCCCGAGTTCCTAGAGGAAGAAGTTGGCACACAAGGCACTCCACTGCTGATCGCGACGCTGGCACACAACACGGATGTGGTACGGCTCCTGCTGGGGTTCGGAGCAGATATGCACAAAGGAAGCCAACGTTATCACGAGCGAGGGCTGCGTCCTCTGTGGGCAGCAGCGAAACGCGACTACATCGAGATTTTCGACATGATGATCGCCGCCGGCGGCAACAAGGACATCCGCTCTTTCACGAACGAGCACATGATCCACATCGCGGCGTTCGAGGAAGCAAAGTCGGTCCTTGCACGACTCATCCAACTCGGAGTCGACGTGGACACCCAATCGGCAGACGGCTCCACGGCTCTTCACTGCGCTGTCCGAGCGGCCTCCCTACCTGTCGTGCAGATGCTCGTCGAAGCCGGCGCCGATGTCAAGGCCCGCACAAGAGTGGGACAGATGACTCCGATGCACATCGCGTTCGTGCTGCACAACGCCGGTATTGCAGAATACCTACTCTCGCAGCTAGCTACAGACGACATTGAGATCCTATCCGACATCCAGCCCGCCGATCTGCAATGGGCCGCGCATCTCCCGTGGTACCGGGAGATCGCTCCAGTCCTGGGCCGTACGGAGGCGCAGCCGACAGTAGTATCGCTCACGCCAAACGACTGCTTGTATATCATGTCTATCTTGACGCAGTTCCTGCCGTTGCCAGAGGAGGTGATCCTCGGAATCATGGATCACGCAGAGGTATGGACGCACAAATCAGGCCGTCGACACGAGGTGATCTGTTTCGAGGCGGAAACGGAGCAGAAGGAGTCGCACATCTCCCTCCCCGTCGATGCGTGCGGGAAAGGGTTGAAAAAGGTGGTCTTCCGCACCAGATCTCATGACCAAGGTATGCACCTACCTGTTTCTCGCTTCCTCCTGTTGCTTTGCCGCTTGCTGACGACCCGTTACAAGGCTGGAGCAGCGACCAGAAGTGGCAGGGATCCTACAGCCGTTCCTTCTCGTGGTTCGAAGCTCGGATCGCAACGCCCACAGCGGGCGGCGAAGAGCTCGTTGCGCGGGATGATATCCCGCCCGACATATCCAGCACAATGTCCACGCCAGCTGGGAAGCGAGACACCACACCATCGTGTGGGATGTGCGAGATGGGATTCCGGGCAACAAGGAGTGGCTGGAGCTTGTGAGGCCCGGCGATGTCGTGCAGGTGTTCCCGATGGCGCAGTATTCCGGGTGGCAGAATCACGTGGAGCATGTGGAGATGGATGTTTACTGTGCTGTCTGAGGGCTGGGACGGTTTGGGAATCGTTTGTAGCGCCTGTTTTGTAATTATGTACATATTTGAGCGTGTAGGGTCATGGATGGAGTTTTTTTGGGATGTTTTTTCCCCACCACCAATTACGTGCGGCCTGTAAATCGTTTGGAGCCTTGTGACAAACATCTGCTCCGCAATTACTAGAGTAATCGCGTGATGAATTGTGATTCCGCGCGGATCTGCCAAGAGCCATGCGGCTCCTTAGGTAAGTACCGTGTTCTCCAAGGCCGCTTGTCACGCCGGCACCGTCAGCCCGCCTCCACACCGCGCTGGCGAGCTGACTGTAGCGTCGTCCGGCGGGCAAACGAGAGCGTAACCGATCGCATAGAGTACGGCACCCCAGTCCCTAGTAACTACGGCACCGCCCTGAATTCCACGACCAAGCTTTCAAGCTTCAAGGGAGACGCCGCTTCTGCAACTTCTGCTACTGCTGCTGCTATGATACTGCTGCTGCAGCTTCTGCAGTGATGCTGGCGCGTAAATAGATCACCGGATCGATCTGCAAGCCCCTTGTGCTTGTGTTTCTTTCAAAACATGGTTTTGTGGAAAAGTCTTCGTCTCCGACCACGACGACTACGCACGTGGCCGCCACTTTCTCGTTTGAGCTTTGACATGTGAAGTTGTGAACTGCGATGATGGCGTATGTTTGTACGCCGATCGCGGTGGATGGCGATGGCGATGGATATGAATGGATACCATATGGATGGCGATGGGTCTGGCGAATTACCTAATCGCCGTTTGAAAAGTGCTGGCTTGTTCTTGTTTTGTTCTTGCTCTTGTACCTGCATGGTGATGGTTTTGATCTTCCCTCCTCCAGAGTCCAGGCTGTGTACTTTAGGTAGGTGCTATATTTACTCTGGGCCGCAGTGAACTTTGAAGTTTGGAAGAACAAGGCAGCGCTCCCGCGGGTGCTAGGAAGAGAGAGAGCGAGTACGGTAGAGGGGGTAAATATCTGGTACCGGCACCAAGTATCGGCCAACTCGTTTCAACTTTCGGTACCGGGGTAACTTTGGGGAAAATGAGGAATCCAGAGGATCGTACAATCGACGGCGCCAACTGTCTCATGGATTCCTCTGGCAAAGAGCACCACGAACGGTACTGTCGGTCTAGTTTCCGGCGATATATCAGTACGTTGCCCGTAGGTATATGGCAGCGTTTTGTACCGGACCAAAAAGTCGAGTCGTTCGGACCGAGTGCTGCGACGTGTTGGCTCGAGCCATTGAGTCTAATTTACTCCAGTCATTTATTCGTTGACTGCTCACGACGGAGTCTTAATCTCTCCGACTGGGGATCGTTTTTCGATGTTTCGCACCCCCGGCGAACAAGCCCTGGATCACCGTCTACCAGGCGGCGAGCGGCACTGCCGATCCCTCAGACATGACGAAACGCTTGTTGTGGCGGCGGGCTCGGATGACGTCGCTAGGTGGGTTGCCGCGTGGGGGATGGAAACTACTCTGTGCGCGTACCGGAGATCACTGCCGTCTCCCATCCCGGCAACCAAGTGCTTGTGTATGTACGACCAACCTTGCCCGCGCCGGTATCGATGTGACACCAACAAGAAAGCGGCGAGCGTAACTATGCCGTCACCATGACGGCGGAAACGCGACGACGACGACTCGACTCTCACGCCTTCGCGTCGCTCGATGCGGCCATTGGCGGACGTCGGCAGTGGCGGAGGCTGCGCGCGCTGGGGAAAAGCGGGCGTGCAGAAACGTGGGAGCCGCAGTGCTGTACTCCGTGAGCGTACGGATGATGTCACCGACGACATCGGTGCAGCGAAGCAGCGGAACAAGCCCGTCGCCTTCAATCGGGCTGCCGTGTGTGTATGTGGCCTTGATGGCAGGAAGTAGGCAGGTCCCTCCATCGAGAGCTGTATGTAGATCAATTGTCTCCGGCATGAATGGGGCAGACATAAAGCCATTGCGTTTCCCGCCTTCACTCCCATTCTTCTTCTTCTCCTCCATTCCAAACACAAACACATTCACACTCCGCAACATCCAATTCCTCACACTCCAACCAAAAAAACACATCTTCACTCCACACATCCACACATCTACCCAATATGTCCAACATCATAAACAAAGTCAAGGAAACCCTGGGCGGTGGCAACACCACTCACGACACCACCCACGACACCACCCACGGCACCACCACCACCGGTGTCCATTCCAACACCCACACCACCGCCGGCCCTCACAGGACCGACGCCGCGAACAAGGCCGACCCGAGAGTCGACTCGGACCGTGACGGCCGTGGCGCCGGATTCGGCTCCTCGCATACCGCCGGTTCCACAAACGTCGGCCCACATTCGAGCAACCTTGCCAACAAGGCTGACCCGAGAGTCGACTCGGACCGCGATGGATCCCACAACCTGGGACCCAACAACCTCGGCACTGGCACCCACAACCTCGGCGCTGGCACCATGGGCTCGCTCGGCACCGGCACCCGCAGCAACGATTTCGACCACCACACCCACAACACCCACAGCACCGCCGGCCACACTGGCGGCCTCAGCGATGCCTACCCCATCGGCACCAACAAGACGTCGGCCAACGCCGGCCCGCACTCTTCCAACGTTGCCAACAAGGTGGATCCCCGTGTCGATTCGGACCGTGACGGCCGTGGTGCCGGATTCGGCTCCTCGCATACCGCCGGTTCCACAAACGTCGGCCCACATTCGAGCAACCTTGCCAACAAGGTTGACCCACGTGTCGACTCCGACTTGGACAACCGTGGCCACGGAACCCACGCTGGCACCACTGGCATCCACAACACCCACAACACCCACAACACCCACAACACCCACAACACCCACGATACCCACAACACCGGCCACACCGGTCTCGGCGATGTCTACCCCATCGGCACTAACAAGTCAACCAACCACGGCCCGCACAGCTCCAGCCTTGCCAACAAGCTCGACCCCGCTGTGGACTCGGACCGCGACCACCGTGGTGTTGGTACTACTGGTACTCACGGCACCCACGGCACCACCACGACCGGGCCTCACACTTCCACTGCCGCCAACAAGCTGGATCCCCGTGTCGACTCGGACCGTGATCACCGTGCCACCGGTACCACTGGCGCCTTTGGGTCTAGCCACACTGCCGGCTCGGGCACCACTCATGTGGGTAACACGGGCACCACGGGCTTGGGAACGCACTCGGGCACCACTGGCACTCACCACAACGCCCCTGTCCAACTGAACGCCGGCCACACTCCCGCTGGAGGAGTCGTTTCCGGCGCCCACGGTACCCACGGTACCCACACCGGCACTGGTACTCACGGTACTCACACTGGTACCGGCACCCACGGAGTCACCGGCACCCACGGCCACTCGACCAACGCCGGTCCCCACTCCTCCAACGCCGCCAACAAGGTTGACCCCCGTGTCGACTCGGACCGGGACCACCGCGCCAACCCTACCGCTTCCCACACTGGACCCGCTCCCAACACCGCCGGTCCCCACAAGAGCGACCTGATGAACAAGCTCGACCCGCGCGTCGACTCGGACCTCGACGGCTCTAAGACGTACGGCGGCGACAAGACCCACACCGGCACCACCGGAACCAACACCACCACCCACTACTAAGCGGGTCCGCCTAGCACTTGACGACGACATGATTGCTTGATTTTCGTTGTGCTTTTCTGTTTGGGACTGTGATCGTGGGAGTTTTTTTTTCTTTCTTTTTTCATGTATTGGGATTTTCGGGATGGGATGGGATGGGGGAAGGCAATGGCCATGGCAACGGATCTGATGGGATGCAGCATCCTGTAATCTGTAACATTAGTGAATTGTATGCACGGATTGCTACAACTTTGATGCTTTTTGTGACTAAACCTGATGTGACTTGATACGATCGCGATTGTTTTTATCTTCATTGTATGCCTGCGATACAATACCCCGCACTCTAACAACGAACCACAGCGGTGAGGTCAGGTATTCTCGCTACTTCCTTCATCGTACTGACCTCTAGGTCTATGCAATCCCAACCCTCTCACTTCAACTCATCATCATAGCCTTCTTAGAGAAGATTCGAAGTCATATCGAAAATGAAAACCGATAGCAGCTCATCCCTCCCTCGCTCTCCCTCACCCTCCCACAACACGGAACACACACACAGCAATCAGCCGGCGACAGTATGCTCCTCACGAGTACGAGTGCATCGAAGGAAATACACAGTTGATAGGCGGGCCTAAGGAATACCTACCATAGTATTTGTTCGATCTATTCAAATCCAATTATCTCTAGCAAAGCTCACACATCTTTCATCCGCAATCGAAGCAAAACAGCGCGCTAAACCCCCATCGAAACCAACCCCCTCGAGGACAGGACAGCGATCGAATAGACGCCCATACGAGGTAGAGTATCCGGGAGATTACAAGAATATTCAAGGCGTCTGGTAACCCGTCAAGTCCCGTCTAATCCCGTCCGGTTCCGGCACTTCTGCGGTGCTGATGCGCGGTTCTCATGCGCGGTTCTCATGCGCGGTTCTCATGCGCGGTTCGCATGCGCGGTTCGCATGCGCGGTTCGCATGCGTGGTTCTCATGAGCTTTGAATGCGCGTTAAATGAACCATCATAGAGACAGACGACGAACGACAGACGACGGACGACAGATGACAGATGACAGACGATAGAGTACTGGGAGATGACGATGGTATTGGAGCGCTGCACTTGATGGCGCGGAGGGACTGGTCAGTGGTGGCGGTTGGCCGGGAATGGCGTAGGGAATGGTGGTTAGAGAATGGCGGTTAAGGAATGGCGGTTAGGAATGGCGGTTAGGGATTGGCGGTTAGGAAGTAGCAGTTAGAGATCAAAAGTCGTGGTTCTCGAGATTCCAACCTACCTACTATAAGTGTTCGTGTATTTTTGCGAGTACTGTACCGGTAGTAGTATCAATCTCCCTACCGTCGCCAGCTTCCATCCGATCAGCCTGATCCTCGAATGCGTGGATTCCCTCGAGTAATCAGCCGGTTCCTACCGGTCAGCGGTCACAGCACTACCTTCAGTAGTCACTCGCTAGAGGGTTGGATGAAGGAACTCGACCAACGCACTCACTAGCACTCACTCGTCAATCTTCACCAGCCAATCAACCACTTCGAGAAGCCAATTTACCTCCGAGGACATGGAGTGACGGAGCGCATGCTTCCCGTTCGTAGGCTTCCCATCGATCCCCACCAACCCAACCAACACCACCGCACCACTTCCAACATCTTTACCGCAAACCACGCCCAGACCAGACCGCGTAGGTGTATCACTCGCACGAAGCCGTCTCGCACTGTCCGCCGCACCCAGCTCCCCTCACCGCCGACGCCGTAGCCGTAGCCGCGGTCGATACACCACGTTCCAACTCCACCGCGGACCGCCTGCGAGAGCGGCGAGTGAGAGAGGCGAGTGATGTCCCATGCCCGCCGGTTGCCCGCTCTCTTCGTCGATATCGACGCACACTTGCGCTCTAGAGAGTACTCTCGGCACATCCACTCTCCCTCTCTCGCGCTCTCTCGCTCTCCTGCGCTCCTGCCATCTACGGCTCCGCGCAGCTCAGCCTGGCTAGAGCTCGTATGCACCAGCCACCCCGAGCTGGTGCTGGTGCTGGTGCTCACCGGCGCCGGCTCGAGATCGGCTCTCCACGTAGAGTATGTAGTGCATGTGCGGATACGAGGGCTGGGCGGTGGCTGGCTGGGCGATGACTGCAGTACTAGGTAGGTAGTACATATGTAGATAGGAGTGCGGCTGGTGGGTGGGTAGGTGTCGGTGGAGGCTGGATGTTCAAGTGGGAAGGGAAGGGTGTGGTATAGATATTCCGGCGGTGAAGGTGGGAACTTCTGTGTAGAGATTAGTCGTATATCTGTCTGTGCATACAATATCTCTAGCTAGTTCGCTGGCTCGCTGGTCGGTGGATGCTGCTCGGTGGATACTGTATGCTGGTATTCCAGTAAGCTGTAAGCTGTAATCAACTAGTTAGTGGCGGCTTCCTGTCAGCCCTGCGGCTTTATTCCTGCCGAGCATCCACGGCTCACGGTTGGCAGGACCACGGTTGGATGGACCATGGGGGGATGGGAAGGGTAGTCCGTAGTCGGCACCGCGGGGACGGGAAGACGTGAAGGAGTGAAGGCGTCATACAAACGAGTGTGTAGTAGATATTTCCTCGCGATCGGACAGCGCGGGCCCGCCGTGCCACGATATCGTCAGCATCGCTTCTGTCAGCGACGTATCTAGGCTGTCTGAACCACGGTCGTGTCTCGTATCACCGTCATCCGTCACGGCTGCACAGTGCAAGCACTCGTAGTTCCGTGTAGCTATGTACCAGTACACACAATTGAGTTTCAAAATCCACAGGCCTCTCTTGCTCTGCTGTAGCTACCCACCTTTGTATCCATCATCGTATCTACCTAGGTATTATGCATACTCCGCAACGTTGCATCGCTGATCTCGGAAACCCACCCTTCCACCCATCCGCGTCCAGGATGTATGTTATGTATGTAAGATTTGAGTTCGTGAACCCGGTGGGCGGGGAAATGCGCTTGTATGTAGAATGTAGGTACTCTATCCGTTTTTCCAGGGGAGCGGTGAATGACACATCTTCACCTCGCTTCGAGTGAGCGAGTGATGTGGCGTGAAGGACAAAGGACAGAGGGCTCAGTACGACCGCATGAGGGGTTAAAATAGGTATTTGAGTACTTCGCTTGGCAGGTTGGGCTAAGCTGACCGTTGACGGCTGAGTTTTTGGATTTTTCACTTCTTCTTCGTCTGCTGTAAGCGCATTACAAAGCCGCCGCAGCATGGCGCACCGGGCTTGGGCAGTGGGCGAGAAGCACATATGAGGTATGTAGCCAAGCAAATATGTATTTAGCAGTGTACCTATTCAGTGGTGTGTTTATCAAGGCCACATTTGCAATTGCGACTCGTGAGTCGTGAGGCGCGAGTCGTGATAGGCTATAAAAAGATCGTCAGGGACTGACTACTTGGCAAGTCGCAGCAGCGCGCTAATTGGTTGGAACCCACTTCGGCGCTCGGTAGGTTTCTCGCTCGCTCGCTCGCTCGCGGTCTCCTCACAGGCCTGTAACATACTCTACTCTAATCCGGTGGCGTTAATTCAGATTCAGGGCCGACGGGTTCGCTCAGTATCAGTCGCGCGGGGGGATACGGGGCTGGGTCTCCCGTCCCAAATTCCCAAGTCCCAAGCACATTCCGTGTTTCGCACTGCAGGGCGCGGTGCGGCGCAAAAATACGCCGGTGGGATATGCTTGCCCTACTACTATATCTCTGGTTAGTAGTGCCAACCATGTAGGGTACTTACAGCCCACCGGTACCGCTGCGCTGCTGCCTGCAGAGTCCAGATAGACATCTCGGTTTATTGGGTAGGGAGGTATATTAAGGTACTCTTGGCGGAGCAGGGCTGTCTGCGCGTGCAGAGGATTTCACTCGTCCGCTGCCTTACCCCAGCGTGTAGGTCGTTACCGGTGCTGTTCTGTGCTGGCGGCCTTAAAGCTGAATGTACATACACACCGGACTTGTGATGTGATGGGCTTGCAGCGCCTCTCTTCCTCTTTTCCCCTTCGCTCCGGATTGCGGCCTCGCCTGTAAGCCGAAGCAGGTGCAAATGCGAATTCAAATGCTGTCTGTGCACCGACTGCCGATCGGTGGTGGAATCGCTGAAGCTGAAGCGGAAGATGAAGATGATGGTGAAGACGAAGACAAAGAAGACGACCATGACGGCGTAGAGTAAGAGGGTACAAAGGGCTCGCCGATGCGCACGCCAGATACCTATCAGCATCGTAATCATCATCTTCTTTCCTACTATCGCCACGACCAACGCCTTCACGTTGATCCAATAGGTAGTCCGATACATAGTAGCCCGCTCCATAAACACCACAAATACCACCGCACTGCAAATACCACATCACCACAAATACCACAACTTCCGCAATCACCACAAATACCACAACTTCCGCAATCACCACAATCACGCCCTCGCCTCTCCCAGTCGACTCCGCGCATTTCGGTTCGTTCGTTCGCACACCATACTTTCACACTTTGAAGGAGGCGCTGTTTATTTCTGAGACAACCTGAACCAAAGCGGCCCCCTCCCCCATTCCATTGCAGCCGCCGCCCCCCCTCCCTCACCCCGACCTAACCCTTACCTGTGCCTGTACCACCACCGCATCCGTTGCTGCTGCTTACCTTAAAACCACCGCGTGTTCCTGCATCGACTTTCGACTTTTCCACTCGCACTCACTCACTCACATCACCCGTCACTTTCTGCTTCCGTTTCTTTACGCACTCTCTCTCCCGTTTTCACTTCGAAGCCCTAGTCCACTCCTTTCAAAGATCAACTTCGACTCGAACCTGAATTCGCCTACAAAAACGTTCCGGTAACGGTCAACAACAACAACACTCGCTCCGAAAACCAACCACCACCGCAACAACACCCATAATAATCACCATCATGAAGTCCTTCGTCTCTCTCGCGATTTTCGCTGCGTTCGCTTCCTCTGCCCCCTCGGGCACGCAGCTCCTCGCCAAATCCGCTGCCTCCACCTACCCCGGCGCTGCCCTTCTCGGCAGCACCATTGAAGGATGTTCCGTTGACTCCAGGGGTGGCATGTACGCCGTCAACCAGACTCACTTTGTCTCACTCACGGACGCTAGCATCTCCAAGCCCCTCCTCGTTGGCGCCGGCGGCACCGAGAGCTTCTTTGCCTCGTCGCGCTGGACCTGCAGCATGGGTGCGCTGGTCGGCGATGCAGCCGCTCACAAGGTCTGGAAGGCCACCGGCGCTGCCACCCTCTTTACGGAGAAGGGCATGGTCCAGCCGAACGACTTCACCGTCTCCAAGTGCGAGAAGCGCATGTATCTCGCCGGCATGAACTACACCGCCAACACCGGTGACCTCTGGTACTACGACGTCGCCAAGGGCAAGGCCGTCGCTGTCCCCGTTCCCGTCGGCACCGAGACCTTCCGCATGAACGGAGTCGAGCTGTCCCCCGACGACAAGACGCTCTACGTCACCTCGGCCGAGAACAACGCGAACGCGACCCAGGTCCTGTCCGCAAAGATCTGGAAGTTCAAGGTCGACCCTGCCACCGGTATCCCCAGCTCCCCCGAGGTCGCCATCGATCTGTACAAGACGCTCGAGGCCATGAGCCCGCCGCTCGACCCCAAGACGGCCGGCATGGACCCCGACGGCATGCGCATGGACAGCAAGGGCACCCTCTTCATGACTCTCAACGCCTTCGGCAAGGTCCTCGTGTGGGACACCAACGGCCCGACCTGCAACGCCAAGGTGATCGATCTCGAGACGATCCAGAACCCGACCAACCTCGAGCTCGGAGGAGCCGACGGAAAGACTCTGGTCGTGGTCGGCCGTTGCCGCGCCGATCTCGCCACCAGCTGTGTCGATAGCTACGCCCACAACACCGCCGGTCGCGCTTTCACCAACCTGCAGGGAAAGCAGTGCACCACCGCGCCCAAGTCCAAGAGCTACTACTAGGTGTGTAGAAAGGTGTACACGGACGAGGAGGTGCCAAAGGAGTACGTGAACAACGACGGGGAGGACGTGTCGAGGGCGGACGTGAATGAGGTGGAGGACGGGCCAACGTGCAGCACGTGAACGAGGAGATACCTGTATAAATATCATAGCATGGATTGAATCGGGTGTTTTTTTCTTTTCCTTTTTTCTTTTTTTCTTTCCCGTGGGTTGTTGGGTTTGCAGTTCGCGGGGGGTGTTTTTTTGTTGATACGCAGGGAAGGAATGATGATGGAGATATCTACAATAATGAAATGGTGATGATGGGCTGGTACAAGAATTTTTTGGGATCTCGTGACTACCGGCAACGTGAAATTCGCGCTCGTAACCGATACTGCCCCATGTGTGCTCGTGGGGGGTGACGCTCGCAAACAATACTGCCCGTGTGCTCGTGAGAGTAGAATTATTTCGGCCTCGGCGCAGGACCCGCCTGCCCGTGGAAGTAGAATTATGTCGGCCCGACGCAGGACCGCCTGCCCGCATTCTGCGCTCATCTCACAGTATACATCTTCTACATGAGTATATAATGCACCAAAACGCAAGAGAGTCAGCTCGCCCTCCGCAAAGTTCATGCTTCCTTAGTCATCACGCAGCATCACCAGGACTCCCGAGTCTCCGGAGTCTATTATGTATCCTCCTCATCCTCGTCCTCGCCGAGCCCCACGACCTCATCCTCGCCCTCGTCGCCCACCATCCTCCCCTCAAAGAACGTCATCACGCCCGACATGTAGTTGCGATAGATCATGTCGTAGACCATAGTCTGGTGCGCGCACCCCTCGATGACGACCAGCTGGGCGAGAACATACTTCGCCTTGAGGCGGTTGACAAGCGCCTCGCTCTCCTCGAGCAGGACGCTCGCGTCCATATCCCCATGCACCACGAACGCGGGCGGGAACGTCTCGTCGATGAGGAGTTCTGGAAAGAGGCACCTAGTGGATTCGGGGATGAGGCGCTCGCGCGCGGCATCGTCGGCGGCGGCGACGTCGCGCAGTCGCGCCCCCAGCCCAGATATCCCCGTCACGATGTCGAGGTATAGTCCGCGCCGCCAGACTTCTTGCGCGACTCGCATCCGCGCCCAGAACTCGGCCGACTGTGTCGCGTCGCTCTGCGGTAGCGCGCCGATCGTGCGTGTCTCGCCAGCGAGATACGTTGCCACTTCTTCGGTGGGCGGGGGGTCGGTGGTGGTGCTGGGGGTGGTAGTGGTGGTAGTGGTGGGGTTGGTGGAGGAGTCGCGCCGCTTCAGGCCATAGTGGTGCGGGGATAGGAGTTTGCCGCCTTGTGCGGCGACGAGGAAGAGGCCGAGAGGCTTCGGCTCCCAGTGGCTCGCGGCGAGCTGCGCCAGGTACCCGCCTGCGCTGTAGCCCGCGACGAAGACGTTGGTCGCGCTGAGGTTGTGTGCCGGTACGAGCACCGTGTGGTAGTGCGTGAAGGCAGCCTGCAGGTCTTGGAGGAGGTCGTGGCCGGTGCAGGGGAGGAGTTTGCGGTAGTCGTACGAGAGGAAGGTCCAGCCGCGGGAAACGCAGTCGTCTTTTTCGGACGGAGATTTTAGCGGAGTGTGGGGGAGAGGCGGGGATGGGCAAGGGAACGGAATGGGAGGGACACACCGCACAGGCCCCGAAGAATGAACCGTCGGTCTCCGTAGAGGAGTGCCCCCCCGTGGAAGAAGATGATGGTTGGGGACGGCCAGCCGGGATGTCGCGTGGGGAGGTAGACGTCGACCTTTAGTGGGACTTTCGACGGCGTGCTGTAGGTGTATGTTTTCGGCGCGGGCGGAACGTCCGGGCCGTCGGTGATCTCCACGCCCGCGGCCGCGTCACGGTGTCGGTGGAAGAGCCGAGAGAGGGTCGGGAAACAGGCGCTGATCATTCGTGCTCGTTCGGTACGGCGAAGGGGAGTGTGAGGAGGAGGAGGAGGAGGAGAGAAGGGGAAGAGCTGGCTCGCTCGCTCGAGCTTTGGGTGTATGGGTGTAGGTGGAGTCGAGTACGCGGTCCGCCTCCCACTACTCTGTCCTGTCCTGTTCGGGGGTTAGTGGCATAACTGAATGGAAAGTGCACCGCCGCCATGCCGTGGGTGGAATGCTGTTGGTTATTTGTATCAAATCTCACCGAGCAACCTGTAGAGTAGGCTGTGAATCCCTCCCGTGATGTGCGTTCGATGCAAGTCCCCTGTACTTGGCACGCCAGGCGGCCAGGGGGGTGCGGTCCCTGCCACCGTCAGACGGACGGGCGCGGAGAGCGCGGGCGGCTGGCGTGAATCGTGATGGCGGGCGCTATGTAGGGCGTGTGTGGAGAATGGTCGGTGCGCAGAGACGTCTTCAGCTGGCATGCATGAAGGTGATGGGGTGCGGAGGCGGACACAGAATGGGAATGCCGAGTCGGCGAGTGTTCAATTCGTTTACTCCGAATGGCACCTAGCAGGTACCGATCACTCGTTCTGCGACCTCGCACACGGCGACGAATGGCGACCGCAAACAATAAATGAGCTTAGGACTCGAAGATATCGAAGTGAATATACATTCTTGACCCGTGATTCCCCCCAGGAATGCAATTGCTTCTAAGTTAGCCGCGGGAATATGGCTCACGAGGCGAGATTGGCACTGCGCTGTGCGTGTAGAGTGCGATGAACATAAAGCATACGCATGATGCATTACCATAGAACACGCGGCGGCTACTACGAATAGTCGGCGGAAGACATACCAACCTATCAGCTGGCGCAGGAAGCCTGCATAGGTATTGATGGCGGCAAGCTCGCGGCAGTCGATTCGCACGGGGTACGCGCTGGTTTATGCGCATTCTGCGGCGCGGTATGTATGTTGGTCATCGATGCAGGACCGCCTTTGACGATGATAGACGGCTTGCATGACGAAGAAAGTCATGCGGACTGTTATTGGCTCACGAGGCCAGTCTCATATCTGCCGCTGCTAGAGTATGTATGGAGAATCTCAGTGCCTACGATAGTTCAGTCCAGTCCGTCTTTCGGCAAAAGTCGGACTGGACTGAGAGGTCCAGTCCGGCAGAAGGTGTGGACTGGATTGGGCAGTCTGCGCAACTGGTAGGCTGGACGGACTGTAGTAGACTGCAGTCCGAGGCGACAAATCTTTGGGTTGGACTGAATTCAAATTTCAAACCGTCAATCTTATGGACTGGACTATCGGGAGCACTGATAGAGATTCCCACCGACTATGTATGCACCTATTTACCTATGGCTGTTTCCATTGCGATCTCGAGATCGAGATCGCAGAGCACCGAGCCTGCATGTAGAGGCAGAAGCTGAAGACTTCCGTGTGCAGATCCTGACAAAGATAATGCCGTATCGCACAAAGGTGCAACAGACAGAGTACGCCGGCCGAAAAGTGGGATCTCGGGCTGACCGGACTGACTACCTACCTGCTAGCCAGACATACCAGAAAGAAGGAGAAGCGAGTGTGACGATCAAATAGGATTCTCAAAGGCGTGGAAATATTACCAATGAGAAATGTGCAATATCATGGACGAGTGACGATGTGGCTTTTCAGCGAGAATCGCAACATGGCCGTCAACGGTTCTAGTGAGAGAGAGATCTTCCTGTTTTATTTCGCATGCAGCCTCTCTAGACAATGAACGGTGCTAGTGAGTGACTAGCCGTGAAGGAGTCTTTGTTGTATCGAGTGACCAAGAGTAGAGCCTGGACGTCAAGCTAGAGTATATCTAACTCTTGCTATATTTGGGCCTGCTAAAACTCCGCACTGGTCCGCAGGTTCGAAGAAGGACCCAAGAGTATCCATTCGTAGGGCTGAAACTACGCGTAGTCTGTGGTACCTATGTAGGGATGTCTAAAGAAATTACAAACCGCAAAGTCTGACGCTGATAAACTGTGCTGTAAAGATGTTGATGCTTGAATATCATGACTTCGCGAGTGCCACCCATAATGCACATGGCTACGGATAACTATGGGGACGCGGGCACGTGAAGCGAGGACAGCGGACGGGTGAAAGATGTTGGAGACCACACTCGGCTACACTGCAAAACACCCAGAAACGGCCCGGTGGCCAGACGCTCTGTCCGCTGCCCGGCGGGAAGATGTCCGCTGTTTTCACGGCCGACAGCGACATGGTCGCTCGACTGTCACCAGCTGCACAACCGCCACCCTCCATACTTCCTTGCGGATTGAGCTGAAACTTAAAACAAGTGTTGCCGGTTACCTATTTTGGTGGCCCCTATCGGGAATTATAGGTGTGTCACTGCGTCTGCGCAATCCCGCAGGCGTCCTGCCGTCTGTTCGTGGGAATTTCAAACTCCAGCATGGTTACTCGATTACCTACGGGTACTTTCAGTTTGCGGTTGCTAACTTGATGCGCCACATATTTTCTCTTCACAAAACCGTCGGCCACTACCTAATCTAGTCATCCCTTATGAGGGGGTGATAGATCGTCCAAACAGATTCAGCCCTGAACCCACCGGAGTGCGCGTGGGGAAGATGCGGGGTGTGTCGGCTGCAGAGCGCTAGCGGGGACTCGTCCAGACTCCACCGCAAAGCTGGAGAAGGCTGGCTTGTGATGTGGAGATGGAAACATGGCGGAGATCGGAGACAGGTGTTACGGCGATAGGTGGAGTGGAGGTACGATTACACGCTCCCTGCAAGAGTTCTCCTCCACCAGGCACTCGCCACAGCACTCGCCACTAGTTACTCCAGTCCGACCGACCTCACGCCTAGTTACACCGACTAACCACTTCGGCGCTCCGACTCCCCCACTCCTGCGACTGCAGCGCCGGCGCCTGGCAACCGGCAGGGAATGCGAGTAATGCCTGCGCGATCTACGGTTGGACAAGTTTCATCGCGCGGGCGGTGGTACAGAGCCAAAACATTTGTTCGCTTCCTCGACGACTAGTTCATGGTGTCCTTGCTGAGTGGGGTTTTGCTGCGGACATCCCGTCATCGTCGTGGTGGCTACGGATTGAGTGATGACTTCTGCGCTCTCGTACCGTGTTGCGGGGACTTCGTGGAGACGACCTTGCCCGGATTCGGAACGAAACTCCTACTCTTGCCCCCCGAATTCCTCAGGCCGATCCCCAGGCAACCACTCGCACGAACTTTGAAGGGGCGATCATAGGCACTGAAGGGCCCTGTAGAATATACATATAGTACATATACGGTATACCGTAACCATGTGCCGGATAAGTCCGGCTGGCAGCAGACCCAGCTAGCTCCTCATTGCTGCTCCCCCACCCCGTATTGATGTATGTAACCTACTTTAACTCTAATCTACCTAAGTGCTTACTTGCTCTAGAATACCAAGGTCCAGTCACCTATCCACCGGAATACTACCGACTGTGCTCCCTGGTACATGGTAGCATGTATCTACATACTCGAGATTGGAGTAGGTATGCACCTTCCAGTACCATCCACCATCCACCATTCACCATGCTCCATCCTCCATCCGCTATCCACTCCGGACTCGGCATCCTGTCACCACGGCACGCTCAACTCGTGCGCATGCGGCTGAAGATAATGGTCTGCCACGATGAGACTGCACAGCCTCCATGCTACGCAGGAATGGATGGTATGCAGCTTTGTAGGTGGGGTCGTCGGCGCTTGCTTCCTCCTTCTTAATCTCTCCACCCCCTCCACCCCGCAGCCGCCCGCCTCGGACTTGCACTCTCTTTGAAAATATATCGACTGCCATCCGATGAAGAGCATACCGACATTCGTGCGCGCCGCCGTGGCCCTCGTCGCCGCCGCCGCCTTGCTCCCACATGTTTCCGCTCAGGGTTCCTCGGATCCCTGCACCGATGCCTCGGTGGAGATCGAAAGGAGCATGCTCAGGCGCAGAAGTACGTGCCGTCATTTCTTCCCCCCTTCGGGCTGACGCTATTCAGGCCGACCAGCGCTCCCTGATACTGATGCCCACGTGTAGACTTTGAGTTGCCAGCCTCGGTGGCCGTTGCGTGCATGAAAACCTTCACCTTGAGCCCCGACCGCCAGCTCAACCTCACCAGGCATGTGCGTAAGTATATGGACTTCTACTCGGCTGGCACCTACTTCCAGCACAATGTCTGCCCCGAGCTCGACTTGCCCACCGTAAACATCAACGCCACCTTCGACCGCATCGAGAAGGATATACAAGCCGGAAAACTCACCACGTACGATGTCAACAGGCAACTCTTCGAGTTGTTTGGCTCCGTCAAGGATGGCCATGTCCAGTTCTTGCCAACATGTGTGGCTGGCGCCTTCGTTTTCATACACGACTACCCGTTAATGCAGTTCGCCGCCACTCCCGACTCGATTCCGGAAACCTATCACGCGATATTCCGTAGTGCCTCGCAACCTCCTACAGTCGGCCAGAAAGTCGTCAAGATTAACGGCATCGACCCCGTTACCTATCTCACCGATCTAGCCAAAAACCATCCCGAGAGTGCTTGGATCGACCCCGACGCCAGGTTCAACGAATTGTTGATAAACATGCGACGGAGCCAGTGGCAGAACGGTCACTTTGCGCAGCGACAATCGTACGAGGAGAATCCCATCTCGATCGAGTTCGCCAACGGCACCACCGTGCAGGTCGAATGGAAGGCGAGGTACCTGAACGGTCGCAGGGACGCCACTGAGGTGCCCCTGCCTTTCACCGATTCCGACACTTTTGGCGCCTATGTCTGTACTCGCACCGACCAGGAGCTCATCGCCGATCTCGGAGCCTTGCTGTCAGGATCCGTCGACGGTCGCGGCCCGGAGGATGCGCCACCGATCGGCCGTGACTCGGACGATGGCAACGGCAGTATCCGGGCGCCCTTATATCCCCGGCAAAATTCGCAACCGACCTGGTTTTCCGAGAATATCATTTTCGGCACCGACGATGGCGAAATCTCCTACTACGAACTCGACAACCGGACCGCGGTGTTGACGTTGACCGCTTTTACCGAGATACCCGGCTCGGTCAGTTCTAATCAGTTTCAGTCGAGATTCTCGGAAGCTGCCGCAAGCATGATTGCGATGGCGAAAAAGAACGGCATCACGCGGTTGCTGATCGACATCACCTCCAATGGTGGAGGTTATACTTCGCTCGGCTTCAATTTGGCTCGTCAACTGTTTCCCCAGAACAGCAAGATCTTCTTTGGAAACAACATGCGCTGGCACCCCCTCCTCGACAAGGTGTTCACCGAGGGCGATCAGGACTACCTACTGACAACCTACTTCGCTCTGGGCCAATTGCACACACCCGAGGGCGGCGACTGGAAGGATTGGCGCGACATGTTGGGACCCGTGCACCGGGATGATGATCTTTTCACTAAGATTTCAATTCCAGACGAGTCGCAGATCGTCCAAGATACCGGTAACGTCATATTTCAAGGTTTCTCACAGAAACAACCTTTCGAAGTCGACAATGTTATTCTGGTACATACATACATGCATACATATGGGGTCCTCTCCAGGGTTCCAATACCGTGCTGACACTCATACCGCGATAGATCACCTCTGGCCTTTGCGGATCGACGTGTGCACTCTTTGCCGAAGCGTTGCAAGCCGTCGGCGTCAAGGTCGTCACCGTCGGGGGCAGGCCCAATGTCGGCCCCATGCAAGGTATTGGCGGCGTCAAAGGCTCGCAAGTCCTCACTTTCGATGAAATCGCCCTGTTGACCTATAACATTGCGAGGCCCATCATACGGAAGGACCCCTCTTTCGAGGCGCAACTTCCGTATCCATTGAATCTTCGCACGGAAGGCGCAGGAATCAACTTCCGCAACTCCTGGCGCAGAGATGACGGCCAGTACCTGCCCATCGAGTTCCTGTATACCCCAGCAGATTACCGCATGTTCTACACCAGAGACATGTTCCGCCAGGCGTCGGCCATCCACGAGGCTGCGCGTGATATCGCGTGGGGCGGCGCTAAGGAGATGAGTGGCGGAGCCTACACTCCCGTTATGGGCTTCGACGGCTCAAAATTCAAGTGGCCGAAGGGAAGCGGGTCGACCGGCGCAAAGGGTAATGGCACTAGCGGCGGAGCCGCGCACTGGGCTAGTCTGGCCCTGGGAGACCTCATCTGGGAGAAGATGAATAAGCACGTGTAGATAATTGTTCATGTCGGATTCTGGCGTTTGGGACTCGGGAGAGTTTGCTCGGTTGTTGTTTTTTTCCTTTTCTTTTTTGGCGCGGAAGACTCGGAGGAGGAGGAGGAGGAGGTCACTTCCGCCGCCGTTCCTGTTTGATATCTTGTCCAGGCATGATTATGCGACTCGTATGGAAGCGATATCGTATAAAGACATGATTATGCTACCTATGTACTCGTATGGAAACGATATCTCTGTTCGGTTGGGCTAGGTGGTGATTTTGGACGACTCCAGGTTTATGTAGATGTGAAATACCATGATACACAGAAAACTCGGGCCGGAATTACATAGTAGCTGATGCGTAGTCCACATAGTCAAAGTTAAAGTCCGCACTGCGTCGGTTCAATCCGGTCTACCGATCTCAAAAGTGGGGCACGAGTACCGCGTGTGGTCCAGCTGGTTATTGCTGCTGAATGTAGGACTCACAGACTGGATGTGTCAACTTCTGGGTCTCGCGACGGTAGAACCCCACGGGCCGAAGCTACTCTATCGACGGCAGTCATTTATCAACACATCCACATAGGTTTTGTCCGCAACATCGGCTAGTCGACAACTCCAACAAGGTATTTGAGACCCTCGGCCGTGCTGTGCCCAATCCCGCAGGCTGCAGCCGTGTCTCCAGACACAAGCCCCCTGCTACATATGTGTTCTAGCCCACACGGCAGATTTTCCCATCTTTAGATGGGCCGGCCTACCGGACAGCAGACTAGCCAGGTCATGAATAGTCCTGATCTGCTTGTTGGCCGGACGATCCCCAGAAAAATTCTGGTCCTCCGTCTGGCCCAACCACAAACACGGATTCTGGTATCTGGGCCAGTCCATCCACAGACAGTCTGGCCCAGCTGCCAGATCTCTCTGCAGGGATTTTCGAGATTTTTACCATTTCGGTTAGTTATCGCCAAGGTTAAAAAAATATCACCCTTCCCAGCACTTCAAGGTTTCCATCTTCAACAACGAATACTCCACCAACACATTGCCCTCAGCACCATCATGTCCGCCGCCATCAAGTCCACCGCCTACATGTCCACATGTCCGCCGTCATCCAGCCCAATCAATGCACTCCATTTTCGGCAGAACATTTTCAGCAATTCGAACGATGGATGAATCAAGACAAAAGCAGGACTACCCGTCGCCGCACCTGCTCTACCCGTCGCTACCTCTGCTCCACTGCCTGTCGCCATTGTCAACAAGCGGTACACGATTGAAAAGTTCGCTCCAAAAGCGACACAGTTTGATTGCCCAAATCCATCTTACTTAATCAGCCGGACAGAAGTGGCATTGGTAGACCGTGATGTGGGTTCGGAGAGCGAGCAAGCAGGCCAGGTTACTGTTGAAGAGTCCTAGCTTTGTGATATTGAAGACTCGGAGGAGTCACCGCCGCCACTGGCCCAGCAGTTTGGAAGGAGGGTACGCAGGGTTTCCATTCCATCCGCAGTTATGCCGGATAATGATGCAGACTCGGGAAGATCTCTGAGGAACAGGGGAAGGCGGGTCTAAGGTTGAGGGAGGTTTATGCGTAGTTTGTATGTAGTTTGTTTTCAATCAGGGCTGTCAACCGTCCGTCCAATCCGTCTTTGAGGTTGCCCGAGACGGGACGGAATTAGTTGGGCTGAGGAGAACAAGGACTACAGTCTTGCGGGCTGGCGGATTGAGGACGGATACCCTACAGGGCCCGGAATTGACTTGGACACTAGGACAATGCTGGCGGCGTGGCGCCACAAAGTGGTGTGGCTGTGTGGCTCTATTTCTGTGGATGGTCCGGCCCAACCGAAGGATTCTATGAATGGTCCGGCCCCAAGTTACCAAAATATTTGTTTTGGGCGCGTCGAGGGACCAGAATTTTTCTGGGGATGGTCCGGCCAACAAGCAGATCAGGACTATTCATACACGGGCTGGCCATCCAGTAGATAGGCCAGCCCATCTAAAGGTGGGAAAATCTGCCGTGTGGGCTAGAACATATGTACGTAGGTACCTACTCAGTCCTTGGCTTGCAGTCGACGGCAGTCCACCCAGCCTCCAGAACCGCACAAGGCTGAGGGCTGAGGTCAAATCTCGTACAGCAACGGGAGGAGCTGACGTGTACTATTCTAGAGTCTGGAGTCTGGATATGTAGACTGGGCTATTTGTGGTTATGGAGGACCAGGTGGCAGACTCGATGCATTGAATGCAAGCCGGACCCTCAGCTCTTGAGTTCACGGCCACCAACCCTATCACGTAAGCCGATCCGTGCTTGGTAATGAATTCCCTGCCTACATACATATTTCTTGTACATAAGATGTATGTATGTACTCACACCGCATGGTCTCGGGAGCATGCGGTGGAAATCTATGCCAACACCCGCTTCAGCCTTACCTTAATATCTTGGGCCTTAAGTCTTGGGATACCTGGGAGCTACGCGGGCTTGCTAACTATAGCGTTGACTGATCGACGGACAGGTTAAAGGTTTGAGTGATCGGATAAGCATGAATGAGACTGCAAGCGGACGGGGAAGGTCTGAGGCACGTGCGCGGGTGCGTGCGTAAGTACGTGCTGTAGGTACGTGGTAAGTGACGATGAGTATTGAGTATCACCACTGTCCTCGCGGAGGTGGGTATGACGAGGCTACTTCTCAAGCTGGGAGCACCCGACGTCGCCCAAGTGAGATTGTGCGGATGCATGGGTAAATGGATAGTCGGGAGTCGGGGAATAGGGAAAGTAGGATGGATGGATGGATGGATAGACGAATCGACAGGCATGGTGGATCATGGTGGATCACTCGCTCCAGAGTGCCCACGACCGAGCGCAAGGAAATTTGTTTTTGGGGAAAGGGGGAGTTCGACATCTCTTGTGACGTCGCATTGGGGTGGCACTCTGCAGGTGGCTGTGGCTGGTCAAACGGTAACGGTAGGTAATGCAGCCGATTGGAGGGGCAAGAGGGGGGGGCAAGAGAGGAATGCTACTCCCCTCCGACCTGTGGTCGGGACTCGGCACTGGGCTGTGGTGGCGCAGTTAAAGGCGATGGCGCGAGCTGGGGAGTGGAGCGCCAGATGTGAGCGCGCCGCGCGTCCGTGAAAAGAGTCCCCGACACCCGAGATAGCAAGGTCTTCGCCAGTTCCGGAGCTTCATTGCGAAAATCTCAACGGCTGAATTCATGCGCTGGTATGTATGCAGCGGTACAATCGCCACTGACTTATAGGTAGGTCTACCTCCGAAGTGTGCGGGATTTAGGTGTTGGGCAAGGTTCTCGGCGAACGTATTCTGTGAAATAGCATTGGCAGAAACATTTGCTCCCCCCGGTGGCCAGGCCTCGAGCACCACGTTGTGGGCAGGTCGACGTGGTGCCTTCCACTTGCACCCGGCGCTCCTCAGGCTCCGGCCGTAACACTTTGTATGTATGAGTAGATTCGAATAGCTGTCTTTGGCTGGAGCGGGCCCGAGATTATCACACTTCCGAATTTTCGGCCCGAACAGCCCAGGCTTACGTACATACCAGAAAACGGGACGGCCTGTAGTTGGCTACGGTCTTCTGTATATTACTATATATAGAGCAGAAAGAAGAGTGCAAACATTAAACCGAGATCTCAAAGTGTGGTGTGGCGAAGTGATGGAGGAGCTGTCGGCGGCGAGAGGATACCTAGTAGATACGGATGTAGTTAGCGTGGATGGCAAGGGCGGACATCAAGGAGGGAGCGTACTTGAGAGGCCTTCTCTCTCTCTCTCGTCATCATCTCTGGAATAGACGATCAACCTCTACCTCCTCTTTGTCCTTGTCTGTTCGCATTCTCTCGACCCACCGCTTTCCGTTGTAGAGAAGCATTGGCGAAAGAGCCCTCGCAATAGCCGGGTCCGGCAACCTCTACAGCTCCATATTCAACACACGCTGCTCCCGGTCCGACCTCCAGCATCATCCCCACCCGCGTAAGCCCCCAATCCCTGTGCCCTCATGATATATCACCTCTTCCCGCGCTCACGGCTTCAAGCACTCTTGCGCTTCAATGATATCATCACAAAACCGTGATTGCTGGTCATCAATGACAAGTCTGGCACAGATGATACCGCTGAATACCTCTGCGCCTCGGTAGACCTCATAGGTACGGTAACAGCTCTGATCATTGCTGAACCGCTGCACATATGACTGGTCCTGTTGGCTGGCAACGTATAGTCAGCCATTACCGTGCCGCCAGCTACGGTCGTTGGTAATGTCGTGATACTGCCCATCGGTAAGTTCCGCTTTGGCTTCCCCTCACCGCACTTGGGGTTACACACATTCCGTGATGCTAATTAACCATCGGGCTTTCAGGTTTTCCGAAGCAGAGCTAGGCCGCCCTAAGCTTTCCGTAATCTCGGCCGGAACAGGTTTATGGCGTCATTGACGGTTTGGCCTACAGCCCGGCCGCCTTGCTTATTCGTCTGCTTGCTGGTATGCTATTCGCTGGTGTTTTTTGGGCCAGCACTGGCCGCCAGAAACTTCTGTTGGGCAGGACGTCTCTTCACATGAAGTCCGATCGTGTATGCACGAGGATGGAGAGCGCTGCTGCAGCTGCATACGGACTTGTAAATGCGATGCGGCGTAACCAATGAGCGAAGACCACATCCATTCACTAATCAGCCGCATAGGGGAGCCTCTAGAGCCGTCACCAAAGCGGGACCGGAGACGATGCGACGCGGAGCCCTTGACACAACATCAAAAACCCCATCCGTTTGCGACAGATTCACGACGAAATGGACGGCCTCTCGATTGCGTCGGCAGTTGTAGGACTGCTGCAAGCTAGCCTCAAGATCATCGGCTTCGTCTCCAAGGTCGCCGACGCCCCAATCATCGCTCGCGACCTGCTAGTCGAAGTCCGGGCCATGCGTATAATCCTGCACCAGCTCCATACATTCATCGACAACTGTAGCGATTACGACGACTGTAGCGATTACGACGAAGACGATAGATCTCAAGTCGACCTCGAAGACCTCGTCACTATCCTGACCGGCTGCGTCTGTGCCTTCTCCGAGCTCGACGCCGTGTTGGATCGCTATCCCACCGGCGATGATCCCCGGTTTGATCTGTGGGACCGAGTGAGATGGGCGACAAAGGAGAAAGAACTCACTAGGATTGTGCGCAACCTCCAATCCCACAAGACTTCAGTGAGCGGATTGCTCTCGATGTGGGTGCACCGTTTTGGTCTTGGTACTGGATGTCTGTTGTTTGGCTTCAATGCTGATGGAGCGACGCAGCGTCACGGCGAAACAAGCATCTACCGCAAGGAAACAGGCTCGGTTGGCGAGGGAGGACCTGAAATCACTGGTGGCTATTTTATTATCAGTTCCAACCCTTTCAGAGCGCATGGCCTCTTTTGCGACCCCTTCCATGGCAAATCACCCATCCTCTATCTTCACGGAGTCACCTTCTGGACCTCGCGGTGCCCCTACCAGCTTCTCCCGAGTTTGTCGTGGGAAGAAGTGGCTCCTCACTTTTCACGAGGTCGAGGTTGCAACTCACGGCTGTCAGCTGCGATAGCGGCTCTTCCATCCGGACGCACTCATCATCGCAGAGGCCGTTGTCCACATTCCTGTTGACATGCGAGCCAATATTGGCCAAGACTTGGGTGTACCAAAAGGCAGCTAGAAATGCTTCAACCCAGAGTTTAGACACCATCCGCACTACAGGCTCAGGCTGGTCGCAGTTCAGCGGGGTGAGTCTGGACAAAATGTCGAATTTGTCGGTCATCCGTCTACCCGTATACGCCGTCGAACTCGTCAATGGGGATGTGTACCAACAGGGGCAGATCCGGACGTTTGACTCGAGTGTCGCCACCAAGACGGCAAGTCCAAGACCACTGCCCATTCTTCGGGAACGCAGCCAGATGTTCAGCTCAGCTATCCGGCATCGCCTACGATCCGACCAAGAGCGGGTATCACTTTTACTGTCCGCTGCTCAGAAGGGTGACACTACTACCATAAATGTCTTGATAAAGCGTATCGGTGTCGATAAGGAAGCCCGCGATCATAGACAAAGGACAGCCTTATACTTGGCTGCTTTAACAGGACATCTGAATGCTGTACGTCACTTACTTGAACACGGCGCCAAAATCGAGACCAGAGATGTGCAGAATGGGTCTCCGCTGCATGAAGCTGCATCAAATAACCATCAGGATATCGTACGTCACCTGGTCGAGTCCGGTCCCAAACTAAACGTCCAAAACATCTATGGTCGGGCTCCGTTGCGTGAAGCTGCATCGGAAGAACATCTGGAAATCGTACGTCACTTGGTGGATTCTGGTGCCAGCGTGAAGCCCCAAGACATCGCTGTTCAAACTCCGCTGCGACACGCTGCATCGGAAGGCCATCTGGACATCGTACGTCACCTGGTGGAGTTCGGTGCCAACGTGGAGACCCAAGATATCAATGGTCGAACTCCGCTGGAATACGCTGCAGCGAAAGGCCATATGGTACAGCTCGGTGCTAACTTAGAGGTCAAAGACGACAATTGTCAAAACTGGCTGTAGAATATTACATGGAGACACCGTCAGGTCATGTTCGAGTTCGGATTCGGTCTCGGTAATGGACCCTTCGCGCGCGTCTCCGAAGGCCAAGAAACGAGTGATAACTATTTCCATAACGTGCACGCCGGAAGCGAGAAGACGTATATGACGAAATTGTATTGTTTCTTTCTGCTTTATAAGTTTCCTATGTTGCCCGCCTTTCTGCATCGAAGCATCTATTCTGAATTTACACACTGTTTTGAGATGCCCTTCCTCTTTCTCTACGCTGTTGCACAAATCATCACCAAGGCAGGGCTGTCAACCGTCCGTCTCGTCCGTCTTTGAGGTTGCCCGGCCCGGGACGGAATTAGTCGGGGCCGAGGACAGGGACTACAGTCTTCCGGGCTGGAGAAATGAGGACGGATACCCTACAGGGCCCGGAAAGGACTCGGTCACCAAGAAATTCCTTGGCATCGGCTGGAGAAAATATTTTCACCCGTATCCCCCAAGCCCAGTCGAATCACATTTTCCTCCCACCAACAAGTAACTCTCCCACCAACAAGCATATTTTCCTCCCACCGGCAAACCCAGCCAAATCAGAAAATCCAGCGCGCCGAAATATTCTGCTCGGCGAAAAAATCTGCTCGGTTGCCGGTGGCCGCCGGGCCATTACTCTGTAGACTAGTAGTCAGCAAAGTACGCTAGTGTTATCAGGTACCTATAGGTACCTGGCGGGTATCCGGGCATTTCGTCCTCCGGACGGAATGGATCAGTCCTGTGGAAAGCCTGCCCGGGACGGGACGGGACTATAGTCCACTAGTGGACTGTAGTCCAGACGGACGGTTGACAGCCCTGCACCAAGGTCACAGACGAAGAATTCCGGACTCCGCCGCATAACGCTGTACGGAGAGGCCGTCTGGACATCAGCCTTCATCGAGTCGCCTCCACAGGCAATACCAACGTCAAGGATCACTTTGGGAGGTCACCACTGCAGCTCCCGGTAGGGGCAGATGTTCGCCGCCCATCTTGGGAAAACTGGTCGACAGCGACGCCGACAGAGAGGCAACAAAAACTACGAGCAGATATAGCCACAGTGATTGGTATCTCCAGTAGTGAGGTAGAAAGTTGTTGATCGCAAAGAGTCTCGCTCGGAGTGATGCCCAGATGAGCGATTTAGATTGGACGTTTTAGACTTCCGGATCTGTTGCGGCGGCCCCATCCCCGGGTGTTGCCAGCCCTTTCGTGTCGGTGGCGTAGACATGCGGGAAACTTTGATGGTGCGGGGATGGGAATGCTGACGTTCGAAGAAGAGCCTATTTGGTTCGGAGAATACGTGCATATCTTGACGTTTTGTTACTCTTTTATAGAAGGGCATGGCGGCAGTATTTCAATTACGGGAAGAGACGTGATGCCAGATTCAGGACACATGTACCCTAAGGATGAACTGGAGAAACAAAGAGATCTCCAGTTTATTTCGCATGCAGCCTTTCTAGACCATGGCGAACCGTCGCACTCGTGATAGAGAGTAAAGATAGAGAGTGAAGATAGCGAGTGACCACATGTGATAGAGAGAGACGTCCTATCCAAAGCGACAACGACCCAACCATCAAAAGAGTCCACCCAAGCAAATTTGACCCCCGCCTGGTTCTGAAATTCAGTAGCCATCGAGGAGACGTGGACTGTACCCGTTCTTTTCCAGCTCAGCATGACTGTGGACTACCTATCTGTAGATGCTGCTGTCGGGCGATGGCGACTACGATTACGGTCCCCGGCACAGACCCGGTGACTCGGTGAGAGGCGCGGAGATGGGATGTGCGCTAAGTGAACGTGTGGTATGCCGTTAAGGGAGAGCAAGCTCATGAATGAGGATCGGCAGGCGACTGGCACGCGATGGACATATGATAGGCGCGAGAGGAGGCTGCAGGAGCACGTGAGAGGCGAGTGATAGGCGGGGTGGCTGAAGCCGACCTACGGACGGGGAATAATCTTTTCACATCACACCTTATTTTGAGTCAGACTCTGCCGTAAACCAGAGCCAAATCCGCAGCCCAAGATTCGCGTGCACGAAGAAATATGGTTCGTTTTACATACATGAAGCCCTTGTCACTGCGCCGGTAGGGAATGTAGGACGTGGGGAAGTGCGTGCGGCTGGGGATGCACGAGTGTTCGACGGCATGCCACGTGCATCACGGTCACGATTCTTTGTACCTCCAACTTGGTGGTCATAAGCTATGCTCCACGGAAGGCAAACATTGCACGCCCACGCCCATCATCGGCCTACCTACTCATTCTCCTCCGGCTTCCGTCCGACCACATGGAAATTATACTGGTACACGTGCACCTTGCGAGTGTGCACTTCGTTTAGGGATTTGGCGCACCCGGCCAGTACATCTTCGGGTTTCATGCCGAGGTACCTGGTCAGCGGTGCCATTCCGTAGGACTGTGGGATTATAAGGCGATTAGTAATGCTCAGCAATAGACGTCTCGGGTTGTAGGTATCGGTAGTCTGTCGTGGAGGGGTGGGGAGGAGAGGTGCAAACGGCTAGTTGGGGGGTGTATGGGGGGTTATTATACCTCCAGACCGGTAAGAACCGTCATCTCCATGAGCTGGCCAATCTTCTTCATTTCGGGGTCCTTTGGCCACGTACCCCAAGGATGCTTGAAGTAGTGCACTTGAACTTCCACAAATCCAGCACCCTCGGCGAATGTCTTTAACATGTCGCCGGTGGGGAGAATGAACCCGCCTAGTTCCAATGACTTTTGGAACTTGGTGACGTAATCCTCCAGCGCGCTGCCGGTGTACGTACCGTCGTCGCAGTTGAGCGACATTGCTGTTTCCGCAAGCTCGATGTATGCGCCTGGTTTTGCGTGTCTGCCAGTGTTAGCCGGTAGAAGGGAGGGAGGAAATGAGGTAGGTAAGGAGGGCAGCGTAGAGGAGTCGATCGTGTGAGTGATTGGAGAGGTGAGAGACATACTTGTACATCTGCCTGAGATATCTAGGCCAGTCCTTCATGCTTTGGGCTATGTTTCGGGAATGGATGAAATCGAAGAGGTTGGGGAGATAAGTCCAATCCAGCTCCAGATCGTCGACTTCGAAGCGGACATTTGGCACCACCCTGCGAGTCGCCATGTGCTTTTAGCGACTGCCTTCGGAACCGGAATCGGCGGGCACCATCCTGTAAGTTCCTTTTCTACCCGGTATGCTATTTTCTTCATTTCCCTTCCTATCACTTCCCTCATTCTTTTCCCGTCCGCCACCCTTCACTTCCGTTCGTCCCCTTCGCTTCCGCGGCCACTCGGACGTGAAAACGGTGCAACATACCATTCAGGTTGGATCGGACTTAGATCTACCCCGATCACTTCTGCAGATGGGAAGACTTCCCCGGCATCCAGCGCCCAGATTCCCGTTCCGGTGCCGCAGTCGAGGATGCGTTGGGACTTCTTGGGAATATCCGCGACGAAGAGTTCACCCCGAAGGGAGAGCAGTTGCAGGTGGTGGTAGAGGTCGAGTCTTATCGAAACGGTCAGCGACTAGCTGAGGAATGGAAGGAAGAGCAGTAATCCCGGGGAAAACGGAGGAATGAGATGCGGGGGTAGTACGTACCTATCTTGTTCGGTCTATTCAGCCGCCGCAAATGTCAGCACATGATATTACACTTTCCCTCAGTTCGTATCCCTAAAGTCGATGGGGGAACACGATACTGGACCCGTTGCGGAACTGACCTCATCGTTTGGAAGCATGTACTTTCCCTCCTGATACCGATGGTAGCGACGTCCTGTTCCGACCGATCAGCATGCAATTCTTGGGAGCAGATGCAAAAGACGGAATGAGTGGGAGGCGTGGGATGGGAAGTATTCGCCGGCGGAGGCTGGATTCAAGGCCAACCATTCTCGTAGATATAGTCGACGATGGAACTGGAGATGCTGTGTGTGGAGCTCTGAAGGCTACTCTCGTATCCGATTGTCTCGTCGATCTCAAGGTCGGCTTCCAACTACACATGGGTAGACTCCCGGGTTATTCGAACAGAGCCTAATATAACGGCACTGGAAACCTCATTGAAGACCGTGCGAGGAGTGAACCTACGGGCTGAGAGTCAACTGGTGGCGCTGATACCATCTTTCGGCTTTCAACTTTCGAGTCCACTGGGTACGGAGGTGAGGTTGATGAGAGTTCACGTTGATCGTCTATGGCCTGGTCGTCGTGGGGTCTCGTGTGGCCTCGCGGGTCAGCGTTGTTCGAATGGGGAGTTAGGATGAGCGGTAGAATCGGATTAAGTACGTCGTTCGCATCTCCAAGTGGACATAGCATTTACTTATAGGTGACCTGGCTGCTGACATTCTCTCTGATCGACGCTCGGCACCATAAAAGGTTTGTGCTGCATATCGAGCGGGAGTGATCCGACGTCAACGGAAGCAGACTACCCAATAGAGGGTCGCTCGGGGCAGTCTAAGCTTTACCCGGGACTGGAGAGCTCGTGCGCCCGTTGCGCGTCTGCAACAAGCTCCTGGGCGCGGTGCGGTTACTCGCAAAATTCGGAAGGTGTCTGTAGATATCAGGAGATGGATGCAGGTGCAAGCGCACACGGCAAAACGTAGTGCCTATTCGTAAACGGATGCGATGGCTGGACCCTGGCGGCCACGTAGCCGCCTGTACACACCGGGCGGACGCAACGTGCATGCGCTTCACTCTATGTAGAGCCGATACATCCGCGTCCTCTGTGCATTTGGCCCATCCCCTTTGGCCTTCTGGGAGCAGAAGATAAGACTATGTAAACCAACAGCTGTTGTGGAGGCTATCCTAACGAGATGGTTGGGAGCGGGGTTTCCCGTGTGGATAGAAAGGGTGCCGTGGAGTGACTACGCCATTCATGTGCAGGCAAGCCCAGAGACCGCAGGAAGAGAGATAAAAAGCGGGGAAGGATATATACCGATCGCTTGATTCGGTTGTTCCCGGGCAATGATCGGCCTTTCGAGGGAAAGACACGGCAGATGGCGAGCCACCGCTGATCCACGAGATAGCCGATGAATAGGCTAAGCAGCGGCCGGAGGACCCCGAAACGCGGGGGTTGGAAACGCCGAGGTCTGCCATCACATACGGCAGAAAGCGCCGCAAAAAATACATTATACATCCTCCCGAGGACTCAGAATTGTAGACAAGCCGCTCACAAACGCCCTTGAAAAACTCGCCGCAAGATATCTACTACCAGCTCAACATGGGATACGCCCCGAGGGAACACGCCGCACGGGGGCTACGAATCGGCACTCGGCAGGAGGTAGGGTGTGCCAATACGAGACTCGGACGCGGCAGCACCTTTTCAACAACTGCCCCGAATGGAAGTAACAGCAGAAAACCTATAGACATCGGGCTGGAAGGCCACTAGACGAGGTGGGGACGGATTCAAGGTTCGGAGGGTGCGGCGAGGCCATTACCTATTTACTTCCTCTCGACCACGGGCGTGGGGCACCGAGTGCTACCACTCGGCTCGGAAGACAAACGAAGTTAACCAACCCAAACTTCGGAAGGAGCAGCGCTAGAACGAGACCTAATCTAACCGATTAACGGGCGGGAGGGAACGGGGGCCACGTGATTACACAGGTTCAGGTTTCGACATACACACCCCTCCCCGTATGTCGTGGGAGGTATGAGGTATGTAGTGCGTGCAGCTTTGCGGCTACCGGCTAATCGTCGCTAAGCTTCCACTCGCCTGACTGGCTACGATAGCATCGTCATACTACTGATGTAACCACCGTTCAACAGAGCTTTAAGTAGCGCTGCGCAAAAAGCAAGCGAACAGGGTGTTCAGCTTAGTGAGTAGAGCTGGGGTGCGTTGAGGCAAACATCAAAGAAGCAAGCTGCGCTTTCACATTGTAATGTCATGATTCTGGCGATGGAACTCCGCCCGACGAAGCCTTTCTATGGGGATTGGAAATTTATATGGCAAGTATATAGAGACTTTAATACCCCTTGAAGTGTATTATTCGCCTAACTTTTAAGACACATCTCAATGCAGTTCCGGATTTTCGGCCACCTATTGATGCTCCAGTTCACCCAGCGGGCTCCAAATAAAAAATTACCATCCACGCGGATGAGCTCCATCCAATCAGGCTTCGATTGGCCAATGATACGATCGACGCGCGGCAGATGCTGAATTCAGAAGAGTGATATGGATGGATGAAGATAAACGTATGCTCAAGTTATTGACTCTTGAGGCTGTCTTAGGGCTGGAGAACTGTTGTCTGCCACGACTATTATGAGAGGAGCGATGTGTGGGATAAATAGGGGATGAGAGCATGAGCGATGGACGAGATAAGATAGGAGGAGGGGCTAGGCGGATCAGTGGATCCGAATGGTGTCGATAGCCGACGCCTGGACTAGCCGGTTCTTGAATAGAACATCAACGTCTCCATCATTCTTCATTTTCGCCGTTGCCTTTGCGGAGCTACGTCAACCATCCATCTCCTCCTCCCCACATAATGTTCGTATAGAATTAGGAGATATTCAATGCAAGAAAGTAATAAACTGGTGGGGTGATTGTTGGATTCTTGCTGTGGTGCAAGCGCTGATCTGGAACGTCAACCGTGACTACACTTACAGTTTATATGTACGCATTATATGGTCCCCGCATTCCCTCGCGTTTCGCAGTTCGATGAGACTCTTATAGTACTCGGAAAACTTGATGGGAGAATTCTTCCAGCATTCTCAATAAACCTTCCAGAGCGATTCTGTCCTCGAATCGATGGCACCATCAGCAAATATATTATTCGCAACATGGCTACTTCGACATCATTTCGAAACTACCTACTGACCTGGCCGCCCAATACCGGATGAAAGACCTGGATAAATGTCTACCCCGCCTCGGTGTTCGCCAATCATGATCATGTCGGTCTGCCATATCCAGCTTTCTCAACGGGCCGGCTGGCCGCTCCGCCAAGTCATCAACGGGGTCGCGGGCCGGTTCGGCCCCGAGTTTCAGAAGGCTCAGGCCCTTCCGATCGGCAGGGGCAAAGCCTCAAAGTTGGTTGGTTCACTGCGGTGAACGGAACGTGTTCAACACCACAGCGCGTAGCTAATCATCATTATTGGTAGGGTGATAGCTCAGAACGAAGGCAACGATTTGTGGTACCCCATCAATAGCGGAAATCTATGAAATCGAGGTTCACCAAAGCATGCCTAAAGTTGTGCGTACTGTATGGGCGCAAAGCTCGGCTTGCTGCCAGGGATTGCCGTATTTCGCATATACATAGAGCAATCTATGGTGGCCTGTGGGCTGTAGGCGCCTACAGGCCGCTCCGCTGTCGCATGTCTGATGCTAAAGCTTTGGTCTCCCGAGCCAGAAATTCGGCCTCTTTGATTGAGGCCCGTCCCGGCCGAAGGTGAAGCCGGTTTGAACGGCCCGTTGCGAACCCTAGCGTAATTGGAAAGCACTGTGTCGTTTCCAGCGAGTAATATGGAGATTCGGGGCGTGGATGCGGGGACGCATACTGCAGGAACGAACACGGCGTTAATCACTCAATTAAGGAACAAAAAAAACCTCGAACTTTGCGACGACGTTATCATCCCTTCGCTTCGTCTTCCATCCCATGGTGCATAATGCATTTCCTACGATGGTGTGCAATCAATCTCAATACCGCCGGCGTGACCACATTCATAACCCCCCGTATAACGCAAAAACCATCGAAGTCCAAACGCAAAGGATATATAAGGCCTTACGAAGTACCTTTATCGACATCAGCATTCGGCAGCGCACAGACAGAAAGCAAAAATGAAGTTCCTCTCCACGGCCCTCCTCTTCGCCGCCGTTATCGGCCAGGCTTCTGCTCACTGTACCATATCCTTATTCCCCGGCTGTATGTGGATGCTGACATCCAAAAACTAGACCGCTTTTTTAAATTGATTGCGAACGGGGTCACCGGCGCCGAATACGCTAGTATCCGCACAAGCACCAACAGTAACTCCCCGGTAACCGACGTCACCAGCACTGACCTACGATGCAACGTTGGCGGTCTCGCCAGTGCAGCCAGCACCACTACGACCACCATCACCGCCGGCAGCACCATCGGCTTCGTTGCCGACACCGTTGTGAGCCACCCGGGGCCCTTCATCGTCTACATGGCAAAGGCACCCAGCACCGCCGCTGCATTCGACGGAAGCGGCGCTGTGTGGTTCAAGGTGTGGGAGAAGGGGACAACTAGTCTCACTGCTACGGCGATCAACTTCGATGTCACCTCCACGCAGTGGACATTCCCCGTGCCTAAGTCGCTACCCGATGGGGAATATCTGGTCAGGATTGAACATATCGCGTTGCACGGTGCGAGTTCTTTTGGGGGTGCTCAGGTATGTACACAACGTCATCGTGCCAGGTACAGCGAGAAAGGCGAGTCGCTAATCTCTGGTGTGGGGGTAGTTCTACATCTCGTGTGCGCAGGTTAAGGTCACCGGTGGTGGGTCCGGGACCCCTGGTCCAAAAGTCGCTATCCCCGGCGTATATACTGGTAACGAGCCGAGCATTAAACTTAGTATCTACTGGCCAATCCGTGAGTGTTTCTTGCCCTCCATTATTAGCAGGTTTAGGGCTGACAATAGACGAAGCCACCAACTACACCGTGCCTGGCCCTGCAGTCTGGTCTGGTTAGATGGAGAAAATGGAGGCGGCATATATTTTACGCTGGTTGGGCTCAAGGGAGACTCTAAAAGTCAATTCGTGTTATATTTCATGATCGAAACCGAGGCTCCTTTGATGGCTCAGTGAGCCGAATCGTTGGTGTTCTACGTCATGTGACTTCCAAGCTGCGCACGCAGTGACATGTCAGTGAAAGAGATGAAATAGCGGGGATGTAAAAGAGATGAGATTTTGATGCTCCGGCTCAGCGGCTCAGCCGTTCTTTCTGACTTACAGCTAGCTTTGAATGTCTCCCGCTGTTGTATGGTAACGCTGGTTGTAGGGCAACGCTGGTTTTATCATCATATAGCTCACATAGGCTGTGTTTTAAAGGCCGAAAGAAGGCCGCTTCAATCTCGCAATGTTGGCTTAGAACCTTAGTTTGCACTAAAGCTCTCTGCAATACTGCCTAAATCGGCATGCCGACTTTGACTTCACTGCCCGGTCAATTGAAACAAGTAATAAGCTAGCTTTGCAAACAAATCAGGCTCTCTTCAATCCAAGATTTTCCAGTGGCGCGGTTACATCCAAGCCAGCTGCAGTGCCGCTACTCCCCTCCACCCGTCTCAGTGCAGTAAGAGGAAACCCCCCATTTTTATTACTGTATGTATTCAGCTCTGCAGCGTTGAAGCTCTAACTTTATTTGCTGGAAAAAAAGAAAACCTATCAAAAGAAAAGAAGAAAAAAAAACGAAAAAAAAACGAAAGAAAAAACTAAAGAAAAAAACGAAAAGAAAACAATTATCCCCAAGTTCCTCTCCTAGCGTGTGGTAAAAATTGAACTTCAAGCTATGTTCGACTACTGCACCTACTACGGTGGTTGAAAGTGAGCAAATGGCCACCTGATCGAAAATTGCGAGAGAACATATAGGTGACACCGAAGAGAGGAGTTTTGTGGGGTGGAGATGGGTTAGGGTTGAGATGCAACAAAATCTAGGCCTCATGTGGTAAAGAGGCCGATTAGGAATTCCTGGCGGAGAAGGGGTGAGTCGACAGAGCGGACGAGTTCTGGGAGCCGGCAGCGAGCCGGTGGAGCGGCCACAATGTGGGAGCGTGCCAGTTGAATAAGCGGGCAGCGAGGCGACAGGGCGGGCGTTGTCTCCTCCCAGTGATCGGGCTAGCCCCTCCGAGAATCAGGCCACCCGTCGATATCATCATATATCACTCGAACTTCCGTGTGTTGATACCAACTACTCTTGGGCTCCTTCCGGCTGAGATGAGGGTTGAAATTGAATGCTCAATGCAATAAACACAAGAAAGCACTTGAGATCAGTCCGGGTTGAAACATATCCAGGGATTGTTGAAACCAAAATCCAATGTTCATCGGTTGTTGAGGCAACAAAGATGTTTAAACTCACAAAGCACATATCCAACATCAATATTAGACTTGCCTGCGCCAACAGTTCTGCATATAGTTCGAACTTGGTATGCAATCACTCCCACTTTCTGTCTGCCTTCTTGCCTTGAGCTTGCTGCTCTGGAGCGGAACGTATCCAGACAAAGGGTTTCGGCGGCATAGTGGCGAAAGTAGCGGTGGAGGTAGTGGTGGTGATGGCAATGTTTTGGCCTAGTTTTCATGACATCGAAACCCTAACCCATCTTCACCCCACCAAACTCCTCTCCTCACTGTCACCTATATGTTCTCTCTCGCAATTTTCGCTTGCTTTTTCGCTCTTCGCCGCTCTCTTTTTAGGTCTTTTAATTTTCTCTGTTTTGCTCTCTATTTTTTCTTGGTCTCGGTGGGCGCCCTGTTGTGGTGTGGGGGGAAGGGGGGGGGACCAGTGTTGCAATAAGTTGCGTTGCATTAATTTTAAATGCAAAAAAGTAGGTGGCCATTTGCTCACTTTCGACCGCCGTACCTACGTCCTCTCTGTAAAAAAAAATACACCCTCCGCTTAGCCTTTTGCGATGTTGCGATGCCTATTCGCAGCGCACTTTTGGAACCAGAAACGAAAGTCAGCTTTAGTCCCAGCCTGGCTAGATTCACTAACACAAAATCAAGGAATCAATAAGGATCCGTTTCTCTTCAATCGTTAATGTCAGATAGCACCAAATGCTTCCCATGCCTTCGAAGACCATGCCTGGGCCATCGAGGCTGACGACATGGTTTTCCGTATACGAACATCCGGCATCAACTGCCATGAAGACCTCCGCGATGCGAGGGGCCAACGAGTAAGCGGATGGTCCTGTTCCTACTGATTTGAAGTCCACAAGTTTGCAAATCATGACGCACTCGACAATCTTGAGGACCCCCGAAAAAGATTCCCAACCCAAACACTGATATCCTTCCCAATCGACGGAACGGCACAGAATATGTGGAAAAAATGACCATTCCGATGTGGGCCACCATCTTTGCCAAAGCAGCGAGAGCAGTGAATATTACGAGCGATGAGGGCTTCGTGACCCCGCCAGGGTACTCCTCGCAGAAGGCGAACACAAGGGTGAACAGGAGGCTGATGAGGACCAGACAATGTACTCCTATATAACGCCATCTGATCGCTAGATAGGGCAGGGTAAAGCCGTACCTATTTTTCATCAACTTTCCAATCATTTCTCTCGCAGCCGCCTGTCTCGTCCATATCGCTACCCTCCGCGTGAGCTTCGCCGTCGGTTCGTCGACTGTACTTCCGTCGGCTTTGCCGTCTCTCCGTTGGTACGTTACAGTAGCTTGGGAACGTTCGATGCGGGCCTGCAAATTTTCAATAGGTGGTCTCGGTTCTTTATTTTTTGTTCATTCATTGATTGCATGCCCGCCCGCCCTTTCCCTCCTCTCCTCTCTCCCCTACGGGCTGACTCGCCCGCTCTTCCCACCTGCCCTCTGTCCCTTCGCTTGAAGGTTTTCCAAATCCTTGTCGTCTCGGTGCCCGGGTTTTTGTGAGCGGCTTGAGCCGCACGAGTGAGTTGTGATGAGCGGATCAACTGCTGTGAGATCCGACGCGGCCGAATCACTGGAATTGGGTATATGTTCTCAGCTATAAGCCTGGGGCTTATATGTACGATGAGTGAAGGTGGGGCGCCGCTGAATAGAGAGGAGGCCACCCGGGTAACGTGATTGAGGCCTGCTTACCCGGATGAATCGCTTCGTCTCGATATATCGCTTTTAGGGACCCCCAGAACATTAATTGGATTGCACCAGAAACTCTATTCCGAAGACGCTGGAACCCCGCATACCCTGGTCATCACAATGAAGGACAGCCAGCAAGACAGCCGAAGGTTCGTGTTTCAGTCCGAGAACGAATATATGATGTTGACCTAAGTGCAGCTTTGTCCCAGAATGTCTGCTCCCCGAAGTCAGCCCGCAGACGATGTACGACAGATTCTTTACGCGCAACCATGTCACGTCTTACCGGTGCCCTAAACGCTGCGACGACTATTTGGAGTACGTCGGGAAGATCAATTACCGTTTCGAAGATGTGCTCGAGGCTCTGCGGATTAACTCTGATGGATCCGCCACCGATGCGGTCGCGGCCCGATATCTGGTACATGGCGCTCGGCTGATGGAAGAGCTCGACCAAATGCTGCAGGGGATGAATCACGACTCGGTGCTGGTCACGAAGCTGTTTGATCTATGCGTGCCGATGTACCTGCCCCGGTGCCTAATGCCTTATTCGAAATTTCAGAACAGTGATGAGATGGCAGTGGTTGACAGGTGGAGCCGGGGATCAGAGCTGAAGGATTTTGTGGAATGGCGAGAGACGATTGCGGAAGCGGAGACTTTTATCAAGGAGGCACCTGATGTTATCACGGTGCTAACATTGAGACTCGTTGAAAGTGGGCAGCAGCCGGAGGTTATACTGGAAGACCCTGTAAGTTTACGCAAACGGCGTTCATATCGCTATGACGATGCCTGAACTTTTAGAAATGATGGTTTTTATGCAGGGCGACTGTGCAGAGATGTGTTTCAAATTTCTCGAGATGTCGATCTATCCCCGTATTCTTCATTTGACGTCACGAATATCTTCGCGAACCACCCTGCTCCCTCTTTCTCTACGCCTCTATCCACGTGCTGCACCCGTACTATACCATGCCTAACACCGTATTCCGTGCCGCTTCAGTACCAACCGATCTCGCGCGGTAACCTGCGTACCCGCGTCCACTTCCCCGCGCCTCGCACTGCCCGATTGATGCCGTCGAGGAGATCATGCAACGTTGGGAATTTCATTTCGCCACAGGTAAACGCTTAGATGGAGTTCCGAATTGAAATTACTACCGCAGAAGGGAAACGGCCGACAAGGAAAGGGATAGAATGGGTAGGAATCAAATAAGGGTGGAGGCGGAAATGGAAAGGAACTGCAGCAACCCCATCCTGACGGTCAAAACGGCGGACGATCCGAACCTGGGACGGACGGGCTGGTACCCGTCCAACGGTGGAGGACGACCGTCGGTAGGACGTGATGATATTTTGATCACTCGGCCCAATCTCTTCCATCGTCAACGCAACGGGAGGCGAGTGGAGGACACGGGGGTCGTCATAAGTGGGGGACTAGCACGGATCCGCCCACCAGCCGGCTGAAGAAGGCTGGCTTGTGAAGCGGGGGTGGCAACTTTCAGGCGGCGAAGGGCTGGGTGGTGCGGCGGCGATGGATTTCTTAGTCGGCGGCACAACTCTCCTCTCGAACTTCAATCTCATTGTTCATGGCAACCAAGCATCGCAACGAAATGTGGATAAGACACAAATGACCGTGATATGTAAGTACAGTAGCAAAAAGTGGGGTGCGACTTCTTCCGCAGGTCATGAGTAGAACCACTGTATGGGTAGAAACTTAGCAGTTCTCCGAAATGCAGATTTATTTTGGAATCCTTTTCATCCGATAGTCCCAACTCTACGGTATCAAAACTCTTTACGTGGGGTTGTAAAGATATGCATACCAAAAAGTGGAACTTACGTGGTGTCGGGAATATCCGGAGACATACCAGAAAACTATCTTGTATACGCAATGACGCTGTAGGGACTTGAGTAAGACGAAACGAATCGCTCGCTGCAGAAACGAATCGCCTACGTCCGAAACACTCGCCGTATCGCTCCCTGGGTCTGACGAAGTTTACCGGTTGGCCGTAGGCGATCTGGTTGCTCCACCGTGGTGCTCTACGGCCCAGCAGGACCAAAAACTGCTGTATCGCAGTCAGTATTCACCTGTTTCTCTCGTCCAGACAATCTTTGGGACCCCTAAGGTGAGCGCATTCCAGTCCGACTCTCGTTCCCAGCGTCACACTTCCTTTACTGCCGTGCCTTCCCCTGCCTCACCTTACCTTGCCTGTCTTGCCCTGCCGTGCCGTACCTCGCCCTTGACCGGCCTGCTCCCTCAACTCTTCTGCGGCCTCGCCGTGCTTGCTGGGCTCTTCGCTGATCTCGCCCTGCCTCGCCCTTGAATGGCCCGTTCACTCAAATCGTTCGTCCCCTCGACCTTGACTACCTGTTCCCTCGACTCTTCGCTGGCCTCGCCCCGCCTCGCGCTGTCTAACACTACCACCAAAACAGCGATTTCGGCTACCCCCAGCCCACGAGCAACATCAAATAGCGTTTTAAACAATTATACGAGCGAGAACTACTTGATATTGCTATCGTTCTAGCTACTGCAACATGCTCGCTACTTACATCCTCCCCTCCGCGCCTAAATCGTTCGAAAATACTCGTTCCCCAACTACCCCAGGTTTTCACTGAGCTTCCTCGCGCCATCGTTGTCCGTGACGATGACTGGTGTGATGAATTCTCCCAGCTCCGCCATAAAGCTTTTCATCCAAACAGCGTGCTGGGCCCCGGCAGAGAGAGCGATGTACTCTGCTTCTGTAGAAGAGACGGTAACCACTGGCTGCCGCACCTATGGCGGGCGTATTCACGACCTGGAAAGGTGAAGGGCGCGAACACGCACCCTGGACCTTATGTGGTCCTAATCAGCAACGCCCCGCCCCGCACATCTTACTGTGCTGTACTGATAGGTAATGCATAGTACTGACCAGTACTGCTGGCTTTCTGCTGCTAGACAACCGTACTGTCTAGTACCGGACACACAGTAGGGGACCATTGCTGCGTATAATTAGCTGCGGCCACCGCAGGCAGGATACACTGGGCGGTATAACTACGGAAGGGTCAGTACTGATCACTACCGATCAGTACTAAGCAGTACCGCTAGCGCCGCTTTGGCAGGCCTGGTACCGATCCGTACCAGCTGTGGCCGCGGCAGGGAGGACACTATGGGTGGTACAGGGCCGGAACAGTCAGTAAAGATCAATAGTGTGCAGTACTGAGCAGTAGCACTATGGCCGCACCAACGGCTGCGGCCGCGACAGGGAGGATACGATGAGCAGTACAGCTACGGAAGGGTCAGTACTGATCAGTAACGTGCAGTACTGAGCAGTACCGCTATCACCGCATCGGCGGGCCTACTACTGATTTATAAGGGGTGGGGCCGCAGCACAGAGGATACTATAGGCAGGACAGCTCCGGAACGGTCAGTACCGATCAGTACAGAGCGCTACGGCTATGGCTGCATCGGCGGGCATCGTCTTGACGTGTACTGGCTGTGGCCGCAAGGCAGTATACAGTGCGGTACAGCTCTGGAACGGTCAGTACTGATCGGTACTGAGCAGTACTGAGCAGTACTGCTATCGCCACATTGGTGGACCCACTACTAGCGTGTAAGTGGTATGGCCGCGACTGAGTGGATACTATGGGCGGTACAGCTCCGGAACGGTCAGCAATGTGCAGTACCGAGCAGTATTGTTATCGCCCCATTGCTGGGTGCGGTACTAATGGCTACAGGCAGCCGTGGCGGCGGGCAGGTTATATCGGGCTGTACAGCTTAGGAACCGTCTTTGC